ATCTAGGCATAACAGCGGCCGTCTGTACCATTGATGCTTCCCGGGAAAAGGAAGACTCACTTGGAGACGCATTATTTTTCCTTTAGGATTGAAAGCTGAGAATGGTTAAATTTTTGTTTGTTTTATGCCTTATAATAAAGCAAATGTGTTATTTTCTTTTCACTTCTTTGTGTCAGAGCACCCATTTTCATGTTTTACACACACACACATGACATATTATTATATTTTTTAAACTTATCCTATCTCACTCTATGCATCTCATCCTTCTTCCGATCCGTGTGGAAACGTCCCAAAACAAAGTTTCCAACTTCTAAGCTTAATTTGCCTAAACACCGCTTGCATCACTATGGTGAACACCTTCTCAATTACATCATGCACCCGAATCTTTTGCATCTTGCCGTACGTGTGCTAATCATCTGACCTACTCTGCCTCATCATTCTGTTTCTCTTTGCCTCACAGTTGAGACGTTCAATTATTTTTGAGAGATTTTTTTGTCCTTTTTTTCTCACAAATCTACAGGAGTCCAGCGGACTTTTACCCTAAAATGGTCAAGGATCAGCCTAAACGTCTGGAAGGTGAGAAGTGCCATGGATCGGCATCGGTGGATTCACACAATTTATGTTGCGACTGTCAGGGTGTGACTAAGTCTACGTTTAGATACAAAGAATGCTCTCATCTTTCACCAGAGGCTTTCAATGACTATCACAATCTAAGTCCAAGGATTCGGAACACGGATCTCCAGCGTCTAAAAAGGCGAAAAGTCAACTAAGCCTAGCATCCGTCCAATCTTCAAGTTTATGGTGAAGCAACTACCTCCAGCCACCATAACAATGCCTACTGTTGAGGAGGATGCTGTCTCTGACAGTTTTTTAGATGAAGACGTTCCCGCAAGTTTGTCTCTTTCTCACTATCAGCTAGAAGTCATAACTCTATTATGGTTAGACTATCGTGGTCGTAACCACTGCAAAAAGTGTCGCATCGACCACACTTCAACGTTGACATCAACCTCCAGACAAGAGAGAAGTTGAGAGCTATCGCTATCAACAACAGCTGACATTCAACAGATCGACCCTTAGAGTTGCATCTAAGGGGTCGACATTCCCGTGAAGGGTCAACATCGAGCTGTCACTCTCAAGATTGACCCTCCAAGGGTCGACATTCAAGAGGTTGACAAACAGTGTTGAAATCAAAGGGTCGACATTCTAAGGAGAGGTAGACAAAGCACCGTCACTCTCAAGATCGAGTCTCTCCAATTCAACATTCTAAGGTACTTGCTTCCTCAAAGGGTCGATCTCCAGATAGATCTTCCAGAAGTCGACATCCCAAGGGTAGATATTCCAGTGTAGACACTCAGATCATTCCCCTCTGCTTCGATCTTCTCGAGAACGGGCTTTAATGTCGCACCAACCCTCCAAGCAGAAGACCCTCTGTCAGAATGAGAACCTCTCCAACTACAGATCATCACTACATGGATTGATCGTTCGATTATGATCGTAGTCGTTCTGGATCTAACAAACAGCATCAACTTCTCAACTATCATATTCTTCCGACTCGGACTCTCAACGTCATTATGATTTCGATAGTGACATGCCAATCGACCTTGAAATCGACCTTGAAATTGGCATCGACATGAGGGTCGACGTGATGATTGTAGTTGACCTTCTCATTCACGTTCAGAGTGTCCCACTGATATGCATCCAGACCAGCGAGCACCTGTCGGATCCCTCCAAGAACTGTGTGAGCGACCCTACTACCAGTGCTGTTTCCCCAGTGACTAATCCCTTACTGACTTCTTGGGATTATCGAGATCAGACGCCACTTTTGGTTTCTTAGATTGGATGTCTCTTGCATTCTCTAGATGGTTTAACAGCTTCGTACTGAACAGTTGGGAACAACGCAATCTGGTACTAATATCACGACCCCTGCTAAGAAAATTCCATCAAACACGGTCGTAGACAGATTTGATGACACATCTTCTCCTCCAGATGTTACCCTGGATAACTACACTCCATAATCTATGGGCAGTTATGCCCATGTTGAACCCTCTATGATTCATTTCTGGATCGTGGACTCACTTTACTTTCCTCGCAGCTCATCCAATGAGGATTTACTTTGGAGATTCGCGATGACAGCAAACTAGGTTTCTTATATAACGCTGCCACTAGTGGCCGTCATGATGGCCCCCTCTAAGAAGTTTGACTTGGCTTTCATGACCTTTGGTCAGCAGAAGGACAAGCTATCTACGCCGTGCTTTAACATCAGTGAGACAGGGACGCATGGCATGTCTATCAAGGGAATATCGCCTCCATCTCACTAAACGTTCTTCTACAACATCGATTATAGAAGGTTAGGAACTTATGCAACTAGATGTCACCATCAGAAGTACTCTACCCTTTGACCTCATTATCTGCAACAGAGGCAATAGGCACGTAGTAAACCAGGCCAACTCACCGTGCTCACATGCAGAGGCCTACTGAACTATTGTCCTTTTGAGCAGCATCACAAGGTGAGACTCTACCAGATGCCATGGTCATCTCCTTATCTATTCAACAAAAGAATTCAGGAGGTGGCTCAGGGTGTTACAAAGGAAACTCACCTCAAGGTGTCAGTGGACTTACAAAAACTTCAGAGGCATCATTTAGAAGACCAATAGAGGCAGGATCGCAGACATCCTCAATTTTATCCATCCAATCAAGACCTCTGAAACTTAACTAGCAGAAAAGCAAGTTCTTTTCGTGATAGAGGACGTGGCCAAGGACGAGCCACAACTGTCACCTTCACCTCCATTAAGGACTGAGGAGGGGTGATGTCTCCTAAGTGAGTGAGTGAGTATGGTTTAACACCGCTCTCTTTCAGATGACATCAGTCACAGGAGAACTACATGGTCAGTCTGGATCTACAAGACACCTACCTACACATACTCATCCGTTGAGAACACCTCCGGTTTATTTTCCAAGGTCGTTACTACCAATGGAAGGTGCTCCCGTTTGGAATTTCTGTGGCCAATTACTATGCCCATCATGAAGTTTCTATATGTCAGAGGAATCGTCTTTCAGTCGCTCAAGTATCTCACCTTCACGCAAAGATTACTAGGTTGGATAGTCAACACAGAATCAGCACCCTATCAGCAACTGCAATTCATCGAAGCTCTTTTCAACAAAGATATCGGGAAGAAGATAAAACGACTCATGCCATTGGCACTCAGACAGAGTCTACATCTTCGACAATGGCATCAGTTGATCGGTCTACTAACGTCAGCTCAAACTCTCACCAAGAGACGTTGACTACAATTACGGCCAATTCAGCGTTTTCTCAAACCTTATTCACCTCCCGTTGTGCCTGTACAGACATCTGCAATGGTGACTATACTTTTTCTACCAATGCTTCACGTGTTCCTTGATGCATCGACAGTGGGTTGGGGAGTGCACCTGCAAGATCATCAGACATTAGGACTTTGGTCAGCAACAGAATCGACCCTCCATATCAACAATCTCTAATTCAAGGCAGTCATTCTAGCAATCTCCCATTGGGCAGAAGTACTTTGAATACATGATACAGTCCGAAAACGCCTTAGTCATTTGACACATCAACAAGATGATATCCACCAAGATGATGGACATCTTTCAACTGATCAATACTCTAGACAACACAGTTCCCTGCGCTCGACACATTCTAGGAGTCAGCATCGTTTTAGCAGACTCCCTGTCCCGTCTGGATCAAACATCCTCGACAGAATGGCATCTACATCCAGAAATCTTTAAGGGTATTTGATGCCTCCACCATGGCAATTCAATACAATTATCCATGCCTACAAGTTTGCGGGATTGCCTCCACCTCAGACATAAACTCCTCACGAGACGATAGCTGTCGCATCCACCATAGCAACTGCTCCCTTGGTGCTGTCATTGATGTATGTTACTGGAAGTCCGACAGGGTCTTCCCCTCCAACTACTTATGAGATATCTCCATAACCGATGTCCAAGGGCTACACAACTTTGGTTTGCTAGTCCCGCCTGTCAACGCAGAGAGAATGCAGGCACCATTCATGCAGGCAAGTATTTCATATCACAAGACCCACTCTTTTGTTTTATTGTACTTAATCAGGTTCCCAGATTGAGCCTTCACAGGAGAAGCAAAAAACTCATCAGCAGAGACATTAGTCTTCCACTATAAATTCATCATTAGGTGCAGCCCAAACGACGGTGTCTCAAACCCTTACCTGATCGTCTCTGCTTTGAGCATGTCAGTATTGGTTTAAAGATCCTCTTCTGGATATTGTCGATCTCTCCTCATCATGTCTTATCGAGTTCTATCCTGCATTTCGATAAATAGTTTTGACATAGCCTGAAATGAGATGCCAAACAATTGAGGTCTATGCCAATAAGAGCGTTGGGTGATTTTGTTTGTAGAGCTATTGTGGTTGTAGTTGAATAGCTAAACCTACTTCAAAACAATGCAGTCATTAAAAAAAAGAGAGGGACGATGTCCTATATGATAACACAAAACGTAAGTTATACCCGGTGGCATAACGCTGTGTCTGAGTAGTTTGAAGGAGTATTCTCAGTCATTGTGATCCACGCACAAGTTGTCTTCGGATGCAAATGTGTAACAATCTAAGGATTGAAGCATTATTAGCACCAGCTTCCTCATGTATATCTCACGATTAAAAGACAAAGACAGGCTAGGATATATGTGACCAACCGTCAAAACTGTGGGATAAATGCATAGAGTGAGGCAGGATATATTTTTGAAATTTGTAAATTTTACTGTAAATATTATATTTATAAATAGTTATCCCATCCCTCCAATCCATCCCCACATCACACTTACACAGCCTGTCAGCTCCAAGAAAGAGAATGATGAGGCAGAGTGGGTCAGGTGATCAGCACACGTACGGCAAGCTGAATGAGATTTGGGTGCATGACCTAATTGAGAGGTGGTCGCCATGGTGATGCAAGGGGTGTTTGGGCGAATGAAGCTTAGAAGCTGGAAACTTTGTTTGGGACATATCCATACATGGATCGGAAGAAGGATAAGATGCATACAATGAGATAGGATAAATAATTATAAATATATAATTTACTGTAACATGTCAATTATTGTATGATTTGTTAGTGCAAAGGGCTTAACTACATCATTCCTCTTCTTACAGGTAGCAAGAGGGCCATGGGTTGCTATAGTGCATCAACAACAATCTACAGTAGAATCCAAGGATGGTATAGTGACCGTTTCAATACCTATGGACAGTTTGTTGGTCGCAATAGGGTTACTTTCATATTCCTATCCCTAGTGTTCTTTGGCTTTTTGGGCATTTTGGGCCTGGGGGTTTGGAAGATGGAATATGAGTCTGACGTGGAGCGCCTATACACCCCCATCAACAGCCAGGCTGCTCAGGACAGAGACAAAATGAAGGCTAGTTTCCCAGACCGTACAGGAACAAACTACAACACCTACAGTCTGAGCACCCAGGACAGATACGGGGAGATCATCACAACCTCAGAAGGAAACATCTTCTCAAATAGCAGTATTGGTGAGATGAGGAACTTGGTAGAGACAGTTAAACACTTTTATGTGGATTTTCAAGACAGGAGATTTTTCTACACGGATGTGTGTGCACGCGCATCAGACGTGTGTGTCATCAGTGGTGGCTTCCTCTTACAAGATGACTTCCTACCCTCTCTTGAGCAAGGGAACGTCACCTACCCACTATGGAACAACATGGACATCTCTTTCTTTGTAGCAGGTGTGAATGTCTCGGGCGAGGTTCTCCAATCAGCATCAGTGATGAAACTCACCTTCCATCTGCGTCAAGACAATGACATGATGCAGGAATATGCTCTCCTATGGGAAGATGCCTTTATATCGAACATGTCATCATTGTCTGCAAGATACTTCCCAATTGGTGTGTCCTTTGCCACATCCCAGTCGCTGGGGGATGAACTCAATGAGAATACCAATGAGGATGTCTTTTGGTTTTCACTGTCCTTCACATTGCTCACAACGTATGCCAGTTTCGTCTCCGGCGGAGATTGTGTGTCCTCAAGAAGTCACGTGACAAGAGCTGGTGTCATGGCCGCTGGGTTGGGAATCCTTGGATCGTTTGGACTTATGAGTATCTGTGGTGTCAAATTTGTCAACATTGTTGGGATAATGCCCTATCTTGTTCTGTGTGAGTATGACATGGTATTTACAATACATGAAATAATCTTCAAAAGTAGTTTTAAAAGAATGATTATCTTATGTGTTTACATATAGTACCCAGGTTAATGAATTTGTAATCTACTTTCAGCTGTTGGTGTTGATGACATGTTTCTGATGGTATCAGCATGGGCTGACACAAACCAATATGGCGATGACTGGGATATACCGAAACGGCTGGGTCATACTTTCCGATTGGCTGGTGTTGGGATAACTATCACATCTCTCACTGATCTTGTCGCCTTCCTGGTTGGATATTCATCGGTGTTCCTAAGTGTGAAGAACTTCTGTCTCTATACCGGTGGGAGCATATTTACACATCAACATTAATATCTAAAACTATCTTTGGTAGACTGGTATAATTGGTGCTACTAAATCTGATGACAGAATGTGTTGTTAAAATATTAATGATCACATATTTTGTATGTTCACACTGTTGGTTGAAAATTAAATTTACTGGTATCAAGTACACAGGAACATCCATGGATATGAAAATACCTCATTTTATATGATTTCCCAAATTCAATTTTCACAGGTACGGCCATCATCTTTTCGTACATTGCTCAAGTGACGTTCCTGGCTCGATGCCTTGCTGTACATGGACACCGTGTTGAAAACTCTCGCCATTGTGTGACATGTCAACCCGTGCTCCCAGTAGAAGAACTTAAAGAGAAATCATGCATGTTTCGTTGCTGTTGTTCAGGAAAACCGCCTAGGGACAGACAAGACTCTTTGCTTGAAAGACTGCCACCACTTATTTTGAAGAAATACCTTTTAACCAAAGGTGGAAAAGTACTAACAGTAATAATATTCTTAACATATATAGGAGTTTCTTTGTGGGGAGTGACCAAACTAGAACAAGGACTTTTTCTAGAAAACCTTGTACCGCCAACGTCCTACTACTCTAATTACAGTGTAAACAATTATAAGTTTTATGGAACACGAATTCCTGTTTCCTTTGTTATTACAAAGAAAATAAATTATTTTGATGAAAATGTGACGCACAACTTTCAAATGCTATTTCAAAAGATAGGCAATGATGACAACATGAACAATGCAACACAGATCTGTGGACTTCTCGATTATGTGAATTCTCCATATGTCAACAGGTTATCAGTGTCTGATTTTGTAGCCAATTTCAAGTCATTCATTAATGCCAGGCAATATGCAAAAAACGATGTTGTGTTTAGTGAATCTTAGCACACTATCACTGCTCTAAGGTGTTACATGATCTCAACGAATGTCCCTGACTCGATGGATCAGGCCAACCTAATGATCCGTATGCGACATCTGGCAGCTGAATCACCATTACCAGTATTTCCTTATCACCCAACGTTCATTTTCTTTGAACAGTTTGTCTCAGTACTGCCTACTGTTTTACAGATGTTAGGAATTGCAGTCGCAGTCATGGTCATTCTCACTGCACTTTTCCTCCCCCATCCACTAATCGTGGGCCTGGTATGCATCAATATTTTGACAATTCTGCTTGGAATCTTTGGTTTCATGCCATTGTGGGACCTGAGTCTTAGTTCCGTCACCATGATACATTTGATAATGAGTGTTGGCTTCTCTATAGATTTCACAGTTCATGTGTCGACAGCTTACATGTTGGCTGAGGGGGAAATACGAGATGAAAGAGTTAGGCATGCAATAACACACGCAGCTGGGCCCATCTTTAATGGAGGATTATCAACATTTATTGGCATACTTACATTGGTCAGATCACAATCCTATGTGTTTCAATCTTTTTTCAAAATCATGATATTTGTAATAGTCTTTGGTATGGGAAATGCCATTTTGTTAATGCCAGTTATGTTATCCTTAGTAGGTCCCATGCCAGAACGTGACCATTCAAGTCCTCCTAATGTTAGTGAACAGGGAGTCAATACTATATGTATGGTTGAAAATGAAAGTGCACCTGGAAGTGCTTCGAGAAGAACACGTTCAATGTCTATCAATAATAGAAGTGAATGTAGGATTTGAAAAGGGTCACTTTGAAACCTGCTTGGAGGTTTTACATTTCAATTGTAATACCTTGGTTTTACAATTAACTTTTTTATAAATATGCATCTTGATGTGAACACAATCAGCAAAAGTTCACGGGCTTTCCCCTCGCTTGCAGTTTTACACTTTCAACCAAATCCTCTAAGGCGTGTTTTATCCTATACATAAACAATACCAAAAGTGATCACACAGTGATCATCTGGACAAAGAGGTTTCACTTTATAGATAAACAAGATAAGCAAGAACTTCAAGACAAGCTGGACATTTGTCCAATATAAAGTCGTTTTAACTAGTTGAATCCATTCAGAAATGCAGAGGGAATTTAGAAAGCTTGTCAGATCATGATGATTATTAAACAAAAAATTAAACTCATATTGTATGGTTTTAAGTTAATAATTCGACATGATATATTAAGCAAACAAACACCATCAAGGCTGCATTCAAATATGATTTCATGAATGATTTGTCCCACTTTTATCATTCTCAAGATGTGACCGAACCTAAAACATTATTTCAAAGTGCAAAAGAACGTTAAGAGATATTCCACCAACCAGATGTCCCCATAACAAATAAGTGTTTGCAACATAAAGTAAATGATATTATATGCTAATTGGATTGAAACCTTTTGTTTTGATCCTGATGATTTAAGTCACATAACTAGATTATGTTCTTTGCTTTATTCTGATATTTTCATATGATTTTGTAGCAATTCAATAAAAACTGTGTAACTTTGCCGAAACCTTTTTTTGTGTTATCTTTTACAATTAGCTACTGGGTGTATTTACCATTTTTGTTAAATCTTCTTCAAAACCATCAGTAAGCTAAGAAGTTCAACATTGAATGTAGATCCAGTTTATGGAAGCATAGATTAGATCATCTTCCGTTATCTAGTGCATCATATCTCAATTTTATTTTGATACATACAATGTACTTGATAAATGATGAAAAAAAACAGCTGTCAGAAGTACTCTCACGAGCAAGAGACATTCTTTGCTAAGTTAGAGATAGGAGAAAGTGGAAGTTGCGACGTCACTGAACCAAGGCTCAGGTGGCGAATTGGTCCAGGGTATATGTCATAATAATATGGACATATAATACAATGTGTATCGAGAATCACTTCATTGAAATACTCTTGTAACCATTTAATATATTTCATCTAAGAACAAGGGAAAAGCTGTTCCGTAAAAAATCATATAGTTGTACTCTCTCAGATCAAATATGGAACAATCATTGACATCTATTGAAAGTATTGATTAATGCAATAGTTGACTGATTGAAATCTTTTAATAAGTAAACTATATGTTAGAAATGTTATATTTGGGATAACACTTTCTGAGTACAGTACAGATTCTCGTACTTTTTATGGTTGAGTCCAATCCGTGATTCGAACCCATACTGCCAGAGTGAAGCACCAAATCACCAGCACACAAAGTCACCCACTCCACAAAATGAATGTCCGACAACTGGTAGTCTTGATCCCATACTTTGTGTACCCCTCTGACATGTGTAAATTGGCATGTCTCCCATGGCCAAAAGTTATATTTGGGATAACACTTTCTGAGTAAAGTACAGATTCTCATATAAACTATATGTTTATTTGCTCTTCGAGAATCGGTATTGCAGCATACAATACAGAAACCATAAGAATATAATTTTTTGGCAGTTACGTCAGACTGAGCAATGGCTGACGGAATAGCCATTATTGGCATTGGGTGCCGGTTTCCTGGAGCCACCTGCCTTGAAGAATTCTGGGATATCCTTGCAAAGGGAGAGAACCATGTGGTGGATATTCCCCCTGAGAGATGGAACATGGACGCCTTCTTTGACTCTGATGTCAATGCTGTAGGGAAGAGCTATGCTACAAAAGCAGGGCTAATAAAGGAGTGAGTATGAAAGCTATATATCAGTTCGATTGTTTCATAAACAGAAAATCACAAGTTTAATCTAACATTAGTCAGACTGTCAGAACCAAAGGTCATAAGGGGCGATACCTTATGAGTATACAACCCATAAAATAATAATATAATATGCCTTCAGCTTTGATCACTTCGACAACAAGCTATTTAAGATCAACGAAACCGAGGCTGCCCAGATGGACCCCCAGCAGCGCCAGGTGTTGGAGTGCACGTACATGGCGCTGGAGGACGCTGGCATCACCAGACAACAAATAGCGGGACAGAAAGTGGGAGTGTTCATAGGTTTGTTCATTTTCAATTTCATTTCCTTTGCATATCACGCTTTTGGCAAGTTTACAAATGCATTACCAAACAGAATAAAATTATTGTTTAAAGAAACCTCTATTTTGCATTGCAGGTTCCATGAATGTGGACTATGGCGAAATAATCTCAAACACATCACCAGACGTTACCAACCACACCGTCACTGGACAGGCAAGTTCTATAATATCCAACAGGGTATCCTACGTATACAATCTGACGGGACCGTCCATGACCATAGACACAGCATGTTCTTCATCCATCGTGGCCATACACCAGGCAGGACTGGCACTCAGAGCAGGTGAGTGTGAAGCAACTTCCATTAAACATAATAACATGTACAAAACAGCAAATCATGAGATAAGCAATGGACATGGACTTGCAACAATGGGATAAAAAGCAGTTGTAAGATTTGAATAATGTCAGGGGGTAAAAAATGACATGATATAGAAGATCTAAATTATTATAAATTCACCTAAGATATCAACGACCATGGATTATTGGGCAAGCGGCATTCTCATCTCATAGAGATCATACATGAGTGGATGATACAGTCCAAATATGTAGCCTTTTTCTTTCTGAATATCTGCCTTGTTTGAGGGCTGGGATCAAGAATATTTAGCTTATGACCTGTTCTGAATATTCGACACTCTATCGACTGTATTTTGATGAACAAATGTATACACTTTTATTTCTTACATTCTAGAATGAGTACATTAATCATTTTCAGGTGACTGTTCTATTGCAATCTGTGGAGGGGTGAACCTTTTAATTCACCCAGCATATTTTATCAAGTTAAGCAAAGCTAGGATGTTGTCTCCCACTGGACAGTGCCGTGCCTTCTCAGCAAATGCCGATGGTTACACGAGAGGAGAGAGATGTGGAATCGTCATCGTGAAACTCTTAAGTCAAGAAAGTCAATTGCACAGTAAAATGTGCAATGAGATCACACATTTAAAAGATTTTAAAACATGCACAAACAGTCACGGATGCACTTGTGCGCCAGCAGGAACCTCACATGCACAGATGCTTTGAGCTTAGCAAACGTATGAAAACAAACAATATCTCAATGAAGAGATGCAATAGCTCATTATTTGTGGCAATAGAGGATGGGACGTCCATATCACAAGTCTGAAAGTGTCATTGTGCGCCTGTTGGACTGGTATCATCAAACCAGGGGTATTAAAATGAGACCTGGATATGGCAGGCCCAAAATCACGACATCACAACAGGATCGTCTCATTAGATTGTCCTCTTCAACTCATTCAAATCTGCCCCAGAATTCAAAGGGAGTTTCATACTATGACATGAAGATAAATTTCAGCACCAACAGTTTAAAAACAGGACATCCTTCACGTGCATTGATGTTTATCTGCTCACCATTGGAAGCAACGTTTAATTTACGTGGGTAAACACCAGGGTCAGGCTGTGAGACACCATGATAACTGATGAGTTGTGATTGCCTGCAATTCACAGATGGTAGAAAAACGTTGTTGCTTTTAAAGGTGTAATCAGTATGCATGACCTACGATTATGGAACATGAACGTTATTGGGCAGGCAATGTAATGATGTGGAATGGGATTACACGGGAAAGAAGAACAGATAAGATTTAACTGAACAAGACCTGACTGGCCAGCAATAGGTTGATAAAATCTTACGTATTGTTGTCCGTTTCACATGGAATGTCGGCAGGAATTTTGAATACAAAGATCATAACGCAAGAACCCATTGTGTCTAATCATCACTGATAATCTTAGCAGATAGGGATTGGGACTTCAAACTTGACTCTCAAATCACAAGACATTTCCCCAATAGATCATCAGGATGTATTCCAGGAATCCAGCAACAGCTATCAAGGCCTGCTTGGGGTAACCCTTCAGAAGGAATGGCTGGTAATTCTAAGGAAACCATTTTCACTCCAAACGACAGTTTGCCTGCAAGATGTCGAGCATGTATTGCCCTACATGATGGACATACCTGATAAACCACCCATAATATTTCCACAGTCAACCTCCACCATGATTTCATGCATTCCATTAATTTTAGTTGAATAACATAATGCTATAACCATAAACCTAGAACCCATTCCACGGGGAAAAACATAAACAGCCATCCCATAATTATGTATTTCAGGCTTTGCATGATGGTGACAACATCTGGGGAACTATTGTGACGGGATTGAATCAAGATGGCCGCCGGGTTACGCCCATCACAGCACCCTCAGGGAAACAACAGCAGGAACTGCTCAATGACATCTACACTCGACACGGGATCGACCCAACTGAAGTAGACTATATTGAAGCTCATGGTAGGTTTGCAACATTTATTAAATATAATCTTGAACTGAGAAACAGACATAAAATGTTTTGATGCAAAGGTGTGAAATGATAAAGAAGACATACATTTTATCAAAACTGAAAGGTATTTTTGGTCTTTTTTTTAGCAAATATGTTACAGACATGATACATATATATCTCCTCTTTTGTCAGTAAACGCATACATGTTATGAGATTTATCCACAAATGTGTGTGCACAGAATATTGTCACTATTGATTGTCTTGAAAAAGGCCTTTATCCGTGTTTGAATGCAGAATAGAATGCGAAACTGGCAGGAATTCACGATTTCCAAATAGGCATCCAAACCACACTTGGCAAGTAGATTAGAACCAAGCCAGGACGAAAAGGCCACGAATCACCCTCTTGTAACTCTTATACTGGTACCGCCAGGCTTCTAGAAACTGTCCCATCCAAAAACTTCTTGATGGAGTCCAAAGCCCTTCTGGAAAGTTCCAATCACTGCTGATGACTGCGGTTCAAATCTGGTGATGATAGCCCTTGATATTTTTTACCAGTTGCTCAATATTTTGCTGCCAATGACAACTACTACTACTACCACTACAACTACTTTCAACAGTTTCTGTCAATAAGTAACTTATATTACTTACGGATATCAATATCTTATATGTAACAAAAACATTTTAAAACTTATCTCATCTCACTCTATGCATCTCATCCTTCTTCTTCCGAAACCTTGGGTGGAAACGTCCCAAAACAAAAGTTTCCAGCTTCTGAGCTTCATACGCCAAACAACCCTTGCATCACGATGGCGACCACCCTCTCAATTAGCTCATGCGCCCGAATCTCGTGCATATTGAGAAAATATTTTATTTCTCAAAACTCTACGGGAGTTCGTCACACTTCTTACACCAAATGGCAAGGATCAACAAAAACGTCTGGCCTGTGAGAAGTGCCGTCAAATGTTTTCTGTGCAATTTATGTTACGACTGTCAGGGGAGAATGCAAGCCCACGTTCAGATGCAAAGAATGCTCACATCTTTCACCAGAGCCTTTCAACAATTACCAAACAGAGCACGGACCTTCATTGTCTGAAAAACCTAAACTTACAACCAAGGCTAGCTTCTGTCCATCCTTGAAATCAGTGGTGAAGCAACCAACCCAAGCCACCGTAACATCGCTTATAGTGAGGGACAATGTTGTTTCAGACAGTTTTGTGGACGAGGAGATTCGCGCCAGTTCCTTCTTATCAACAAGTACCAGCGATCGATCCACTGCTACGAACTCCCAGGATAAGCCTAAGTTGGACACACGTATGGTACTAGCAACAAACAAAGGTCGCAGTTCGACCGGTCAACTCTACTTCAACCAGCTGTAACTCTTGTGTGGATCAGACTATCTCCATCATAACCACCGCAACTATTGTCGAATCGACTAGAAGTACAATGTCAACATCGACCTCAGAGTCACACCTTAAGGGTCAACATTCATAGGAAGTGTTGACATCGAACTGTGACTCTCAAGATCGACCCTTCAAGAATCGACATTCCAGATGTCGACTCTAGAGTCGCATTCGAAGGGTAAATTCTCTAAGGGTCAACATTCAGATCATTTCCCTCATCTTCGATCTTCACGAGAACAGACTTCAATGTCGCACCAACCCTTGAAGCAGGAGGGACTTTGTCAGGATAAGAACCTCTACAGATTGACATTCCATGTATCGATCCTACGAATATGGACATGATCGCTCCAGGTCTACTGAACAGCATCGAAAACACGATCGATCATATTCTTCGGACTCAGACTCATAATGTCATTCCTTTCTTCACTCATTTCAACATTATGAATACGACATGAAGATCGAGACAGGGTTACATGGTATGTCTACCATGGCCTCTTCTCCAGAGGTGGACGCTGATATTGCCACCATCGCCCCTAAACCTCTCTCCACAACATCGGTTATGGATGATAAGGAACTTACACATCTAGATGTCACCATCAGAATAACTCTACCCTTGTTATCTACCATATCATCAGCGACAGAGGCGATAGACATTTACGTGAACTTCAAGAGGAAGCCTGCATCAGAGGGACCGTAAATCTAATCCAAAGTAAATTCCATGACGTCATGGATCTTATTACACATCAACTGGGATCACTCACCGCATACAGAGGCCTACTTAACTACTGTCATTGGGAAGAACATCTTAAGGTTAGACTCTTCCATATGCTATGGTCCTAGCTATCCCTATCCCTGGTCATCCCCCTATCTATTAAACAACAGAACACAGGAGACGACTCAGGAAGTTACCAAGTAAACTCACTTCCAGGTGTAAGTAGACTTACTGAGACTTCAGAGGCATCAGTTGGAAGAACAACAGAGACAAAATCGCAGACGTCCCCAATTTAATCAATCCCATCAAGACCTCCACAACATAGTTAGTGGAAGAGCAAGTTCATTTCATGGGAGAGAACTAGGTTACAGAGTCTCTACAGCCAGGATGGTTACCTTCACCTCCACAAAGGACTCCGGAGAATTGCCCATGAAGGTCAGTCATGCTCTTTCGCACCATCATTCGACAAGAGGACTACATGGTCAGCCTGGATCTACAATTGCAAGACGCCCTCCTGCACGTGGCTCTCTTTGACACAGATCTCGTAAAGATGTTCGTTCAACCTGACAGGTGGCAGAAGATAAACGACTCGTGGCTTTGGCACTCAGACAGAGGCTACATCTTCGACAATGGCATCAGTTGCTCGGTCTACTAATGTCAGCTCAAGCTCTCAACAAGAGACGTTGACTACAACTATGGCCAATTAAGCGTTTTCTCAAACCTAATCTCCAGATCGACGATTGTCGGGTCCCGATTCACCTCCTGTTGTGCCTGTACAGACATCTGCAATGGTGACTATACAAGACAAACGTCTGCTCCAGAGTTCCCCTGGAACCTTTTCTACCAATGCTTCACTTGTTCCTGGATGCATCGACAGTGGGTTGGGAATTCAAGGTGGTTATTCTAGCAATCTCCCATTGGGCAGAAGAACTTCGGTCATCACATCTCATGATACAGTCAGAAACGCCTCAGTCGTTTGGTACATCATCAAGAGATATCCACCAAGTCAGCCTTCCTGCTGACCCTGACGATGGACGTCTTTCATCTGATCGATACTCTGTACATCAGCACCCAAGCTTGACACATTTCGGGAGTCAGCATTTATACATGGCAGACTCCCTGTCCCATCCGCATCAACCATCCTCCACAGAATGGCGTCTACATCCGGAAATCTTCAACGGGATTTGCTGCTTCTACCATTACCAAAAGATCGGCCACCAGTTTCAACACAACTCCTCAAATGTGTCTCTCCGATTCTGGGAGTACGATGCTTTGGCCATATCATGGGAGAATCTCAATGCTTACGCCTTTCCACCAACAGCGCTTCTACCATCGGTGATGCAGAAGGTGTTTGCCACGACTCACCTTTGCTTGATTTTGATCGTGCCTTACTGGCCAGCACGCAGCTGGTTAAATATGTTGGTAGACCCTGCAAAGGGAAACCATCCTCCACTTACCTTCCAAAGAGATCTTCTCCTCCAACCTCACTCCAACCTACCACATCCATCACTGACACCCTACATCTATGCACCTGGCCCATCTCCAGAAGTCCTAATCGCAAAAGGGTACTCAAGGCGAGTAGCAAAGACAATCACAGAGGCTCATCGTACTTCAACCAAATCCTTGTATGACCATAAATTGGAAGCCTTAGAGGGATACAGCCGAGGCAGGTCTATCAGCTCTAACTAACTACTGCTACCCTACAGCAAGTTGCAGAATATGCATCTTCAATCCACCTGGAACCTTAAGGGTTCAACATTATCTTCATATTTAGCAGGCCTAAATTTGGTCATAGCTTTAGTCCCAGAACTTCAGGCTCTTCTCCGCTCTTATAAACTCGCCGACCAGTCGTCCAGATTTTGTCCACCCAAATTGGATTTCAACAAAATCCTTCAACACATGACATCAGCAGAATACGAACCACTAGAAGAAAAAGACTTCAAGCAGATTACTCTCAAAATAGTTTTTCTCCTAGCTTTGGCTACTGCTGTGGGGTCAGTAAGATACACGCAGTGGATGTCATCAGGATTCGATTTGAGAGGCACAGCCATGGAAAGGTACAATTGTGTCTGCGATGGGATTTCATCTCCAAGAACCAACTGCAGGGACAATGGGACCGTATCATGGGACATATGTAATTGAAAACATGATATGTATCACGGCACCAATCGTAATCATGTGGTGTACGGTATATATGCAGTTTATGAATAGCATTTCTCACAATATACGGCAATCAGTGATTTCAACAGTGTTTTTGTTGAGTTGGTCTTGCTTTCATCTGGAATCTGGTTGGTTGTTGGTTGGTTTCTTGTTTAACGCCGCACTCAGCAATATTCCAGCTATATGACAGCTCTGTAAATAATCGATTCTGGCCCAGATAATCCAGTGATTAATATCATGAGAATCGATCCACGCAAATGGGATCAATGACATGCATCAACCAAGTCAGCGAGTCTGACCATCTGATCCCGTTGGTCGCCTTTTACAACAAGCATCGTCGTCTTTTACAACTAGCATGGGTTGCTGAAGACCTCTTCTACCCCGGATCTTCATGGATCTCTTGAGTCTGGATGACAACGATCGTGTAAAAACCCTGGTAATGGTCACAAATATTTTCAAGTGATGAAAGTAGTTTTTTGTCGTTTTCGTCACATGTTTTCTTTGCCCAGTAGCAATGTGTTTTGGCAAAGTCACACTTGTCAGAAAGCTCCTCATGCCGAAGTCACTCGATCTATGAAGCTTGGCGGGTCCCATGCAGTGACACAGATTCCCCGTTGATTGGCATGCCAAGTGTCGTTTACATAATGCCATCCATATTTTCTGTATGTTTTTCTCTAACCAAGCCTCAACTAACAAGAGAGCGGGCGGACGAAATAAAATATATTACTTATTATAAAAATGTCTATCAATAATTGTGTAAGTTATTTTATGACATTTTAACAAAAAAAAGTTTAAACACTTGGTACTAGAATCTAGTCTATGAATTAATTTATGATGTAGATCGAGTCGCTTTGCTTCAGAAACGAATTATTAATAAACAACTGAAGAAAGATAAAGTTGACCTGGTGCATGTGCAATGGTATATGTAGTAGTATTACTTTCATTAGATTTTCCACCTCGGCAGGAAAAATTGAGACACGAAATTAAATTATATATTATTTCACGTTGGAATGGAGATAAAATACGGACAGCATCACATACTTTGAAACGATGTTCAGATAAATATTTGTTCACATTAATTCTGTCAAATGCGTGAACATGGATTTCAACATTATTTTCATCAAGTTTATTCAGGTCACTGGCTACACAGATCATCCTCTCTTATAAACTACTTCGACATGAACACATGTTTGGTCTCGAAGCTCAAAGCAACATTGTTTCTCTCGGATGCATTTTTTCTCCATTCATGAGGAGCATCTGTCATAATGTCAATGCCTCAACAATCTTCCTGGTCATCAGCCTCATTTATGGCATCATCACAAGATTCCTTCTAAATACCCACCACATGATCAGGGTTACGACCTTGGGATAAATTAATAAATTAATCTGCATTTTTCGAAAAGAATGTTTTCGTTAATATTATTTTTTAAAAACATCCAGTACATGGTACTTTTGGATTGCACTGTAGGTTTCTTTTATTACTTTCTAAAACTTTTTGTTTCCCCCTTTCTGACCGTGCGATCTCCCAGCAGCCACGCCCAATGAGCGCATCAAAGTTGATTGCTGCTTACAACTGTCAAGAGCTTTGCAAGTTTTCTTGCGTCAATATGAGCAACAAAACATTTTCGCGTGACGCTTAATGTGACGGAGATTTGTTTGAGATTATCAGGGAGCCTTTGGTCATTTTGACTATGACATTGGTGACTTTATCGTGGAGAAAGTTCTAATTCAAGATGACATAATTCCGATCGTCAACTCGAATCGACAAGATAGCGCCTCTCTTCCCGCATTGCAAGTGCAACAGAAACTTTGACAAATTCTGTGCCGATTCTTGGGATCTTGGGAGTGAATCAGTGTCACAGCTAGATTTCATTGTGGAACCAGATGAAGCCGAATATGTATGTTCACACTTCTTTTCTCAACCATGTGTGACAAAGCACATACAATGGCAGTTACGGAAACGGTGCGGCCACCATGTTGCAGAATATCGTCGATTCAAAAACAGTGTGGCCCAAACTTCTCGGACTTGAAGAAAAGGATATTAAACGTTGCAGCAGATGAAGGATTGGTGTGGACAAAACGGGAAAAGGATCCCAGATTGTATTCTAAAACTTGTGTGCAATGTCTATCCAAATCCTTCGAACCAAAAATACATGGGACAACTGTTTCTCTAATGATCAAACTCAGTTTTATATGTGAAAATTCTGTGAAAGGAAAGGAAATCCATAATTAAAGTTGTCTTAGAATATGTGTATTGGGGTTTCGTTTATCGTAAGTACAATATGGCCTTGATAGGCCTAATTTAGGTATAAACATCAAGTATATTTAGTTACATATTTATTAGTTGCTTATGTGCATTATTATGTTAATACAAGTGACATATTCATATATTGTAGTCAAGCTAAGAAATATTGGCACAACTCCTGCTTAAATTAGGCCCCTTCCTAAATACTAGTTGAAAAATCTGTGTAATAATTTATGATTTATAAATATAATCTGATTATTGTGTGGTATATATCTAACTGTTGAATCCAAATGACCAAAACTAAACAAATATCTGTAATTTTCGGATTGAACTGAAATAATCTTGTCGTCAATTTCGTATTTATGTATCATTACTGCTACATTAACTGAAACTGTTGTTCTGCTGCTGTTCTGCGGTACAAATATACCAAACAAAACACTTTGACCACAAATGCATTAAAAGTGTCACATGTACACATGACCATGTGCTTTGCTATTTATAGCATAACTGTAAATAAGCTCAGCCCACTGTGATCGATGCAGATGCGCAATCACAATCGATTCGATTTTTTATGATAAAACTACAGAAACTTTATTGACTTATATCTAGATATAGAGCCATTGCGGTATCCAGCGTTAGTCATTCAAGTTGATACAAAGTTTGATGGTCAATAGTGATCACATTTGAGTTGACCATTGCAAACATTATCTTTTCAGGTACTGGAACCAAAAGAGGTGACCCTGTAGAAGCTACAGCTCTGGGGACCTTCTTTGAGAAGTATCCTCGCCAGCGTCACATTGGTTCTGTGAAGACCAACATCGGCCATCTAGAGGCAGCAGCAGGTGTTGCCGGACTCATCAAGGTCCTGCTGATGATGAAACACAACACAATCGTGCCATCACTACACTTTGACAAACCCAATGAAGCAATTGACTTTGAAAGGTTTCGTTTTGTAGTACCAACAGAAAATACTGACTGGAAACATCATAAAAAGGTTGCATGTATAAACTCATTTGGCTTTGGGGGTAGCAATAGTCATGCTGTTTTAAAATCATTCACAATGGAAACATCAGTTATGAGAGACATTTCCTTACCAGTTTGTTTCTCTGGCTCAAATGAGAAAACATTGAACAAATCAATGACACAATTCATTGAAAGTGGGAACAGTTCCGCTTTCAGTGATGTTGCTTACACTTCATGTATGGCCAGAGAACATTTTGCATTCAGAAAAGCTTTCTTTGCAAACAGTCATTCTATTCTGAAATCTAAAATACAGGAAGAGTTACAAAATAGAAACCATCCATCTCCTGAAAAGGGAAACATTAACATTGTGTTCGTTTTCTGTGGCATGGCCACAGCATGGGAAGGAATGTGCAATGATCTCATTATTAACAATGATCATTTTAACAAACAGATTTTGGAAATTGACAAATCCCTCACTAGGTTTGTTGACTGGTCCTTGTTGCAGCGGCTCCAGGAGTGTGATGATGTGAAAGATCCTCAGTTCGGGCCAATAGCCATCTTTGCTTGTCAAGTGTCTCTTGCTCATCTCTGGAAATCCTGGGGGGTGAAGCCTGCAGCTGTTGTAGGTCAGTCAGTGGGGGAGGTGGCTGCAGCACACATTGCTGGAATCCTGTCCCTGGATGAAGCTGTGAGAGTTATCTACCACAGGACGCGGATCCTGGCTCAAGCATCGGGCGGAAAGATGATGCTTGTCCGGAATGTTGACACTGAACAAGTAAAGACAGCCTGTGGGAAGTATCAGGGACAGGTAGATGTAGCTCTATACTACAGCCCAGTCTCATGTACTATCAGCGGGGATGAGAGAGCTGTTCTGTCAGTCAAAGAGGATTTGCAGCTTCTGTTAGGTAGTGACACACTGTTTCATGAGCTACCTGTAACGAGCGCATTCCACAGTAGCTACATGGATTCAGCAAGATTTGAGCTTGATGACATATTATTCGACATCAAGACATCAAAGATGACAAGTACATTTGTGTCGACAGTTGATCAAGATATGGATGAAACCACAGTTGCCTCAAAGAATTATTGGGGCTTGAATGTAAGGAGTCCTGTTAGATTTTCTGATGCAATCAAAAAGGCAACACAAACATCAAAAATCAACATTTTTGTTGAAATAGGTCCACGACCAGTACTTAAATCACATTTAAATGACATTTTTAAAGATTCCGCTCTCACTGTTACATCAATTCCTTCTCTCCATCCAAAACCAAGTTACAAGGACATTCTAGAGTCACTCCTCCTGCTATATGGAAACGGAGTGAATGTCAAGTGGGACACTTTCTTTCCTGATAAGCTGCATACAACAAGCTACCCATTTCATGTCTTCAATTCCAAACAGATGTTACTGGTATCTGAAAGTAAACAACAGATGCTACAGGGTAGGAAGGAAAGTATAGGAGATCACTTGTTTCTCAAAGGCAGCATAAAGTCTGGATCAGCACGCTTAGTCATTGATCCTCAGACATTCAAGAGTGTTTTTGAACACAAAGTGAAAGGAACTATCATTGTACCAGGTGCGGTGTATGCTGAGGCAGCGCTTGCTTTAGCAAGAATGATTGACATGTTCAGCCTCTGTGCAATCAGTGTTTCTGTGACCTTCAGAAGCCCAGTCAATCTGAAACCAGGAACAGCGACAAACCTTGATATAGAACAATCTCACAACGAGGGTGACGCCAGTATTTTGAGTACATTTGTTTTAAAGAAAGGAAGTACAATCCATGCAAAAATAGTAATAAGACAAACACCAGTGGACTATACTCCGGAGAGAGTGGACCTTGGGTCAATCAAAGAAAAATGTAAATGCAGCTTTACTGGACAGCAAGTATATGAGCGTTTAGAAAACGGTGGTTTCAGCTATGGGGAAAGGATGTCCATCATTTCAGCTAGCCAAACAGCTGAGAATGAAAGCCTTACATTACTTGAAATTGGGCCTCAACTCCAGACAGAGACACAACATACAATTCTTCACCCTGCAGTAATAGATGGCATGTTACAAACAGCTGCAACTGTCCAAAGCGCCATCAAAGATACGCTTCCGTACTCTTTGGAAAATTTGGTGGTCAAGAGACAGATTGAGAGTAAAATGCTTGTGCATTTGAAAGTGTTGAATGAAAATGAATGGTGTGTCTGCTGTACACTGTCACTGCTGACAACTGAAGGGTATGTCATTGCACACATTGGGAAGTTCACATTGAAAGCCATGGGTACAGATACATTTGATGTCAGGAGTGTTGCATACACAATTGAATCAGAAGAAGTTGAACCTGATCATGAAACTGTATGTGACACGAAAGCGAACCTTGTCATGTTTAGTGATGAAACATCTGTGCCTACAATCTATCCATGGCCTGTTCATGATATTACCACTTTACATGAAAATAGGTCTGTTACAGACCTTCTAGAGTCATCTGGAATATTAGTCATGTTTCAAGCCAAACCTGGGGTTGTTGACAATGGATTGGAAGTAGAGAAAGAATTGGAGGGGAAAATCATGCCTTTAAGATCTCTGATACTTTACATGTCACAACATGCCATCAAATCACCCTTGGTCATTGTCACAATGGCAACAGCATTTGACTATCAGAGTCCAGACATAAGATCCCATGCACTTGCTTGCATTCATGAAGGTATTCGGGCATTTATCAGATGTGTTCGAAGGGAATTCCCAAGGCTGAATGTAATATCACTAGATCTGAATATTAGAAACATGGACCAATATGATGGCAATACCATAATGTCTGAAATATTGCAAGTCTTGAAAGTCAAAGGCCATGCTGAATTTGAAAGCCTTCATGGAAGCATATCTGGACAGAAGTTTCAAATGGAACGCAACTCAACGCCTGATTTTAGACTGGAACGACAGAGGAACAGTCTGGACACTATTCTTTATTCGACTTCTTCGGATGAAATATCACATTTCTTCACAATATCACGAAACATGCCAGAAAGGGGAAAAGATGACATTTTGTTTACTGCACAGTCTGTAGCAGTTCACTCTAAATTCCTGTCTGAACAAGTTCTGCTATCTCTTGACAAAGGAGACCACATGGGAAGCAGCAAGGGAAGTCCTGTTGTCACATATGAATCAACTGGCTTTGCACGCAGCAATAGCAAACAAAAGAGGTACATGGCTTGCTATCCACACCAAGTGGGATATCAATGCTATGTCCCAATGAAGTTCATGTTGAACGTCAAACACTTAAGCCATTTTCAGACAGGGTATCTGTTGAAGCTGTACTGTCTATGGCGATTGTGTGATGAGTGCAAAACAAAAGATGTCATTATACTCTACACACAACAGACAAGGGAATATGCAGAAGTGATGGAAATTTTATTGTTGTCAAAACAAAGAAGGAAAATTTCATTAGTGACTCAAGAAGAAATACCCAGCCACCAAGGACACCATGTAGTCATATCAACTATACAACTTACAGAAGAACTAGCACAAAAGGTTGTCATTGCATGGGGCTGTCTTGAACAGCTAATATCTTTTGAGAAGCTGATGCCACTTAAGGTGATACATCTCCTTCAGTCTGTAAAGCCAAGATTAAACATAGCAATTGTCAGAACCCAAGAGGTTCTTGCTTTCAATCAGATGGATGAACATATTCCAAAGTTGTACATATGGATAAAGAAAAATACACAAAATGTCAGGAAGATAAGCCTTTGGTTCAGGGATTGCAAAGACAAAGCACTTAAACGCAAGATTGCTCCTATCAACATTGCTGAAATCCTAGAAACATGGGAGTTCAATATTCAAGAGAACAATAGCGTCACCACAACACAGTTGAAGATACCCGAGATTCTCTTGTTTGACAGACGGGGAATGTACCTTGTTGTAGGTGGAATGACAGGACTAGGATGGGAATGTGTCGTGTATCTGGCTTCCAAAGGTGCTGGGTGCATTACAGTTATCAACAGGCGTAAGCCAGATCCAACCAAACAGGATGAAATGAAGCATGTGTCCCAGATCTATGGATGCACTGTTACATCAGAACAGGCAGATGTTCAAGATATCAAAGCAATTAGATCAGCTTTGAAGAAGCTGGGAACCCGGTTCCCTGCCTATACTTTGAAAGGGGTATTCTTTGGAGCTGCTGTTCTGAAGGATGGAATCCTTCTGGAAATGACGAGAGACAAGTTCAAGACAGCTTCTGCCCCAAAGGTTGCAGGATCGTGGAACCTGCATCTCCTGACAGAGGAACTGGACTACTTTGTGCTGTTTTCATCAGTAGTATCAGTCTTTGGAAATGCTGGACAGACAAACTATGGTGCAGGGAATGGATTCATGGATGCCCTAGCTCATGTCAGGAGGCAAAATGGCCAGAGTGGACAGACTGTAAACTGGGGCCCTCTGAATATGGGCATGTTGCAGGAAAAACATGCAAAGCAGATGGAATCATCTGGATATGTGCTGATACACAAAAGACGTATACCAGATTGTCTCACGCATATCCTCATGCTGAATAAACCACAGATCATTATGTGTGGCCTTCAGCTGGTGAAATTTGGACAAACTCTTCGCAAGGAGGGTAACGTGGAGCTAGAGTCTCGTTTTAAATCTGTTTTAGCACCCCACATGGCGGCTGTGTCTTCAGCTTTACCAGAAACTGTGCAAAAACTTGACTTGGATGCAGTGAAAAAAGAACCAAAAGTAGAAGCAATGGCAAAACTACTGAAGTATGTAAAAGCTGTAGTTGTTGAAGTTGCCATGTTGGATGAGTCCTCTCTAGACGTCGACCAACAAACCAGAGAACAAGGTGTTGACTCGATGAATTTCATGCAGATCACTGGGAAAATCATGGATGACACACATGTGCAGTTGTCATCATCGAATCTTATTGTAGAAAATCCATCGGTGACTCAACTCACACAGTACATTTATGATGATCTGATGAAGAAAGAAAGTTATGGTCAAGCATATCAAAGTCCTGTTGAAACCAGACATTCATCGACATCTGATTCTGTTTTGATCCCAGGTGAAGAGTTTGCACTTAACAATTATATAAGAAACCCAAACCACATATCACATTTGATGATTGTTGAACTAGAGCTGCCCGATATTGCTGATCACAAGTCAATGAAAGAAATCCTCCAGGAAAGTGTCAGGAGACATCCAATTTCAAGGACAACCTTTAATGATGTGAATGGAAAAGGAAGTAAATCACTCCTTGATGCAGATGCTGACATTGACTTTAGGATAGGGAATCTGACCAATCCTTCTGAAGTTACACGTATCACAGAGGAAAGATTTTACCTCCATCAACAGGGCCCAATACGATTTATCTTTGCTGAGGGACACCCTCCCCATCTCATCATTGTCTTTCACAGAATTGCCTTTGACTACCAGGGAATCATTATCATCATTAATGAGATAATGGATTTGGCTCAAACATACTCAAAGGGATCTTCTTTCAGCAATGTGCCACTTTTACCAGACAGACCTATTGGACCGGAAATAAGGTCTGTACTTGAACCAAAATATGATACTATTGCAGTATTTTGGAAGCAGAAGTTGGTGACGGTTCCTCGCATATCACTGGCAGACAAAGCTGAGACATCCCAACCACAGATGGAAAGTTTTCGACAAGAAAAGAGCCTGACTGCTGACATGTACCAGAAACTGATGTTGTTCTCGAAAACGCAGAAGTTGTCTATTTTCCAGTGCCTAGTTGGACTATTTCAACTCCTTTTGTCCATACAATCTCATCTGGAAAATGTGACCATATTGACCTATATTGATCTGAGAATCTTCAGCCCAAGAATATCTACATCAGTTGGCCGATGTGTAAATTTTGCAGCCCTCACCTGTGGTCTGAAACAGTTTGATCAGATGACTGCTGCTGGCTTCCTAAATGAAAATAGCAAGGAACTGGATGAGTGCAAAGAAAATGGAATATTCCCTTTTGGAGACTTGGAAAAACTCACATCACAAGAAAATGCCAGGAATATGACCAGAAACTTTGTTATATTTGGTGACGATGAAGTTTATAACAAGAATAAAGGCAATGATTTCCATGAGAATTTTAATCCCACTGTGACAGAGAAACTGCTGTTTGGACCAGACACAGAGTTGTATTTTGACATTCTCACACGGAAAAAGTCTGAATCAATTGTGATTTCACTGAATGCAAGGTCAGATCGGTTCACCAAGGAACGCATCAACATGGTTATTGATGCATATTTTGGACTGTTGACAGACACACTTCAAGATCCGGATGTTACAATTACCAGCTTAAGCAGTCGACCTTACATGACAAGAATAAGGAGTAGTAAGATCTGAAATAATGTGTTATCCTAAGTTAACAAATGATGCCTCTCAACTGCAGACTTGAATGACAGCTTATCTAACGTAATGTAATGTAGTGTTTACTCATAATACTTCTTGAGCTGTCAAATATGAATCAGGGAGAGAATGGCACATTTGGTGATTTGGGGAAGAACTTGGTCAATCTCCAGAAGTGATTGGTATACTTAGGTAGCCTAAACACATCCCTTGAAGAAAACCTTCAATATGATGGGACCTATAATGGTCAAAACACATACTGAGGTTTTGCAACAACATCCATTTCACTTCCTGTCATGATTCACAACAGTTTGAATTTCACAATCCTTACACAATCTTAGTGTTAGAAGTTTTCATTTTCTTAGTGTATGATTGTTATATGTATTAAAGGCTCACGTTTATATATGTTTCTTCTCAGTGTGTGATCACAAAACAATCTCAGCTATGGTACAACAGTGCTAAGATCACTTTGTGGATACGACCCTGTCATCGATAGTTTCTAATCCAATAAAATGTGTAGTCATTCTTGTTAAAACTTGACTTACACGATTTATTCATTCATTCAATATGATGTAAGCTCTGACATGTATTATGGTCCCATTAGTGTTAAATTATTTGATTTGTTATTTTACACTGTGATCCAATCTGTTGTATCATAAAATTGTCTCTACATGCACACATATATTTACCAGTGTAAGTAACTAATGGTCTAATCTGACAATGCTGGTGCAAGTAGGTCTTATGTGACCAAAGTTGCTAAATGTTTACAGCAACTATTAGCTCAACTACCCATGTGGCGCACAAGGCCACGGATGGTTCAAATAATATGTAATAACGATGCATATATCATGGGATGAACATCGAAATCTTGCTAATGCGTTACGGTATTTCTTTATATTTACATAAAACCTATACTGTTCGGTGTATATATGAATTTTCAACATTACAATTTGTTCGATAATTTCAATGAAACAACTCACGATTGCGGATAGATATTTGTTAGCCTCTGTAGACAAGAAATGATAAATACACTTTAGATTGTACAGATTGCTCATGCTAAACATTTCCAAAACCATTTTATTGAATTACATTTTTTTCACATCATTTACCCAGTTATTCTTTCCTTTCACATCATATTCCATCATCATTTATTGGGTATCTCGATGAATTCATTTTAAGGAGCATCAGCCAGTACTTTATGGCTTTCAGTTGTCAGTATATATATAGAGGACATCTAGCACATTCTCCGTAAACCATTGTGCTAGATGTGTTGCTTTTAACACCAAGAAATTTTTAACATGCATATAAGTGAACCTATTTTGATATCAGTAAATTGTTTTAATCCCCATATTTCAGCACCGTAAAGTAAAATTGGATTAATTTTAACTTCAAAGATCTTAAAGAATGACTTGTAACGCCGTGATATAACTGGAATACTGTTAAAAGCGGCGTTAAACCCAACTCACTCACTCTCTTGTAACTTACATGACGAAAGATTCGTATATTCTTCATATACACCAATTAAAATCTTTTTTGCCTGTACTGACGTAGTCACATTCAAAGTTTCAACTTTAAAGGCCATTTTTTTTTTGTATGAGCTGTGTGAATGAATAGGTATTTAAGTAGACTGTCCACTAAAATTCAGTGCAGTCTATGAGAATTCTGACCTTGGTTGGACGGTTTTGGTTTTGGGGTGTTGTCCCAAAATTTTTGTGGCGTAACTTACATTTTATTTGAGTATTGTTTATACTTATATTCGTGTAGCTTGATTATGTATGTATAATATATATATATATATATATATATATATATATATATATATATATATATATATATATATATACATTAATATTTTGAATTGACAATAAAAAAAAGCCTTGGAGACAACGACTTATGTTTATTTTTACCTCATTAGGTAAATATGGCACAATTGAGTGAGTAGGGAGATATTGCTTTCTCAGCATGATTCAAATGCAGATGATAGTATAGAGGAAACTCCACGTGTGATCACCAATTATTTTATGTCGCCCTAAGATCTACTACTACTACTACTACTACTGCTACTACTACTACTACTACTACTACTACTACTAGTATTACTACTACTACTACTATTAGCATTACTACTACTGATGATGTTAGTACTATTACTTCTGTCGTTGCTGCTACTGCTTCTACTACTACTACTACTACTGCTGTTAGTACTATTACTTCTGTTACTACTCCAGCTACTACTACTACCACATGCTACTCCCATCCGTACTACTATTGCTCCATCTCCGATACTACTATTACTCCTGCTGCTGCTGCTTCTACTAGTGATACTGCTACTACTTTTGATTACTGCTACTACTACTACTACTACTACTACTACTGCTGCTGCTGCTACTACTATCACATGCTACTCCCACCCCTATTACGATTCTTACTTCTTTTTAGATTACTGCTACTACTACTACACTTACAGTTACTACTACATTACGTCTACTACATGTGTACTACTGCTACTACATTTACGTTTACTACTGCACTACTATTACTTCTAATGCTACTTGTATCACACATACTACCACCCCTACTACTACTACTACTAATTTTGCAGCTACTGCTACTACTAACTACTTGTACTACTACTGCTACTACTACTAATATTGCAGCTACTGCTAATACTACCTACTTGTACTACTAACTACTTGTACTACTACTACTACTACTTCTAACTACTACTTCTACCACTTCTGATAGCTTCTGCTACTTCCGACCCTACTATGATCATTACTTCTCCTTCCATTACTACTACTACTACTGCTACTACTACTACTACTACTACTACTATTGACCTAGTGGTAGAGCGTCTTTCCATAGAGCGAAAAGTTAGATCCCCGGTCGCGTCATATCAAAAGACATTAAAAAGATGGTACTTGTTGTTACCCTGTCTGGCGCTCGGCTTTAAGGCTAAAACAAGGACTGGTCAGCTCGGAGTCAGTATAATGTGTCTGAATGGGATATTCCTGTAAAACTGCGGCATGATATCTCGGTGGACCAGCACCATAAAATCAATATTACTCGGGACTAGCACAAGCAGTCATTCACACACATACACACACACGGACGCACTCACGCATTCACGCACGCTCATCGCTATATATGACTAAACCATTTTCATAATCATCAGACATCTCGTATACACTTCGCAAACACATGCAAATGCAAGACAATTGTTCACCTGAAAAAAAACCCAGTCAATATAGAGTCCTGTCTGGGACAAAGGTTTGGTCACTAATGCCTCCAAGGCTGGAGCTGCTTGAATACTGATAGACATAAAAGGAAAGTTGCTTATTGGAAAGTTGAATGTTAACGCAAGAGAATAACAAGTTTAAAACATATTCCATTGGGCGTAAAAAGCAAAATAGGGTTAATATGTGGGAAGGAATCGTTATTGAACGATCAGAAATGAATATTTATGCAGGTTTAACTGCTATCAGGGTGAGTGAGTGAGTATGGTTTTACACCGCTTTTAGAAATATTCCAGGAATATCATGGCGGTGGACACCAGAAATTAGCTTCTCACATTGTACACATTTAGGGAATACAACTTGGGTCTTCGGCGTAACGAGCGAACGCTTTAACCACTAGGCTACTCCTCCGCCCCAACTGCTATCAGGCGTGTAATGATGACAGTACACTTAAACAGTTTATAGTTGTGTTGGACACTTTCTGGCAGCTGATCAAGCTTAAATGAGATATGTAAGCTGTATATTTTTGGCTTAGTTCACGGATACGTCGGCCTTAAAGTCGAGAATTTGGGGAACATAATCAGTAATGTCATTGTTTATGCCGCCGACAGTATAATCCTCAAAATATTTGTCATCTTCTTGCAAAAACAATTTGGATACCAATGAGGTCAGACCCTTTTGTACTTTCTCCTTCCGTCTGAACCAATTCAAGTCTTCAAGCCTCTTTAAAAGCAATGTCAGTGGTATTTGTATTCAGTATTTCTATTAAGCTAATCAGTAACAAGGACTGTTAACCCAAGCTAAATTAAACAAAAGATTGATACGAACATCATGGTACTTTATTTTCAAAGGATTTTACTTGTGAAGCATACTTTATGTTTTTAATGCTGACCCTGCTTTCATTTTCTTCGAGAGCTTTGTTGCCACTTTACTACGCACACTATACATACCTGTTACATGTTCCTTCCTCACAATCTTTAAGTGTAACTGGTCCTCCAGAATATCTTACTTAAGTTCTGTGACTATGATTTATCTCCGTTGATATCTCAGTAGACTCCAGTATCAAGGTAGGGAGGAAACTCCATCCATACTAAAGTAGGACGCCAAACTCAAAGCTAAGTCACACGATAGTCTGGTCCAAAGAAAAAGCTGGTATGTTTCTTTAGATTACGTTATGTGAGTATAATGTATCATGTGCATGAATGCACCTTATTTATTTGGGAGATAAACCTACCATGTTTTCAATTTCGAGTTTTTGAACTTTTATTATATATTTAAGTGTGAAAGACTATGATTTTAGAAGTTGAGAAAAGTGATACTAAAAGAGTATTTGACAGCAGTGACAGTGAAAATAACACTTTGCCGGAAGTACTTTCCACACAAGAGTTACGTCCCTTAACACTGTACTTGAAGTATCTCCCCCTGAAACGGATTATCTTCTGCTAATCCTAGTAAAAAAACAACAAAGTGAAGATGGATTATATTGACCATTTACAAGCTTCAATTGATTTTAGTTTGTTTGAACAACACGAGAGCAGCTCCTCCCATCCGTTTTTACAACTTGATTTTTAAAAAACACTGTCAACAACAAATTAAGTTTATAATAAATAGGATATTTCATGTGTCTAGTGAAATATGATATATATCTCATCTCATGGCTTGGATAAGGAGATATTTCAACGTCACTCGATGAGAGAGATACATCATATTTCACTAGACACATGAAATATTCTCCATCTAATACACCTCTAAATGTTGCTCCTAAAAATGAAAAAGATCAAGGCCATGGGAACTCAAAATGTCGTGTTTGCACCAGATGAAACGAATATTGACATTGTTAAAGAGATTGATTATTTTTTTAGTTAAGCATGCTTTGGAAATGCTATCAATATAGCGACAAACCCTTTTCCATATTTATATCAAATCTCTGCTAAAAGACATTGTATGGGAACCAACTGTACTCCCGTTCTTGTTGATATGTTTCTTTAGGCATATCATTCGAAATTTCTGCTCAACGTCAGCTTCAGCCATATCGATCATCTGATATTGTTTAATAATGGTCAAAAAGACAATTCCCTTCCACTGATCCACCCACCTCTGCGGGAAATGAAGGAGGCCAGTGAGACTACCCCCTCTGTTTCATATTTAGATCTATGCATAAAGATCCAGAATGATAACACACTTTACACAAAACGATATGACAAGAGGGATCATTTCAATTTTCCCTTTATGTCGAGCACTATTCCATCTTCACTATCTTAAGGTTCAATCGAGGACGCTCATTTTACAAAGATTTCAAAGCTTCATATGACTGTTACGCTTATACGCTTAAGCTGTCTGATCAAGGTTACAACATAGTCAGGCAACCTAAAAAGCATCGAATATGAACTCTCGAAGACAATACACCAGTATACGTATGTCATCCTGCTTTCACCTTCTGAGAGAGCTATGTTGCATACTTAAACATGTCTGTTACTGTACCCATTTGGATTGTAGTAACTGACATTTTCCTTCATCATAATCTTTTAGTATCACTGGTCCTCGCAAGAGTGTAGCTCGTTATTTCCATTCTTCTAAAAGCAGACACAAAAATATGATACAAAAGGTCATTTTAATTGAAAACTATTCAATCCTTTTACTGCATCTCATGCATATCTTGTTGTATCAACTTACAAAATTTAAAAATTTGGTTGAAAACTTTAACAAATGATTCTGCTTCACAGTGTCTGTACAATCTAAGGAATGCTTCCAAGGTATAAGAAACAAACACAAGAAGTCGGGCAAGCTGATTAGGGGTCAAGCGACTGGTCGAATTGTTGATGTATTGTGGTTGTGCATGTCCCGACTGCAATTCCTCGAGAAGCGTAAATACCTATAGTCAAAATGTTGACTAACGTCTTAGAGAGACATTTAAAAGTTGGAGTACTAAGTAAGGATAAGATATATGGATGAACAAGTACATCCACTCATGCTCCTAATTGTAATACAGGAGTTGTTCATCCATATATCTTTTCCTTACTTATAATCTTGACTGTATATCTTTTCATTTTGTTAGTGAATATATTGCTCAGTGTTACGTGTTGATTTCCAAGTTGAACGCGAATGTTAACCAGGAAATAGGTACGTACAGAACTAAAATGTGAATTTAGTAAATAACCACACAGGATCAATGAATAATTAACAAATTAAATTAAATTAAGTTTAAAATCATAACATGTGACAACAACAATAAAAATTACCCCGATAACATAAGTCAGGGCACAGCCGAATGTCAGGTCAGGATACGCTCAACTTTCGCAAACACCTGGTATCATTACTATTTGATATTGATTTATAAACACAAGCTCATGATATAGTCACAATCGTACAATCGACTCTGCTTTGTGCAAATACTTCTATCGGATATTGAAAGGATTTTGCCGCATTGTTTTTTTAATGAGGCACATGCTCGATTCCTGAATCCAGGAAACATTATGGGAAGAAGTTAAAATCGGAAGCGAAAGTCGTCAGTTATCCAGTCTGCATTGGGTAAGTGGATAAGTCGCAATTAAAGTCATAGGAGGAGGCCTCGGATAGCCATCGTCTCGCTCGTATGTAAGCACAGCCAGGAAGGTGGATGTCACCACAGGCCAGCAGAACATATGACATTTTAGGAGCGCCTCATTTGCAAGCGCTTCACAATTAGCTGCCACAACCAATCATCAGAAAAAAAGGTACAGTGTACAGAGCCTAACAACATTCTCACCGTTCAAGACAAGAAAGTTGGCACACAGCGATAACATCCTTAAAAATGGACAACTTCAAGGATAAAAGAGTTTACATATCACTCTATATGAAACATGTTAAAAAACTGCTGTAACAAATACTATATTTTGAATAGTGAAGATCATGTTACTACCAACTTTGCCAGTATGTCAAACGTCAACACATCTGAAACAAGGAACTGTTTAACTGGTTAAAACAGTAACAATAAGTATGAGTATTTCATTCCAAGAGAGCGACAGCTCACTTAAAGCTGTAGTTATTACATGATTGGAAACTGAACAAAAGGTCCGCAACATGCGTTCATTTTCACAGTGTTATATGGCAGTGGAAATTATTGTTAAATAATGTTGTAACTGTATTACATTGTTTCTGTTGAAATTCAGTAGAATCACATATCATTGTGTTTTGACAATAATTAGTTTTCCGGAATGTAGTACCATTTAATGTAGGTAGTGGTATAAAATGTGCTATATTTAGATGCGTGTGTAGTCAAGTGTGATCAGGAATCTTCTGGAATGTTCTAGTACAGCTAGACTAATCCAACACTGTATAAAGCCTTCCAGAAGATATTTAGACTAATAATAAGTGGGCAAATGCGTGCCTATATCATCACACCTCACATTACATCAAGACCAGCGGTTGTGTGAAGATCATTGTTTTCACCCTCGATATCCAGCCTTGGCCTATTTTGGAAGCTTGACTACTGCTCTCATATATTATACTGCCATTTCACTTGTATTGCTATTGAATTTTGCACTACCAGTCTATTGTGTACTGTCATTGTAATTTATGTACAGTCCTTTGTATTGATTTGTAAACCTAGTTAATTCACTAATACAATTGTCAAATGTATATCAATCCCTTGGTGTTCACTGCATTCTCTTGCGTACAGATTTCTAGTTTAATTTATTGTTTCAATTTGGGAATCGACACGAAACAACGGATTGCCTGTAGGCTGCGTGGTCTCATTTCCGGCACTCATCGCGCGCAGTCCCATTCTCTTCCTATAAGTCTGTGTTACTAGAGATTGTAGCAAGAATTTTGACAACACCAGTAGTCATGGCAAGGGAATCAGCTGTTTTTCAAAGGATCATTTTCAAAGAAAATAATAGGGCCCGAAAAACTCAAAGCGCACTATTAGCTTACCAAACGGACAGAATTTATGTTATATTTTTTGTTGCATCTCTTCGTGATAATGGTTTAATCATATTTCTTCATGAACAATCTCGTTTCCATTACAAAATGTAGGAAAAGGTCATTTCCTTAAGCGCGAGTATCAAAAAGTCATGTTCCTCCATTTTCATCATTGTGTGATTTAGTCATGGACCTTCATGCAATGACAATGGAGAGTTGGAAACTATCTATCCAAGGTAAATATGGAGACCTTGGAGCTGAAGGTTTGAACCAGTGACGTATGTGTGTCTTTAGTAAACGAAACTAACCAATTTAGATCTTTCTAAACGTCCGACAACACAAGGACTTTTACATAAAATCCAAGGTAGTTTGTACCATTTCTCTTGTGATTTACGAAGCTGAACGGTCATGTAATTGATCCCCACAATAGTCTCTGTTCACAGAATTGCAACCTAATTTCGGAACTGGCATCGCCTCATCATTGCCTACCGTCTCTCTCATGGTACTAGATGTATCTACCAGATAAGATACCTGATATCTGCACACTATAAGATAATCATATATCATCAATACAAAGTGCATTAAAGTCAACGATATTTCAGTATACTACCTGACTGGGCAGACATGGATACGCTACAATTGGCAAGTATTAGATGGTTTTCAATACTATTGAAATACATCTTCAGTATCTTCTAAATCAGCAACACTAGGTAGAGGTTTAGAATGAAACTGTTGTCTACTGGGACTGTACGATATCTAAAACAACCAAGTCAATTTGAGGGAGGTCGACGTCGTTTATCTGACCCAGTATGGTCTATAAAGATAGTCAAAAACGTCTTACTGTGTCCCTATCATTCCTATAAAGTAGCAAAAATAAATAACCTTGGTGAATATTCTTTAAAAAGTTCCTCAAAATGCACTTGAAGTGATAAAGGTATGATAGACAAACTGCCAAATATACAAGGAGAACTATTTACGTAAACAATTCCTGAAAGACAGCGGCGATGTTGTTGTTCATAATCTTGCAAGTATTTGTCCTATTGTGTACCAAAAATATAGCCAACACCGTACAGAGTATCATGTACATCGCATAACAATAGTCAACAAAAAATAATTTATGAATCATATATACAACAAAAAACAATATTTTAGAATATATATTTTCGACAATGATATAAATATGTATAAACAAATATTGTTGTTTTATGAAATCAAACAGTTCAATATATATTTACAGACTGGTTACATACTTGGCCTGTGATTATTTGACATAATACCATACTCATAACGATATGGAGGAGATAACCATGGACATTTGTTGCTGTACCTTGTACACACTTTAACGGTTGTGTCTGATGTTGGACGGATCACTATGGAGACACAGTATGAATTAGTGTATGACACAATAAGTTGGGATTTACACATCCCTGAACAGTATTTAAGTCACATCACTCACTTCTCGTCAGTTTGTGTGGAGAACGTTCAAAATGATACGGATTGTAGACCATTACCCTAACTGTCGCACCGACGGGCGTGTGATTTAGAATGGTGCTGACAGGCTCTGGGTGATAATTCGGTCGATGCCGTGATTTGATATCACGATTAGAACATTCTGGCGTGGCTATGCGACGAAACTTTACACAGCGAATATTCATGCGAGCCTAACCACCCGATCCGCTAAGTCGCTTCTTACAGCCAGCATAGATTGCTGGCGACCACTTCTAACCTGGAATCACGACGGGTTGCCGACCGCAATGACTCCTATAATAGAGAAAGTGCTTCAACCCCTACAATTGTAGTCACAACACCACGATAATGTATCCATCCATCCATATATCTAATATATAACATAACTAGGTAGACGTTGTCATGATGTTGTTATAGAGATGAAGTTGTTGTTGGTGTTAAAAGGATAACAGCATAATGGTCAGCAGAGCATCATGTTATGCAACTCTACACTGTGTACAACACTGCGTTAGCTGGACGGAATCTATAATACTTTAACTATATAATCAAAATACAAATGGATAATCATCATCATATACAGTAAACTACGTTTATAACGAACATGCCTATACCAAACTGACGGATATGACGAACTTTTTTGTCCCGGACATTTACTGTATATATGCTGTGCATATATTCATAACGAACTCCGGTTATAACGAACTAAAATTAGTGGCCCCTTTGATTTCGTTATAACAGTAGTTTTCATTGGTCATGATCTTGCAACAGCGACCAGCACACTTGAATGCTTGCATTCACACAAGAATTTCTAGACGAATAGTCTATATCTTCACTAAAAATATACTAGGAATCCATATCTACAGAGGGTAATCCACAGCAGGCGATGGTGATCGGGTGCGCTGAGGGGACTCTGCAACCCTTGACTTCGTCACTGGCCCAAGAATGGAGAGTATCACTGGGAAAAGGAACACAGCATGCAGCATGCCGAACAGGATCACTGTAAACATGATCTTGAAGAAGGAGTTGAAGATGTAGGACTTTGAGAACACCAGCACAAGAATGCCCAGAAAGGATGACAGTCCACCGTTTAATATGGGACCAGCTGCATGGACAATGGCAGATTCGGTTTTCTCTCTCCTGTTACTTCCCTTTCCAATCATATAGGCAGAGCACACGTGCACGCTGAAGTCCACCGAGAAGCCGACAGACATGATGAGATGGATCATTGTCACTGAGCTGAGACTCAGTCCCCAGATATAAAGGAACCCGAAGATGCCAACGAGGATAGAAACGACGTTCAGGACCACAAGGAAAACCAGAAGAGGATGAGGAAGGAAGATACAGGTGACCACAGTCATGACGACCAGTGCCAGACCCACAGTTTGTAGTGTATTGGGAAGGATGGCAACATACTGCTCAAAGAAGATGTAGGATGGGTAGAAGGTGTAGACAGAGAGAGGTGAGTTGTCTGCCAGAGCTCGCATTCGAACCATAACATCAGCTTGGGCATTGGAGTCCTTGATTTTAGTTGAGAAAAGGTAGCACCTAGATGCAGTAATAGAACTGTTGCTAGAGTCCAAAGCAACATCGTTCTCATACACTGTATTTGCTGCAAGGAATGTTTTCAATCCCGACACAAAGGCCGGGGAGCTGCTGCCATCGTAACTTGAATCGTTCCTGTAGCTGTGTAACCAGCAGATGAGGGAGTCAGCATCAACACTACTGTCGGACTTTGCATTCTGTATTAGCGAATCAATGTTATTTAAAGTTTGTGTGTTGGTGTAGTCCGTTGTCGACCCAAAGACAAATGGGATTGGGAATGCACCTGAGAAGTATGTGTCATACGTTTCACTGTATGAGTAAAAGTAAGAGGTTGAGGAAACAAGATTCTTCAGAATCAACCCTTCCTTAAAGTTGATTGTTCCCCAAATGGAAACACCAAGGTAAACAATATATAATAAAATAACAACTATTTTCCCCCACATATTCAGCAACATTCGTGGCAAGTACTTCCGTGGCAGTGTCTCAAAGAATCGTTCATCCTGACCCCTCTCTGTTGGTGGTGAGCCTCCACAGCATAACACTCTGCAGGTGGAGGCGCCATCTTTCCTGAGTTCGTCTCTGGATTTGGTTTTGAGGCAGGTCATGCAGTGTTTGTTACTGTCAACCCGACGGCCATGGATGGCGAGGCAGGGGGAGAAGAGGAGGCACTGGTACAGGTAGCAGAAGATGACGGCCACTCCTGTGAATGAGAAGAATATAGGTACAACGAATATGAACGCTATATGAGTTATTAAAGGAACACGAAATAGACCGGTTGGTGAGGTGAAATGGGGTTTTACGTTAGGTTAAAGACTGTTTCACTTACATGGTGACGTGCCTGCACGTGTGTGTTCGGTTGTTTGTACTACCTAGTGCTTATGCCAGTTTCATAGAGATACCATGCCACAGCTTAACATGGATAACCCAGGCATTTTTGTATCCCCTTATTGCCGAGCGCCATTCTTATGTCCAAGCAGATGCTCTATCCACAAGACCACGGAGGCGGTAAAAGATTGCAAACTGGCCAGCACGTGCGAACTGTAAAAAGAACTGGGATTCGAACCCACAATAATAGGTTTCTGGTGTACCCAAGGGACGCAACTCTGCACAGAGAATCGCGGCGCCTTAGACGACTGGGCCACCCATGCCCCCTATGGAGATAACAATTGTACTGATTGTATAAAGTACTGATTTACCGGACAACGTAGAGACAAAAGCAGAGAATGGTGTCATTCTGAAAATTTGAATTGATGGTAATTGACATCTTAACTGAAGCCAGGTAGGTGTAACTGGTTTGGGGCTGATATACACCATACTAACCTGTGTATACACAGAAGTTCCTCACACTGAGAAACACAGATGACACGCCAGTTAAGAAGGCCAGGAGATCAGTGAGAGACGTGATGGTGATACCGATACCCGCTGAGGCAAAGGTCATTCCCATCCTTTCGGCGACGGACTTGTCTCGGTAAGGGTAGGTCTCCGCCCAGCTGGACATCAACAGGAACATGTCGTCCACACCGATACCTTCATCAACAAGAGGATTGGAGTAATGACTTGTGAATGAACATTCGGAGTTCAAGTGTATTAAAATAAATCCAATATATTAAAATGTATATTTCGCTCGAATAAAATACGAATTCTTGTCGGAACTACTTTCACTTTGATTGAATGATAATAATATTAATCAGCTAACATTTTCATGCGCCACTAGTGAAGACATCAACTGTCTTGCCAGTCGGTGAGATATATATATTAACTGACGGGGAACAAGTATCATCTCAATATCCAAGGACAGTCTATTGCAAATTCTACTTGATAATGATATTAAGGATTATTAAACCATCTTGTGCAATGTCACTTAAGGGGTTTGCATATTATGCCCGTTCTGGTGTAGTCTAAAACATACCTATGACTAAGAATGGTGTCACGCCAACGATGTTGACGAACTTGACACCACAAAGGCTGACAAGTCCAAATGAAGACAATATGCCAAATCCAGCAGCAAGAACGCCAGCCCATGATGCCCACGTCCTCGATGACACCACATCACCGCCGGCGACGACAGTGGCATACGTGATCATCAACGTGAAGGTTATAGAGAAGAACACGATGTCTCCGTTTGTGTTTTTGTTTAGCTCTGTGTCCAGCGAATGGGAGGCAGCATAGTTTATCCTTGTTGATGTTGTGTTTAAACTTGCTACTCTCTTCAGGAACGCTTCTTCCCATGCTCTTGCTTTTGCCTTGTTAACCCCTGAGTCCATTCGTAAATCAAACGTAATACTCAGGTACTTTGCAGACACCAGTTTTCCACCTGTCGAATCAACCTGTCCAAGAAATGCTGATATGTCTATGTTATTCCAGTTTGGGTAGGTGATTCCACCAGACAGATACACATTATACACAGCATCTGTTGTGAGAAACTCCCCTGAAACATAGCAACTACCGTCCTGCCGAGCACAGATATCGCTGTAAGTAAACACTACATTGTCATAGGTTGCATTAATACTTTTGACTTCATTTATTTGGGTTCGTATTTCTTCAACAGTAGCATTAGTGAACACGTTCCCACCTGTCGTGCTGCTTATCAACAATCGGCCATACATGTCAAGAGCCGTAAGTGCATATCCGCGGTAGTTGCTTCCTGTGGCGTCTGGGAACGTGGCCTGGTACTGAACTCTGTCTTGTGATGCTCTGCTGTTAATGGGCGTGTACAGTGTCTCTGTGTCAGTCTCGTTGGATAACGTAAGCATGCCAAAACTAAGACCAATTGCCACAATGACAGATCCGATAATGAGAGCCACGGGATACGTTCCGATAAAAGTACCAATCTTTTTGAAAATCCTCTGGAAGAATCCGGACACAGTCTCAAAGCAGGCGTTTACAGAACAAGACATATTGGTAGTACTCTTTTGGAAGTATCTGGAACAAATAACAACGATACATTCGGATATACCAATAGTATCATACGTAGAATATCGCAGGTGCATTGTAAATTAACACAAACGCATGGCATATTAGTCTAATACTGCAGGAGACATATTTGAATGTAGCCTCAAGTCGGTGCTCTGCCCATCAGGAGCTGGCTTGTTCATTATTGGTTTATTGTCGTGCATCAGAGTCCCGACCGTTTGTCGTTTCTAAATGTCGTAAACTTGCTGTCATGGAAAGTGATTGACAATGTGTTTCTGTCAAATAGCTTGCAAGGTTAACAAATTGCTAATGATGTGTTGTTGTTGTTGTTGTTGTTGTTGTTGTTGTATAACGCCGCACTCGGGTGAGATAAATGCCGATCTATTCCATCACTTCCTGCACATACAACACGTTTGAAGTCTGATGTCCAAATTACCAACACATTGCACAGTGTTTACTATGAAATTACACGTACTTCAGACACCACACAGTTATGTCACACGTATATATATACTGCTCAACACTTGGTAAGGACAGCAAGCTATTTCATACTGGGTTGGTTGGTTGGTTTGTTGTTTAACGCCGCACTCAGCAATATTCCATCTATATGATGACTGTCTGAATATAATCGAGTCTGGACCAGACAATCCAGGGATTGACATGATGAGCATCGATCCAAGCTATTGGGATACGATGACATGGACCAACCAAGTCAGCGAGCCTGACCACCCGATCCCGTTAGTCGCCCCTTATGACAAGCATAGTCGCCTTTTATGGCAAGCATGGGTTGCTGAAGACCTATTCTATCTTCACAGTCCAAATTGCTAATTGGTAATGATATTGGTACTGATTCTGGTGTCCCCCTGTCGTGATATGGAATATTGGTAAGAACTGTGTAACTTACTGTGACTTATATCTTATCAATAGGCGGATGTTACGTTTATCCGGCTTAGAATTTAACTCCAGCACATTATGCTTGTCGTAAGAGGCGACTAAATGGAGTGGTCAGGCTTGGTGGCTTGGTCGACAGCGTGCCGTCGATCCCAACGTGGAGTGTTGCTCATAATATCAATCACTGGACTGTCTGGTCTAGAATCGAGTATTTACTGGAATATTCGTGAGTCCCGCGTTAAACAACATCAACGCAGCTGTGTGCGTGAAGGATCCACAGTACAGTTATTCGACTTTACGTTAGTAGAGGGGCTAAACTCATGAAATATGTAACGTGTAGCTGACAACGCCCTCTCGCACAGAGTTACACAAGCAGTTAAATATTTATACCTTCTTTTAATCATGTCTGTTCACTACTTCTTATGCAAAACAAGGATTAATGTCGACGATGTTGAGCGACCCTTACGATGAGGGTCAGGGTTGAGGTTAGGGGTGGATCAGAAGAAATCAGGGGAGGGTCACCAAAAATATGGCTGTCTCTAGAGGAGGGTCATAAAACACATACACATAATAAAGGAGAACCATGGTAACATGGACAATTTCTAATTAAAAATAAAGTGCTTTTGCATTTTTTAAAATTTTTTTCAGGAAGGGTCATGAAATAACTGCACAAGGACATGGTGTGGGTCACCCAAAATATGACATGCAGGGGGGAGAGGGGAGGCGTTATTATTTTCTAGCACAGGAGTGCATCACAAACCTCTGACCCACCCACCCGTGATAAATAGCCTGTCCCTTATTCGTCCTGATACTCCCTGAACAGGTAAAGCGGATTTGTTCATTAGAAGAAAGACCCGAGTAGATCCGGGGTAGAATAGGTCTTTAGCAACCCATGCTTGCCGTAAAAGGCGACGATGCTTGTCGTAGGAGGCGACTAGCGGGATCGGGTAGTCAGGCTCACTGACTTGGTTGATGCATGTCATCGATCTCAATTGCGTGGATCGATGCTCGTGATATTAATCACTGGATTGTCTGGTCCAGACTCGATTATTTACAGACCGCTGTCATGTAGCCAGAATATTGCTGAGTGCGGCGTTAAACAACAAACCAACCAACCAAGACCAATCATTAGAAGATCGTTGTTAAGTTGCAGCTATCTACTGAAATTGATTTACGTCATTGTAACCAACGAAGCGACTCATGCGCTACAATGATTTGACCCACATCCATGCCCACACGTGCGTGATATTGACTTGCCACGTGATTGATTGATTCAGGACTCGTTCATCCGTGTGAGACAGACATGCTATTGTAGGAATACACGGATATGGATGTTTTTGAAACGATACCATATGAAGGGTTAAATGATTCCTCCACAAAACAGATAGTCCTACCTGTTTGAGAGTATAAGCTTTTGAAAAAACTGCTAATGTTACATAATGAGTGGGAATGATGAGAGAAATTGCGTTTTCTATTAATGAGCGAAATGAATACATTTTGACACACTAGGGTCAATACTGGTCTGGTTTAAGTAGTACAATGACTGGTTAACCCTCCTCATGCTTACCATGCGTGTCGGTCGTTGTAAGTAAATCCAGTCTATCCTCGCCTCCACAGCGGGATCCTGGCACAAGCGTGTCTGGCCAAGTGGGGCGGCAGCACTGTCATAATAAACCGTCTTTTGCTGTCTTATTTTCGATACATGACACTAGACACAGTCCCTGCTTGGAAAAGTATATCTCATGGCACCAGTCATGGCACCAAACAGATAAGGACTACGCAATCGGGAGGTTTGCGCTGGCGAGACACCAGATCAGGTAATCGATATTGCGCTGACAGGCTGGATCTGCGCAGACTCGACAATGCTAAATTTATTCTTACATGTTGTATTAGTCACGTGGAGTGTTATACATTACATATATCCCGTTACTTAATGTAAAGCCAGCATGAGAGGTGTTTGGCTCTGTTGCTTGGTGAAATATTCTATATGACAATCAGGTTGCCAATTACCCCCACACGTCTGCATTGTTATATTACTTCAACTCACAGGTCATGTCGGTCCTTGATGCAGAAATTCATTGTTCTCTGGTCGTGTCGATGATAACAATGAAGCACGTGCTTGTTGCTAACACACAGTGACAGCAATGTGGACTTCAAATCATATCTTTGAAGTTTGCATTGGAATTACCAACGCAAATTCATATCATGCAAATCTCTAAATAAATGTATGATTTAACCGATCAAAACGCCAAAGATAATTATCATGGATGAAACTTATATATCATCACATCACATTGTAACTATAAGCCACAAAACCCTTCTATATTCATAAGAAGTCTCTGCCAAAAGAGTCGATTGTACGATTCCGGCTATATCACGAGCAGTGTTTATGAAACATTAACAGTGATGATACGAGGGCTGGCTGAAAAGTTCTAAGCCTAAGTGGGATATCTCCATCGGATTGAGACAAACTTTTGCCACCAACAAGTACAATCATTTAATGAATCATAGACATAAGAACTGCAACTATAGTGTTATTACTGTCTTTGGAACAAGGCCATCTTGTGAACCTACCCATTGAAATCACCAGAAATGGACAAAACTGGCTATAGGGCAGTCATCAAGTACCTGCAACTCCAACACAGATACATGCTGACATGGTCTCCACTTTAGGGGATGATGCCCCTTCCTTTTCCACTGTAAAGAAGTGGGCTGCGGAATTCAAGCGTGGCAGAGAGAGCCTTGACGATGCACCCGCGTCCAGGAAGGCCTTCAACAGCAACCATTCCGGAAAACATTACCCGGGTGCATGACATGGTGATGGCTGATCGACGATTGACCACTCGACATATTGCCAGTGTTGTGGGCATCTCTCATGAGAGGGTTGAGCACATTATCACCAACGAGTTGGGAATGACAAAAGTTTCTGCAAGATGGGTGCAAAAGCTCTTGACAGCGGATCAGAAACGTGTCAGATTCCTGACGTCCCGTGACAATGTATGCCGTTTTGAAGCAGATCCCGATGATTTTTGGCCCGATTTGTAACCTGGATGAGACCTGGATTCATCACTTTCAACCAGAAACCAAAATTCAGTCTAAACAATGGAAGCATCCGGAATCACCAGCCCCTCAAAAAGCCAAGTCGGTTCCTTCTGCTGGAAAAGTGATGGCTTCAGTCTTTTGGGATTCCAAGGGTATTCTGCTGATTGACTATCTTGAAAAAGGCCAGACTATCAATGGAAGATAATATGCTGACCTACTGAGACAGTTGCGTGAAGCTATCAAGCTAAGCGACGGGGAATGCTCCTGTTCCACCAAGACAATGCTCCTGTTCACAAATCGGTTGTTGCCATGTCAGCGATCCATGATTGTGGCTTCGAACTCATTGACCATCCCCTTATTCGCCCGATTTGGCCCCGTCAGACTTTCACCTGTTTCCCAAAATGAAAAAGGAACTAGCCGGTCGCCATTCTCCTAGTAGTGATGACGTCATTTCCGCTGTGAATGACTCTTTTAGGGTGGCTGAAGAAAATTTCTTCTTGACCGGCATCCAGGCCTTGCAGCATCGCTGGCAAAAGTGTGTAAACCTGGAAGGGGACTATGTGGAGAAATAAATAAAAACATCGACTGGGTACGGGTCTTTCACAGTTAGGCTTAGAACTTTTCAACCAGCCCTCGCATCATGTGTTCGCGAAAATGTGAGCGTATTCTGCCTCACCGGTGGCACCCGTCACAAACACATGCAAAGGCAAGTCAATTGTAAATAATTGTAAATAACAAACAATTGTTAATAAAGGATACATTTATCACGCATTGAGTTTCTGGAATGAAGAAAAATAAAGTAATATACTGAACAGAACTGGCATGACAGCTTACAAGAAAATCATACATGTAAAGTTTAACATTAAATGCTATCACAATTTCTATTTTTAAGATAGCTTTTGCACAACAAAGATGTGAGTATTCGTCATTAAAAATAGATGGTGTGTGCGTGTGCGTGTGCGTGTGCGTGTGCGTGTTTGTGGGGTGGGGTGGGGGTGGGGGGGGGGGGGGGGGGGTAGTAGAGGGACCTGGGAAAAGACTTTACAGCATTTTCGGGACTCAATTATAAAGACTTACTTAAAGTTGCCTCTTTAACATAGCTCAGATGAGTGAGCGAGTGGTTTAACGCCGATGTTAACAGTATTCCAGTTATATTGCAGCGTGTCAGTTTAATGTGGGAGGAAAGCCCGAAGTGATGCAGATCTCAGACGTTTACACTTTCTGTGAAACCCACGAGCACGGGTATGGTGCTGACAAACCTAGAAACATAATCGGGGCGAACCGGGATTCGAACCCACAATCATAAGTTCCTGGCGTGCCCAAAGGACGCAACTCTGCACAGCGAATCGCGGCGCCTTAGACGACTGGGCCACCCGTGATGCCAAGCTCAGATAAAGAAGCACTGTTGTCCAAGGCGACAAGGGCTAATGAGGCGTCATGGGCTAACGAGTCAGAAAACTGTTTGTTACATGACTACCTGGATTGGCGTCTACACTTGTTATCGCCGTATTATTAACTGCGCAACACAATGGTCGTTAACTGAAGCCGACTACCCGTGAAACTGCCTATTGTGACCCTACAATAGTCAATCCCGGACAACAATTGTGGCGATTATATCAGGCAAATCGCTGAGTTTTATTATCAGACAAGACCGACTTGACCTGCAATAATTGTGTATTGTTGTCACACACAACACAGTATGATACTCGTAGTTATTAGCTATTGGGTTGATGATACGCATATGGACACCACAGCACATGTTCACATATGTGAACTTACCACATAGGTTAGTGCAATGACGTCAAAATGTGTATGACTGTTTCAAAATTGAACTTAGGACATCACTTCTTCGCAGCAGTTATTTATAATGTCTTGACAGACTGATTATTACATTCGTATCTGTATCACAGTAATAGCTCAGAAATTACAACAATCCTGACCCGCGTATCTTAAAAATAATGACACATGCGCCCATGTAATAATTAACGAGTCACACATTAGTCTCGTTTGTTTCGAAGATGGGATAATCTAGGGCAGAATCCTGTATGGCTGAGGGCACTTTGATGTTATGCTGTTTGAAGCCAACCGGGAAATACCAGAGAATCGGCACAAGCTGTTGTATCAATAGTTTCTGTTATTATTCGCGTTATTGCACGCCAATATAACTTGTAACGTAATGTACAGTATGTTTCTCGATACCGGGGTTGCAAATCGATGCGGATAAGGCGTGTGTGGTTGGGTTAGGTGAAATGGGGTTTAACGTCGCGTCCAAGTTTATTGCACTTATATAGCGACATGCATGCACGTGTGTGTGTGTGTGTGTGTGTGTGTGTGTGTGTGTGGCTGCTTGTACTAGTCCGGAGTGATGCCGATTTATAGTGCTAGCACACTGAGATACCATGCCGCAGTTTAACATGAATACCCCACTCAGACACAGTATACTGACTCCGAGCCGACCAGTCCTTGTTTTAGCCCCTCAATGCCGAGCGCCAGACAGGGTAACAACAAGTACAATATTTTAACGTCTTTTGGTATGACGCGGCTGGGGATCGAACCCCGGACCTTCCGCTCTACCATTAGACCACGGAGGCGGTCCTGTGTGGTTGGGAGGGGTGTAAGGCGTGTGTGGTTGGGAGGGGTGTAAGGCGTGTGTGGTTGGGAGGGGTGTAAGGCGTGTGTGGTTGGGAGGGGGGGGGGGGGGGGAGCGGCTAAGGCGTGTGTGGTGGGGGTCAGACTTTATCACGTGTGGGTGGTTTTTTGGGGGAGGGGATAACTATTTCTTTCAAATAGGGCTCACACCTTATAATAAATGAAGAGATTCAAACCCACAAGCAGCGGATCCTGGTACCACTAATGGATGCAACTCTGTACAGTAAATTGTGATAGTTGCCACTGAACCCATGCTCAATTAGAAAATATTAAAAAGCATTGTTGAAAGATATAGTTATGTAAAATATATCACGTTATCTCTACAATGAATAAATAATTCAATCGTATGTACATAAATCAGAAAAATATAATTACAGAGACAAATATTGACTTATTGCTTAACATACCACTGTGGACATTAGCTTTACTATGAATAAATAATTCAATCGTGTGTACATAAATCAGGAAAATAATTACAGTTACAAATAAAACAATGACTAATTGCTTCATCGTGACAAACTCGTGTTATTCCGGGACAAGCCGAATAGCGACTCGTGCCCCTCTCATGGCCATTTGTGCGACCGGGTTCCGTCTTAGCGCAAACGGGCATACCTAAAACAATTGTCAACTCGTTGCGTAATGGTTCACATATATTTCCCCATATATTATATATATTTCAGATGCAATTTAAAGCATATCGGGACATGCGGAATTATACAGTAAGATTGAACACATTTAACTGTGTCTTGGGTATATTTTAAGATGCAAGACATGTGTAAAATCAAAAATTATTTCTGAGGGATTCTTTGACGAAGAACTTGAAATCATACGCGCATTCTCATTGGTTTCACGTATTTTCGCACATAACATTCATCGATAGGGGGACGAGTCTTCTTGCAGGTTACGGAAAAAATAGATTCTTCTCTTTGTTACAATGTGCGGAATTAAACCCAGGACTTAGCAGTGATGAGCAAATGAATTAACCACTCGGCTACTCCACTGACCCACCAAGCCTGAAAAGTTAATTGGTTCATTGTGATTAATCCTCGTCAAGCGTTAATTGAGTTTTTATTGAAGGCTGTACACTAAATACATGTGCTAATGTTCAACTAATGGTCCCTTAAGAATACAAACACAACACGGCCACACTTGAGTGTTTATTGAAGGTTGTTCCAGTGTTGATGCTGACAACACAATCTCATTAAAATCAGATCTTAGTTCTCGCTACCGCTGAACAAAGATCTGAGGACATCCGATTACGGGTCACGTTAGACCGACCTTGCGCGAACTTTGACCGACAAATGGAATGACCAATCATAAGGCAGCTTTCTCGTGCTTTACGGCAATAATTTCAAATTGGCGACTTCGCTTCGAAACATATTTTGACAAATTCCGATTAAAAAATTGAAACCTGAACAAAAAACATTCTGGAATGGCTAATAGATGGTCTAGATTGTAAGGAATCAGTCGTTAAATCCGTAACTATCGTTCGGTATACCCCATGTTAAAGTTTTAAAGGTTGTATGATTAGATATCACACTCTGACTGTCACTTTCATAATCTGGTAAGCGACGCACTGATTGGTCGGATGAAAGGTCGGTCTGACATGACCCCTAATGGAATGTCTTCAGATCTTTGTTTAGCGGTAGCGAGAACTAAGGTCTGATTTTAATGAGATTTCAGACAACACAGAGTATATTTACTCATGGGACCACAAAACAGAAGCGGAGATGTCGGACTGCACAAGGTTTCTATATGATAATACAGGTGGCTGCGTCAGGACTGAAACTTTTAGTCAGATTAGACAGATATCGGATTACAATAAATGTAATGAAATTGCTTTTTAAACCTGTACCTGAAAAGTGAAAGAGGAACCAGCAGTCATCCAGAATGTGACATAAAGATGAGGGGTGTCTTTCGTAGAAGGCACTGTTTTGGAATGACAATTGTTTCAGAGTGAGTGAGTGAGTGAGTGAGTGAGTTATATCATGGCATGTAAGTTCATGGGGTGGGAGCCCTAAGTCATGTAGGTCTTAAACTTTACCATTTGGGTGAAACCAGAGACCATATAATCTGTTGGTGCTACAACAGTCCTAGCACTAGGAATGCCTTGTTTAAGTGGGGCTGCAGATATATTTCGGAAAAAGTTCAAAATTTATAATCCTTTTTCACTGTTAAATATATTAACACTGAACCAAAAATATGAGTTTTACCACTGCATAACATGATGAAATACTTAAATAACATACTATAGACATATATGAACAGGAATTGTATGTAAACACAAACCGCATACTGATTGTGTGGAAATTCCCAGCATGTTCCCACCACAAAGCTCCAGCTACCTTGAGACGATCGCAACTCCTTCATGGGGATCTCAGATTGCTTGGAGATGAATTCACAAGAGCCTGACCATGTTAATTTCTTCTTTAATGAATAGCCTACCATTAATTATGCAGAAGTAAATATTTTCAAAAGATGACTGAAAATATTCTCCAATACAATAAACAGTTTTTCGTTTGAATTTGGTTTAAAATATATGTGCCAAGAAGTAAGACGAGTTCTATGGATGAACATCTTCTTTTTTACAATTAGTGCGACGTTTCGGTGTAGATCCTAACACCTTTATCAAGCAAGTGATATCACTCGTCTTACTTCATCACACCAACTTCTAAATGCCACTGAAAGAAGTTATGTGCCAAGAGTTTACTAAGGTAAAAAAACCTACATCAACAGTAGCATGTTGTTTTTTTGTCTCCTTCTTATTGACCAAGATAATCTTGAAACTGAAACACCAAACTGACATGATCGGGTCCAAACATAATAGTTGGCCTTGGAAATTAAGTAGCTTTTCATTATTAGTTATCATTGCTTGAAATTTTCCTCTATTATTTCGCCTTTTTTAAATTCCTTTCTCTCGATGATAACAACCATTATTCACAACTATGTCTTTAACAAGAGTTTTACCAAAATGGAACAAATCAAACATTCTCCCCCCCCTAAAAAAACCCAACAAAACAGCTCTGTACAACCCTACACATATTTTCAAGAAGGTCTTGTGTAAATACCAACTTTTCAGTGATGTCTGGTTGAACATGACAAATAGGAATCATCAAACAAAAAACAATCAACAAAATAGACACTTTGTGACTGTTGTGTACGAACCAAACCAATGAAAACAAGATTCTTGAAGCTGGTGTAATCATGACATGAGCATAAGGTACAAGCCACATGCTGAAAGATATATCTGTGGGCTCCGATATCATGTTCACAGCAACTGTTTGATTGGCATTCTGGAAGATGGTGAGTAGATAAGAATCTACATCAAAACATCCCCAAATGCAATGAACCAGAAGTTGTTATCCATAAAATTGTACATGTTCTTATTGAGTTCACAGTAACAGCACTGTTTTAATCCTGTAAGTACCAGAATTCGAACAGATTCTTGAGCACACATGTATGACATCTTTGTGTCCCTGTGCCTATGTACAACATGAATCAGAATCGCCATCTCTGCTGGCTGCTGATCTCCGATCCACATCAGTCCAACCACCTTCCGGTTCCACTCCAGCATCCCTATCCCGACTTTGATATCTCGTCGCTCGCTACCCATCGTCACTTCGACCGAGATGGGGCCTGGGCGTTCAGGTCAGGGAGAATGTGTCCGCAGTAATCCTGCTAAACATCATGCAGCTGAAGGACATCCTGGAGCTATTTACAAATTCTTCTTTCTTTCTTCAACTCTCTCCTTCCGCTGCGCTGACGTTTCGTAAGGCTGACATTTCATGTGAAACACTGGACACTCTATGCGGAATTCGGTGTCTGAAATAACATGTCAAAACAAAGTTGGAAAGCATACTTGTTTGTGTTGGACTCTGATAATTGTTAAAACCCGGATTGGAAGCCAAGAAATCTGTGGCATAGGCTGTATCTTTATTTTAAAGTTTCAGCATGTTGTGCAGAAGAGGCAAGGAGAATAGCTGATAATCCCTCAACTGTGTGTGAGCACATACACACACAGAGACACAGACAGACTGACAGACAGACACAGTGACACACTCGCATACACACATACACACACAAACACAGACACACAGAGACACAGAAACACACACACAGACAGACAGACAGAGTGACAGTGACACACTCGCACAGACACATACATGAGGAAAGATGCACACACAGACACTCATACACACAGACACACACACTGACATACACAGACATATAGACAGACACACAGACACACACCTCCCCACAGTCATGTGCATGCAAGGCTTTATCACAGTTAGTTTATCACAACTTACTCATTGTCCCAGTACAATTTGATTCAAAATATTGGCCCAAACAAATTCCACGAAAATCTTGACGAGTTTTCTTTTTCACAAGAACCGTAGCAAACAAAGTGTCTTGGTCAAGTTGTCAACTTTTTTTAGTTCTACTTGTTTCAAGGAAAACACCTAACAATACAAAATTTCCCATTACCTCTACATAAATGAAGCACAACTTGACAAACCTATTTATATATGTGCAAATAGTGTGTACTTAAATCAACTGAATGGTTAGACGCCATTGACATTTGATAGCAGTGGATAACAGGAAATATACAATAATAACAGCGACAAAACCTTTTCCCTACCCTTAAGAAATCTTTGCCCCAAACAGAGTGAATTGTACAATTCAACTTTATCATCAACATGTGTTTTTGAATCACTGTCAAATAGCGATGATACCTGGAGTTTATGAAAAGGTGAGTGTATCCTGCACCACTGGTGTACCCATCACAAACACATGCAAAGGCAAGTCAGTCGGTAACAAATGTTATTTTAATTAACAAGCCATGTTAAAAAATGTAATTTCATGAGCATCATATCTCCATTCTGTAGTGGTGAATACTCTGGACCCAATAACCAACATAGCTTCATTCCGTTTCAATTTCATAACCATCACCATCACAAAACAGAACCGAATTCTTGAAATTAACAACCAATCAAAACACCTCTTATGGACACAAGTTTCGCATAGATCAAAATCAGTACCTTATCCAAAGTACACTCGACATGATTAATCAAATTAGAAGACTTTTACAACTTAAAGCAAGAAAAGAGGTGCGTTGCAAAGCACCAATCTCTTGAAAGTGATGTACAGCAATTCGCCTTACAAGAGTGCACTAACGTTCAGCCGCTTGCAAGTGAAACAATCGCTGGCTGAGGGCACTTTGTACTCAAACGTAAATGGCGGCTGACTTTGACAGCGGAACAAGAAATCCTTGACTGGATCAACCGGGAAATGAGCAAAAGCTAACATCGAATCATCCTCAGTCTGCTCCATATCTACAAAGTAGTCATAAATTTCATCAGCTCGTCATCGAGCCTCTCCTATTACATTTTTCATTAAGTCAAGGCAACAAAGCAAGAGTTGCAACGCGATTTTGAAAGAGTGCGTAAGCGCTTCAAACTGTTGCAGACCCCAGGATGAACGATTAATTTTCTTTCTCTAAGCGATTCATAAATCGCAGCTGAAAATACACAACTACAGGAATACCATACAGACCAACTGTCCCTGCCCCAGCGGCACATCGGACAGTTCCACTGATCTTCAGCTCACCTTTATTGAGACTTGTCATAGTGAAATAGCCCTTCATGTTGCCATATGTTGTAGGGAATGTCGTTCCACTCTCCCAAGAATATTCCTCTCCAGGAATCAGAACTGGGTTTTCACCTGTATGAACAGAAACTGACATGTAACCATGGCAACTGAATCATGTTTTTACCAGTATCAAAGTTGATACTTTACAGAACCTGGTTTTCACCTGTATCAAAATAAACTGACACGTCACCATGGTAGGGGAATCACATTTTATCTGTATCAACAGAAGTTGACATTTAACATAAACAGGTTTTCACCTGTAGCAATGGATACTGACATGTAACCATGGTAACAGAACCAGATTTTCACCTGTGTCAACAAAAACTGACATGTAACCATGGTAACTGAATCACATTTTATCTGTATCAACAGAAGTTGACATTTAACATAACCAGGTTTTCACCTGTAGCAATAGATACTGACATTTTACCATGGCAACAGAATCAGGTCCTCACCTGTATCAACTAAATGTGACATGTAACCATGACAACCAAACCAGATTTCCACCTGTATCAATAGAAACTCACATGAAACCATGGCAACGGAATCAGTTTTCACCTGTGTCGACTGAATGACACTGACAGCCAGCTCAAAGTGATCTTAGCACCATGACTGTCTTATATTCCTGGGTGCCCTTGTACAAAGCAATCTTAGCGCTTAGGTGATTGTAACTCTCATACCTTAACATAGACATACGACAGTCTTAGCACTAAGTTTGTTTTGTACAAAGGTACCCTGCACCTTAAGACAGTCTTAGTGTTAAGATAGTTTAGTCCAACTGAGCCCTCAGCACAATCATTGTCAGGAAAACATGGAGAAATCAATAACATCAAAATCCTAATAAATGGTTCATACAGAATTTCAGTCAAAAAAGTATTGGCCTTTTCAAGGATCCATCCCCTAAATTCAATGCCAAGCAAATAAAAACATTTTATCACACTTGCCCCAAAAGGATTAAATATAAAGTACTGGTACCATGCTTCTGGCCCTTCCAAACAATCTGTAACAAATTCAGGTATAACTGATTCTAACTGAAGGGAGATAACTCTATGGTTACTAACGACAAACATGTAAGACTGGGCTCCTGTCTACCTAAATGAATAGACAGGTGGTGGCCAATTTCTCACAGGGTGTGATTGGTCGACACTAAACACAAAACTCACTGGTCCTTTGTATCCAATGTTAACAAATGACATCCTATGTGAAGTCTGTTTGTGAGACTACAATTGTTCTCGCTACACTTAACCAGAGCAGAAACGTTTGCTGTAATTATTAACGTCCCAAACAAATTAATTGCTTGAATACTTTCAAGGTGTAGACATGATGTCATGTTTATAGAAGTCAAAGTACAGTACCCATGTATGCTCGTAACTGGCAATGGTACAGATTTGTCCTACTATTTTGGGCTGCCACCTGCTGGCCAGAAGCTGAAAGCTTTCCTCACGTCCCAGCAGTGGAACCAGCTGACGAACATGTTCATGTTTTCTTCCAAGTTTGTACAAGATTTTTATAAGATTTTTCTTAACCATAAAATCATACATGTCTTTTAAAGTTATTGACTTCAGAGGGTGCTTGGTCCAGAAAATTGAAGGTCTTTTCAAGAGTAAATCTAATTCAAGGCCGGCACAGGGGTGTTCACCTTCCTTTTTCAAACAAATAAAAAAAACATTTAACTGAATCTTTGGTTTGGTTTGGTTTGTTTGTTGTTTAACGCCGCACTCAGCAATATTCCAGCTATATGACAGCGGTCTGTAAATAATTGAGTCTGGACCAGACAATGTGATATGTTTGCAACAATATGAAGAAGACTACAAAATGCAAATGGTGTCACATATTGATTACATTCACCTCGCTTGTTGCATACCCTTTAATAATTCAGGCGAACCAGTCAACCATGACTACAAATACGCACCTACAACTCCTGGCCCCTCCACAATTTCCTCATTAACATCCATGTCGGTGATGGACCAGTACCGCGACAACAGCTGACAGGACTCATACACGGGGGCATCGTCATGCATCTTCATCCTTCAAACAAACACACTGTGTCATACAGGTAGCGCTTCTTATCATACTGCACACATGAGGAGAATATTAATTAATCAGAGTGGAAATTACTTGTGATGTCTCGCTAAGGTGCTCAGGTGGGTACTTATGTTAGTCTGTTGACATACAAGATGCTTTTGAGGGTAGCAAGGTGCTAAGGTTGGTAATTACATTATTCTGTAGACATGGAAGAAGATCGGGGATGCACGGTACTTACGTTATTCAGTAGACATAGAAGAAGCTAGGGGATGCACGGTACATACGTTATTCTGTAGACGTAGAAGAAGCTCGGAGATGCACGGTACTTACGTTATTCTGTAGACGTAGAAGAAGCTTGTGGATGCACAGTACTTACGTTATTCTGTAGACGTAGAAGCTCAGGGATGCACAGTACTTACGTTATTCTGTAGACGTAGAAGAAGCTCGGGGGATGAACGGTGCTGAGGTCTGGCATAAAGCACGAGCCTGCCTTCACTGTGAACTTGCCTCTTGTTACACTCACACAGTCAGGTACATCTAGAAACCTGTAACACAAACAACACATGCTAAAATGTTTACACTTCATTCTTCTACTCTGACATGTATAAAGACATGATGATCACTGAGGAGGAACCACATCTCAAGTGTCCTGGCATAACTGTCCCAGGGTTCTGTCTTTATTTGTCCTCGTTACAAGAAACATGTTACCTAGTTATGTTTGGCTGCACGTAAACAGACAAGTTATACATAAACATCACCTTCAAAATAAATTAAACACGCTAGCATTTTAAAGCAAGACCTCTGTTTTTACTTTCTCGATGTTTGGATTCGTTTGTAAAATATCCTAGTTGGTAGATAGGAAAAAAAAATAAAGGAGAGAGTTCAGATTTTCTTTGTTTGTCAGAAGGTGATCTCAATTTGTTACCATGTGCCTGATGTGAGGAGCGTTCCTAACATCTGTCTTGTCAGTCTTGCCCAATATTAATCTATGGTACACACAATTATTATTTTCATAACTTAGGACAGACCTATTTTTTATCGTGTATTACAGATCCATCCGCCTGACAGAATTTTCCCTCATTTCGAATTTTTAAAAAATATTTTTTTAATAATTTGCCAACACAAAACATTGATGGATTTCTCAATGGAAGGGAAGCAACTCTTCCACAATTGTCACCTGCGATCAACAGACATGAGACACGGGTTTTACACTCGATGTCTGCTGTATCTCTTCCAATCAAATCATGTCTTGCTCATTACTGTCGTATGCACATTTTTCAATAACTCAAAATGGCGCCAAGTTGGGTCCGGTTGCGGTTTGTGAAATTGTATTTATTGGCATTTCTTGTATGGTTTTGCACAATGTTGACTAAGTGCTTTATCCTAATGGACACAAAAAACAACAACAGTTATCTAATTCAGGAAGTACCAGAAATGAAGCATACTTCCACAGATATAGTCGGGAAGGTAATTTAAGGTACCAATGTTTACTACAATATCTGAAAAACTATCGGACCTACTCCAGTCAAAGTTGGTATGAGATTATTAAACAGTCATACATAACTGGATATTACATTCAAAGACAATCGGTGCATGAATAAAATATCTGTCTATTTAGCTATCACTATATTTCATCAACAACCAGACCTGTTCGTCACGGGTGGAACGAGCATTCATTGAAACAGCCATCTGCATAATGCTACCCCTGCGTCACAGGGCAACATGACACAGTTGAACCAATCAACTCAACTCGAAAGGTTGCATGGGAATCACGCACGCCATATACGGTGTTAGCGTTTGGCGTCTCAATGTGAGGATTCCCGTGCACCCTTTCGAGTTGAGTTGATTGGTTCAACTGTGTGTCATATGGCCATGGCCCCATTTTTTGTCACTCCTATATCCACAAAGTACCCATATTAATTCAAAGAATTAAAATTGCCTCATATAAAATATGTTAGGGTTGGCAGAATCAACAAACCAATTCAGTAATGTTAAGGCAAAATTCCACTCCCGTGTATTGCTGCACACCAGCGAACTGCACATTTGTTCCAACAGATTACATAGTACAGACCTGAAATGACAGCCCCTGATTCTGTAGAAGATTTCCTTGTCCATAATCTCTGCTAGCTCCTCCAGCCATTCCGTGTAGTTGTTGCCTGTCATACAAACATGAAGCCAATTCATATGTATATACCGTCGGGCTGATCATGGAGTATTGTTTGTTTGTTACTTAACTCAGCACACAGCAATATCCCAGGCTATATACATACAGCCTTTACATCATCGTCTGTACCAGACAATCCAGTGATTGATGTAATCAGCAGTGTTCAACATAATCAGGGTAAGATAACATGTAATCCACTAAGTCCTCGAGCATGTCCACCTGATCCATATAGTCACCCCTGGTCACAAACAAAGTGCCTTGCGACATATTCTAAACCAGAATTGGTGCAGGTCATAAAATAACAAAGACAAAGTAATACAAAGAAAACATTATCAAAATCTTATCATGCTTATTTTGAGAACAAATGTTCAAGGGATCTTTTACTCAATAGTAAAATAGAGACAGCTGAGTTAAGTGGGCGAGGTTAACGCCAGTTTGAACAGTAATTCAGGTAAAACATCAAAACTCATCATGGCGTGTATAATGCGCACCTCCTTCTACACAGCTGTGTTTTTTTGGAAAAAAGTGTGCACTATACTCAAGAAAATACAGTATATCACGGTGTGTAAGCTTGATGTTGGAGGAAAACTAAATTACAGAAACATATATCCAAAATGAGAATATTTACAGTCAAACAGTTTTTTTTATTAATTTTTCAACATTAAGGATAGATTCCGTGGCATCGCAAGAAAAACAACTACCGTATTCGATGTAATAAGCGCCCCGCTCTAATAAGCGCCCACTGCGATATTTGTTAATATATTGGCTAGTGAACAATTCCAATTAGCACCTATGGGCGGATACAGCTTTTTTGAAAAGGGGGGATCTATTTATTATCTTTGGTGGTAATTTATACAGAAAAAAAGATTTTTTTCGAAATAAAAAGGGGGGTTGCGGGGGTGCATCCGCCCATGGCACCCCTTCTGACTGATCAATGTACACAAGACTTATTTATTCGAGTATAATATGTGTGTTATATGCATCCTTAATTATGGGCAATTAAATTCTGGAAAAACGTATCTGCCGTATATAAACATTTCAGGCTGACAGCATAAACCACGAAATTTACGATCTTTCAACTGTTGTTTTTCACCAAAATAATATTCTAACAAGAAGAGCCCCCTATTTCTAATTTTGAGAGTGCCCTGGGCGCTTATTATGTCGAAAAGGGTAAATCTTAGAAGAAGAGGGCCCACTTGAACACAGCATTCAAGGCACTCTGCCCATCATGACTCACATCCTTTAACATTGACTGACATTAGTCAATTTATTCACTGGGTCAAAAACTACAATCTACATATATTCAAACAAACCACATATGAAGGCATCCAGATCATCGTCTTTCGAATCTTCATCTGCACAGGGGAAGAATATCTGGCCATTGGGAATGCCAAACTCGTCCCTGAAGCTCATCAGCTGGCAGCGCTGTGTCATGCAGCAGTAGGTGATGGGCGTGCACCAAGGGAGGGGGGCATCGTCTGTAACCTGCCAAGAAGCATTGGTGACACGTGTTATCTTACATTAAAATACTATCTTCTGACTGGAGCTGGCAAATATTTTCCTTGTTTCCATGTTAGTGTAGCGGCCATAAAACTTCTGAGTCCCGTGATGGGATTCAAACCACGGACCTTCTGATCCGAGGTCGGACACCTTGTCCACATGACCAAAGAGGTTAACCCCGTCAGCAAGCTGACAAGGTAAGGATGTCATCTGTGGGATGACTCCACGCCCTGCTACATTGGTATGAATTTCATGTAACCTGCTGAGAAATCAATCAGTACACATGTTAGGTAACTTACTTATTTCATTGAGTTTCAGAAATGAACCGATGTCTATCCGAATGCACTGGGTAAAGGGAAGTAACTTGGTCATTACTCGGTCTGTGATGAGTTTTGTTAACTGAGTGAAACTGAGGACATATATTCTGGACCTGTACAATGATCATTGGTAAGGTAAATATGTTGTTAACCGATCCCTCAGGGCATATGGTGTGATGTACGGTGTGTGTGAGCCTATGGCCTATGGTTTGAACACAGGGTATGTCACGCCATATATACATCGAGATCAGTTGACAATGAACTTACCGACATTCATAATGTTTCAATACATTTCTCCATCATCTGTGACAACATCGCAGCCTTGTGGTGTGTTTCTATATAGCGCAGACTAAATCAACTTCACGTTTCAAAATAGCGCAGACTAAATCAACATCATGTTTCAAAACAGCGCAGACCAAATCTTGGTCAGTACAAAAAGCATCAGAATGCAAAATCAAAAAAATGTTTTCAAATCTAAATGAAGGTGTTAATATAAATACAACCAAATGATATCTTAAAAAGACACATTGTTTTCACCTCTGTGATACGTTTGTCCATAAAACCACAAACATACATATCTCTTTAACGAACTGTAATCTAACATACATTTTCTTCCCTTTGAAACATTAAACCACAAGTGTAAATATTGTATGTTGTAATTGGATCTAATAAAGGCGCACCTGCTAAAACAATCTTAGCACTACAACTGTCCTCGTCTTTATGTTTGAGTATGGGAGTTATCATGGTTATAATCATCAAAGTGCTAAGATTGCTTCGTGCAAGTGGACCAATGAGACTATTTCAAACAGCTTCACCTAAGAATCAATATGTACGAATGGAAACTTACGAGGAAATTCTCAGCAATAGTTTTGCAATCCAAGAGTTTTTTCTGATCTGAAGTGAGTTGATATTCCAATCCAGCCAAGCAACCTGAAAAACACAAGTATTGGTGGAACACTGACTGTGGACTGCGACTAGGTCGTGGATAGGGACTGGTGGAACACTGACTGTGGACTGCGATTAGGTCGTGGATGGGGGGGGACTGCCGGAACACTGACTGTGGACTGCGACTAGGTCGTGAATGGGGACTGGTGGAACACTGACTGTGGACTGCGACTAGGTCGTGGATGGGGACTGGTGGAACACTGACTGTGGACTGCGATTAGGTCTTCGATGGGGACTGGTGGAACACTGACTGTGGACTGCGATTAGGTCGTGGATGGGGACTGGTGGAACACTGACTGTGGACTGCGATTAGGTCTTGGATGGGGACTGGTGGAACACTGACTGTGGACTGCGATTAGGTCGTGGATGGGGACTGGTGGAACATTGACAGTGAATTGTGATTAGGTCTTGGATGGGGACTAGTGGAACGTTGACTGTGGACTGCGATAAGGTCGTGGATGGGGACTAGTGGAACACTGACTGTGGACCATGATTAGGTCGTGGATGGGGACTGGTGGAACACTGACTGTGGACTGCGATTAGGTCGTGGATGGGGACTAGTGGAACACTGACTGTGGACTATGATTAGGTCGTGGATGTGGACTGGTGGAACACTGACTGTGGACCATGATTAGGTCTTTGATGGGGACTGGTGGAACACTGACTGTGGACTGCGATTAGGTCTTCGATGGGGACTGGTGGAACACTGACTGTGGACTGTGATTAGGTCGTGGATGGGGACTGGTGGAACACTGACTGTGGACTACGATTAGGTCGTGGATGGGGACTGGTGGAACACTGACTGTGGACTGCGATTAGGTCGTTGATGGGGACTGGTGGAACACTGACTGTGGACTGCGATTAGGTCTTGGATGGGGACTGGTGGAACACTGACTGTGGACCATGATTAGGTCGTGGATGGGGACTGGTGGATCACTGACTGTAGACCATGATTAGGTCGTGGATGGGGACTGATTGAACACTGACTGTGGACCATGATTAGGTCGTGGATGGGGACTGGTGGAACACTGACTGTGGACCATGATTAGGTCGTGGATGGGGACTAGTGGAACACTGACTGTGGACTGCGATTAGGTCGTGGATGGGGACTGGTGGAACATTGACAGTGAATTGTGATTAGGTCTTGGATGGGGACTAGTGGAACACTGACTGTGGACTGCGATAAGGTCGTGGATGGGGACTAGTGGAACACTGACTGTGGACCATGATTAGGTCGTGGATGGGGACTGGTGGAACACTGACTGTGGACTGCGATTAGGTCTTCGATGGGGACTGGTGGAACACTGACTGTGGACTGTGATTAGGTCGTGGATGTGGACTGGTGGAACACTGACTGTGGACTGCGATTAGGTCTTTGATGGGGACTGGTGGAACACTGACTGTGGACTGCGATTAGGTCGTGGATGGGGACTAGTGGAACACTGACTGTGGACCATGATTAGGTCGTGGATGGGGACTGGTGGATCACTGACTGTAGACCATGATTAGGTCGTGGATGGGGACTGATTGAACACTGACTGTGGACCATGATTAGGTCGTGGATGGGGACTGGTGGAACACTGACTGTGGACCATGATTAGGTCGTGGATGGGGACTAGTGGAACACTGACTGTGGACTGCGATTAGGTCGTGGATGGGGACTGGTGGAACATTGACAGTGAATTGTGATTAGGTCGTGGATGGGGACTAGTAGAACACTGACTGTGGACTGCGATAAGGTCGTGGATGGGGACTAGTGGAACACTGACTGTGGACCATGATTAGGTCGTGGATGGGGACTGGTGGAACACTGACTGTGGACTGCGATTAGGTCTTCGATGGGGACTGGTGGAACACTGACTGTGGACTACGATTAGGTCGTGGATGGGGACTGGTGGATCACTGACTGTGGACCATGATTAGGTCGCGGATGGGGACTGGTGGAACACTGACTGTGGACCATGATTAGGTCGTGGATGGGGACTGGTGGAACACTGACTGTGGACTGCGATTAGGTCTTTGATTGGGACTGGTGGAACACTGACTGTGGACTCCGATTAGGTCTTGGATGGGGATCCCCATACAAGAAACGGTTTGGGTTTGACCGTGTTTCATTAGAATATCATTCCATACGATCATGACAGGGTTCTATGCTCACATAGTAGCCAATGGTTTGCCTGTACCAATGATATTGCCAAGACACTGGTGACACACTTCGATGATGTGTCATGAAATGTGGTTATTTAAACATGACAGCCTTCTTATAACATATGTACAAACATTTCTTTGATAGGATGTTTATATTTTACACTAAAATCATTGATTTCTTTAAACTAAACGGTATGAAAAGGACCCTTTCTGGACCAACTAAATCTGAATTGTTCAAGATACAAGCAAACCATTTACATGTCATCACATAATTAATGACCTGTGTTCTTATGAATGAGAATTACAATGCTGTTTTTTTAAACACGCAAAAAAATAAACACCAAAATGTATGGCAAAAACATGAGCAAACTGCCAATTCTAGAATTTTGCAGTAAGAATTTTCCTAATATCTGAAAATGAACAAATGCTTGGCTAAAGCTGAATTTCTTAGATGTTGGTAAAGACATGGACACATTTGCCTCAAAAGTTTATATATTCTTTGAGGCATACTCCTATACTAGATCATGTCCAAATTTTGCAAGTGACAGAAAGAAAACATGTCAGATGTCATTCATGTAAACATATAAAAAGAGGTCTTAATGTTTCCCATAACTTGAAAATGTCCTGAGCAGCTTGTACAAGAAGCCACTTACCCTGGCCCAGCCCCTTGTTTCTGTCCATTATAAATCTTCAGGGAACACCTCATATCATCGGGGAAACGGCAGCCCAGTTTATTCTCTGCCTCCCGTAACTGTTCCTCAGTGGCTGGAGCTGAAAATTCAGAAAGCAGCATCAGAGGATCATCTTTGCTGATAGAATTTCTGATGTGACTGGGCAGATAAACTGGGATTAAAGTATAGTCGAGTCCCTACTTCTGTGATTCTTTCCATGTTATAGCAGGTGCTCAAAATAGGGAATGGATCTCGTAGCCAACCAGAATAGTGCTTCAGTGTGTAGATAATTGTGCCATTGTGTGGTTTTAGTCTCTCAAGCACATACACAGACACACATACAGAAACGCATACAGACACCCCCACACAGACACGCACGTACACTGACATGCACGCACACAGAGACAGACATGTACAGACACACATAGAAGCACATTGATACAGAACACACACAAACACACAGAGAAACACACTCACACAGATACAGACATACATACACAGAGAGAGAGAGAAAAACACACACACAGATACACACAGAGACAGACAGACACGCATGCACACACAGACAGACACACATTACTAGACAACACACACATTAATACATAACACACAGACAGACAGACACACACCACCACCACACACACACACACAAGAAAGGCAACTTGGCATCCTGGGACTTACGAAGGAGCGAGCCAGTGATGACCTTGTCATACTTCTTCAGGTAGCCCATGATCTTGTTCCATGCTGTGCGAATCTTTGGGTAGACACCGAGGACATCGCCATAGTTTCCATAATACTTGACAAACAACTCCTTCCATGAACTTTCCTCAGGGCATCTGTCAGAAGAAATACCCAGAGATATAAGAAGTTCCACAGAAACATAGAGACATCCGGAAATGATCTGGAAACACAGAGATGCATAGAGGAGGAGTTTCCATGGAAATAGAGATACATCAGGAAGTTCCTGGAAGTGATCTTACAAAATTTTGGTTCAGGTGAAATAAAAATATAAGAAAAAAGTGCTGAAATGAAAACACTAAAGGATACTGGGGCACAAAATCAACATCCGGATTCTGAAATCCATTCCATTGCATGAATACTGGACTGTTATATATGGTAGAGGATGGGAACATGTACAATGCGTCCTACATCAGATGCTACTTAATTGTGGACCCGTGAAGATCCGGAGTAGAATAGGTCTTCAGCAACCCATGCTTGCCGTAAAAGGCGACTATGCTTGCCGAAAGAGGCGACTAACGGGAATGGGTGGTCAGGCTTGCTGACTTGGTTGATGCATGTCATCGATCCTAATTGCGTGGATTGATGCTCATAATATCAATCACCGGATTATCTGGTTCAGACTCGATTATTTACAGACCGCCGTTTCTAAGCTGGAATATTGTTGAGTGAGGCGTTAAACAACAAACCAACCAACCAGCCAACCTATTTGTGAGCAGTGGTAAGACTTACTCCTGCAGCAAGAAACATTTATCACACTGTGTCTTCCAGAGAGAGTCATCAGCAGCAACACTGTGGAACAGGCTGTTGACGAAGGACAAGCTGAAACAACAGAGATGGAAACAAATTTGTTTTTTAGTGCGCTACAGGGCACTCATTAAAAGTGATCAGGTGGTCTCTTCCGACTCTAAATGTGACAGCAAGAGAAATACTTTTGCGCCATCTTCAAAATCGTGAATCTCACTTCACCATGAAGGAGATGGGTATTAAGGAGTTGATAGTAAGAAAGTTTGCCCCTTCTTTTTAACTGAACACAACCAGCCAGGTGACACACAACCATTCGCGATTTGCTGTGCAGAGTTGCGTCCCTTGGGCATGCCAGAAACCTATGATTGTGGGTTCGAATCCTGGTTCGCCCCGATTATGTTTCTAGGTTTGGCAGCACCATACCCGTCAGGTGGTAAACGTCTGAGACCTGCATCACTTCGCCGTGATATGACTGGAATACTGTTAAAAGCGGCGTTAAACCCAACTCACTCACTCATAACCAATCAGGTGACACAACCAGCTATGTGACCATGGTAACACGCAACCACTTGTAAGCGTGTATATGTTACAGTCAATGTGTAAAATATGATTCACTCAGGCAATTTATTAAATATCTAAATATTTCAGTCATTTTACAAATTGACTGAATAATCCATTCATTTATTTAACCGACTGACTAAAAATGATAAAGACGATCAAAAGAGCTTAAACACATCACAATATATTAATTATGCTAAGAAAAGAAGCCAAACAATACAGAACTGTACTTGGTGATGATATTAAACATAAACAAATATTTGGAATTCGTTATCATATTAATAAAGATGGACATATTTTTCAGTTAATTTTTAAAATAAACTGAATATTTAGGCGTTTAATAAATTTCCTTAGTGAAATCTGTGTACATTTTGAATGTAAACATATACACACGGTAAAATAAGCAATGTTCAGATGAAATATTTACTTTGTGTTGCAAGTCAAAATAGTGTACACAAAGATCGCACAATTACCAAGCAAGTGACTTACCAAAACTGCATCACCATTACCGATGCTCCCCACAAATATACCTACATTTCCAAAACTGTATTTCATTTTTGTTGATCAATGTGATCATACGTCCTTCTACTTTCAATAAAAATGCGCTTACGAATGGCGAGCACAGGTCGCGAACAAGTCTAGATTTCTGCTATATCATCCGGGTACTCACTGGGAAAATAGAGTAATGCACAGGTAACAACTACTCCCGCGGAATTGCTTTAGATCAGTGCTCCTTTGTACGTTGAAATACTATATATTGTGAATGCCAAAATGATGTATCAAGGATCAAGTAGAAGATACATTGACAGTAGCGCTGGGAGTTTATTCAACAGACCCGTGAAAATAACACTGCTGTATCTTATTATTTATTTTAGATGACGCAGTCAAAGCTCACTTCTCCTGGCGGCCATTATCGAACGGCCAGCTAAAACACAGGTCTCTTCCTGTAGTACGGTAATTAGTATTCTCTCCCTCAAGTGTATCCTCAATGATATAACCCACCCTCATTAATTACATGCTGCTCTTTTCCAGCCTCACGGCTATGGAGCTGAGGTAAAGAGTCCAAGTCATCATAAAGTAATTAGGGTCCAATAAAAACAATGCGCCGCCAAACCTCATACATATTATCACTGAAAGTCATACTACAGACGGTTAATGTCAAATCACAATAAAAGCATTTCAATTGCAATAACATGTTCCAGGACCATGTATTCTCTTAACACCATCGGATTTAGAAGCAATGGTCGTTTAAAACAAGACAGATCTATTTAAACACAACAGTATTCATGTTATTCCCACAAAATCACATAAAGAAAGGAGACATTAGCAAATACATGTGTATTATCATTTTTCGTCAGGATAACAAAATTTTCTCTCCTTGTTACCACCTCCAGGTTCAGCTTAAGACGGGTCCTCCTTTGGTCAAAAGTTTGTTCCCCCTCTAATGAGTGTGTCACGCGTTGCACACGAGTGGCGGACGGGGAGCACACCCGTGTGCAACGCGTTGCACACGGGTATCACACACGTGACCAACCCGATGCACACTGGTTGCGTAACGCGTTGCCCATGCGTGTAAGGGGAATGAACTTCTAGGCAGTAGTGTATCTACATACGTCATGATATATATGCATACGTCTTGGTGTGTTCACTTTTTTGGGATATCTGCATACATCGAAGGATATCTGCATACGTCATGATGTGTTCACTTTACTGGGTATATCTGCATACGTCATTGTATATCTGCATACGTCATGGTGTGTTCACTTTTCTGGGTTTACCTGCAAACGGCATGGTGTGTTCACTTTTCTGGGTATATCAGCATACGTCATGGTGTGTTGACGTTTCTGGGTATATCTGCATACGTCATGGTGTGTTCACTTTTCTGGGAATATCTGCATACGTCATGGTATATCTGCATACGTCATGGTGTGTTCACTTTCTTTTCAGGGTATGACTGCAAACATCATTGTATATCTACATACCTCATGGTGTGTTCATTTTTCTTGGTATGACAGATCCTTTGTTTGTTCCTATTGCCACCTTTGCTTGTCAGGTGTCTCTAGCTCACCTCTGGGAATCCTGGGGGAGTGAAGCCTGCAGCTGTTGTTGGTCAGTCAGTGGGGGAGTTGGCTGCAGCACACATTGGTGGAATCCTGTCCTTTTATGATGCTGTCAGGGTCATTCTCCAAAGGACTCGGATCCTGGCTATGGTGCCAAGTAGAAAGATGATGCTTATCCGAAATGTTGACATTGAACAAGTAAAGACAGCATGCAGGAAGCATCACAATCAGGCAGTTGTCGCCCTTCACTACAGCCCAGTCTAATGTACTATCAGTGGCGATGAGAGGGCTGTTCTGTCAGTCAAAGAGGAATTGGGGCATATTTCAGACAGTAACACACTGTTTTATGAACTTCCTGTTACAAGAGCTTTCCACAGTCCCTCCATGGCTTCATCTAAAGACCAGCTGGACAAAGTGTTATTTCCTTTGCAAACATCAAAGATGGAAACAGAATTCATTTCATCAGTTGACCTAGTCTTAAATGAAGAAGCCATAAGGTCTGTTACCTACTGGGGTAGGAACATAAGGGAACCAGTCAGGTTCTGTGATGCCATTATGAAGGCTGCTCACAATTTCCATAACAATATCTTGTTAGGCCCCAAACCAGTATTAAATTCCCACATACGGGATATTTTCAAGCACACATCTCTGGATGTAACAACTGTCTCATCTATCCACAAAGGATCAAAGTACATTGATATGTATAATGCTCTGAGTGTACTGTATACCCCTGGAGTCAGCATCAGGTGGAACAGTTTCTTTGATGAACAGATGCAGGCAACAAGTTATCCAGCTTATGTTTTCAATGGAAAACCTGTTCTATTGGTATCTGACACTGAACACCAAATGCTTATGGGTAGAACAGAGAATTCGGGAGGTCATCTGTTTCTGAAGGGCACTGTTGAATCTGGATCTGCAAGAATAATTATTGATCCAAACAGTTTTAAAAGTGTTTTTGAGCACAAGGTGCAAGGAACAATTATTCTTCCAGGTGCCGTGGATGCCGAGGCTGCACTTTCCATTGCAAATGGATAGCTTTAAGTGAACACAATGTAGTGAACATATCCGTGTCTTTAAAAATGCTGTTTAACCTAAATAGGGGACACATTACAAACATTGAAATTAAGGATAACACATATATCCCCAAATGTGTGATGGCAGTCGCTATCAGGAAAGATACTACAGCATACGCAGAAGCAGTGATCAGGCAAACTCTGGATGTGCTATCAATTAGGACGATGTAAGCAAACGCTGATAAAGGAGGATATTTATAAGAAGTTAGACAAGGCTGGATTCAGCTATGGGGTAATAATGTCTGCTATCTAAAATAGCCAGGTAGCTGAAAAAGAAAGTCTTACTTTGATTGACAATGGATCCCAGCTTGGAAATGAAATGGAACTTACAGTTCTTCATCCTGGTGTTCTTGATGGAATGTTACAAACACCTGTTACAGTGGCAACAAACATCAAAGAGATGCTTCCATTTTTTTCTGAAAGGTTGTCAAGAACAATATATCAAAGAACATGCTCGTCAATGTTAAGGTTATCCAAGAAACAGAAACACACTATCATTACTGACAATGGATGCATAGGTCATCGCGCACATTGCAGCTTTCACGTTGAAGGTGATTGGTGTGGAGATATTTAATGTCTGAAACGTTGCTTTTGAAATTCAGCCTAGATCAAGATGTTTCAGCCTGTAACAGCAACGCATTTCAAGATGAAATGTTCTGCAATTGTGACAGCTCACTCACCTCAGTGCCATGGAGAACTCATGATAATTCCACTTTACTCGGGAGCAGTTTTCCTCTTGAACTACAACAGGCATCAGCAGTGGCTGTCCTATTTCAAGCAATGCCTGAGAAAACAGAGGATGGTTCGTATCTGGAGAAATGCTTGGAGGATATAATCATGTTACTGAGATCTCTACTCCTCTACATGTCCAACAATATTCTCAAAATACCAATCTTTATCAAGACAGAAACTACTCCTGTTGATCGCCTCAATGCGAACAAGAGGCATGATGAACAAGCTTGTATTGATGAAGGTATTCAGGCCTTCATCGGGCCATAAAGCTTCTAAAACTGAAGGAAGACTCGGACACCTGTTTCAGATTGTTATAAGCGGGGTTTTAGAAATCCAAAACTATCCAGAGATCAAGATAAACCACATACAGTTCTATGGACAGGTGTATGACCAACTGATAATAACTACACCATATGTTTGACTGAACAGCAAAGAAATGGCATGGAAACAATTTTAGTTTCAAAAACGAGAGAAACTATTACAAAACTTTCCTTAAGATTTCAAGGCAAGTATCTCAGACGCCAGTGGAAGAAGGTAGGTTCACTACCCATTCAGTTGCAGTTCAACTGAGACATCTGATACGGATACAACAGCTGTTAATTGCTACCAACATCTAGTCATGCCAAAGACCTGTGTCCGAACATCATTTGTGATGGAAATGAAGTACCTTAACAAGTATGAAACTGGATACATGCTGAGACTTTATTGCATTTGATGATTATTTGATCAATTGATGAAAGCCACTGCAATACTGTACACACACCAGACGAAGAAGTATGCTGAGGCAATGAAGGCTCTTTTGTTGACCACACAAACACAGACAGTTGTAATGTTGACACCTGATGAAATACCATCCCACCATGGAAGCCCAGTGGTCATATCTACAATACAGATAACTGCAGAGCTAGCACAAATGGTTGTTCAGAAATAGCATTGTCAAGAGCGTATTGTCTGCTTCAAAAATATGATGAAAACCTCCATTTTAAAACTGGTGAAATGTGACCGATTACAAGTGAAAGTATCCATTGTGAGGTCTTTGGAAATTCTTTCATTCAATGAAATGGAGGCACATATTCTAAACTTGTACAGCTGGATTAAGGACAGCAGCAGAAATGTGGATGAAATGTTGCTGTGTTTCAAGTCCTTGTGTGACTCTCCAGTGTCGCAGCCTCTACCATTTGACCTTACCGAACTACCCAAACGGAAAGGAATGGAATATTTACAGCGATGCAAGCCTCCAAACTGAACAAGTGGGTATACTAGAGGATATGCTGTTTGATAAGACTGGAATGTATCTTGTTGTTGGAGGTTTGACTGGATTGGGATGGGAATGCGTCTTGTATTTGGCTAGCAAAGGAGCAGGATGTGTTGCAATTCTCAGTAGACGTAATCCTACCGATGACAAAAAAGCAGACATTGAACAGATATCCAAGGACTATGGATGTAGTGTGACATCAGTGCAAGCTGATGTTCAGGATATCAGTGCGCTGAAATCAGCATTGTCGGAGTTGAAAACTAGTTTCCCGATGTTCCCATTGAAAGGGGTGTTCTTTTGGTCTGCTGTGCTTGAGGATGGACTACTTCCGGGCATGACAAGAGAGAAGTTCCACACAGCTTCTTCTCCCAAGGTTGCTGGATCCTGGAACCTGCATCTCCTGACAGAGTATCTCCCACTGCACTACTTTGTGCTGTTTTCGTTTGTAACACCGGTCTTTGGAAACGCTGGACAATCAAACTACAGTGCTGGGAATGGTTTTATGGATGGCCTTGCGCATGTGCGGAATAAAAATGGTCAGAGTGGACAAACTGTTAACTGGGGCCCTCTGCAAATGGGAATGCTACAAGAAAAGAACATAAATATTCTTGAGTTATATGGATATAACATCATACAGAAAAAGAACAGAATGTCTAAAACATGTTCTTTTGTTAAACAAACCACAGATGTGATGTGTGGTCTTCATATGGCAAAGTTTGAGGAGACTTTTCAAAGAGAAAACAACCCAAATGTTGCGTCTCGTTTTCGGCTGCTTCTTTATCCATCTGCAACCTCTTCTGTTCGACCAGCTTCCCATACAACTTTGAATCTGAACGAAATGAGCAAAATCTCAAAAAAGGAAGCCATGTTGAAACTCGTAGAGTATGTGAAAGCTATGTTATTGAAGCAGCCATGCTGGACAGCACTTTTGATTTTGAATAGGGAACCAGAGAACAGGGTGTTGATTCGATGAATTACATACAAACCACCACGCAAATCATGACGACACACATGTTCAGTCCTCGCCAACAACACTGAACGTCGAAATTGCGACGGTGACCCAAATATCGAATAATATTAATGACGAATGGAGGAAAAACGTCCAACAGGAATAAAAACAAGATATATCCTTTAATCTACAGTCAGCATGCATCCAGCCATGCCATCAAGTAGCTACCCGATACCTCATACAGTATTGTCATCAAATAGCTACCTGGCATAGCATGCAGTCATATAATATCGTAGCTACCAACCACAGCATACACTCATGACGTCAAATTGATACCTCACACTGCATGCAATCATGCCATCACGTAGTTACCTCTAACAACTGACAGTCATGTAATCAAGTAGATACTTGACATAGCATACAGTCATGCCATCAAGCTGCTACCTGTCACCCCTCACAGCCATGCCATCTAGTAGTTACCTGTCACAAACAGACCAAAAACACTTGCAATGAACTACTCAAACAATGTATTACATTTACTGGTTCACTTTATTATGGTACATAGTTGAAAGTTAGTCAGGCTTAGAACTTTTTGATCAGCCCTTGTATATAGGCAAATCACATCTTATTTTTTATGAAACATTCTTTCATAATTCTATCTATACACTTATAATGTATTGTGATGACCATCGCAAAGAATATATAAATATTAAAATATCTTTATTGTAATATTGTGTAAGTTCTGACAGCATGTAAAAATTAGAAATATTTCCTACATATTTCCCTGTTGTATTTTTGATGGTTATATGACAGTGTAAGTTTTGCAGGTATACACCAGTATATTTTTGCGAACCTCGTTTTCACGTAATTCAATGTTTCGTAATTCGTTTTGGTAAGAAATCTATCAGAGGATCATAGCATGCTGTTATAGAGCTTCATAACATACTGTTATCTCGGAGAATAATCACATCTCAATGCCATCATGTTATTTATATTGTTTAGGATATGGCAGTACCTCATAAGCATCGATGTCTGTCAAAACGATCTTGTTTATCTTTTTCAAGAGTTTTCCATTGACCGTAACTTTTGAAGAATTTGTCGTTCTAAGCATAGTTACGCTGATTAACCATAAGATAAAGATTAATCATACCTTCCTTCTTCAACAAACAGATCAAAATCCCTTAGCAGCTCGATATTTACCAATATCTGTGTCAATTTGTGATCAGGGCGTAGCAACGTGTTTTGCTGACGCCCGCCATTTTCAACTTTGTAACAGCTGGTTTAGGTCGCAATGCAGTTACTGAATTTGGCTAAAGCCAAGCAATTTGAGTTATAAATTTTATTAAATCTAATGAATAACGTACAGAGGAACCCAGAATCGTATTTGATGATATCTGAAGACGTGTATTAAAGTTGATGGTAATTCTGAACTATGTGAGTGAGTTGGGTTCAACGCTGCTTTTAACACTATTCCAGTCATATCGAGGCGTGTCAGCTTAATGTGTGAGGAAAGCTCGAAGTGATGCAGGTCTCAGACATTTACCACTTTGGTGAAACCCACGAGCACGGATATGGTGCTGACAAACCTAGAAACATATTTGGGGCGAACTGGTATTCGAACCCACAATCATAGGTTTCTGGCGTGCCAAAGGATGCAGCATTTAACATCACTATTCATGAACATGTTTCTCATAAATATGACATCCAGTGCTACTGTCAAAGCATATCAATCGCCAATTCGTGTTATTAAACGTTTTGTGAATCAGATGGCACACAAATTGCCTAATGACATTTGTAATCTTCCTCTTTGAATTGTCCATCGTAATTCCCAGTCGATGTTGCTTGTTGTTATTACGTCATCTTGGCAGGCAGCAAGGACGTAGCTATTCAGATACAGAAGCCACATCAGTAAACTACCATTATAGTTACATGCAATAATTATTTTGCCCGACACAGGTCCTTACAAATAAACCTCAAAACTCAGAGGGATCACCTTATTTGGAAGCATTTTGTTATCCATATAAAGTATTGTTATACCTACATGATTAAAGAAAACTATATATATTAATTGAACAGAAGTGTTTGACCCAGTGATGATAACTTGATCTCTGTTTATGGCTGGCTGAATTCTTTTGATGTAAATGGCTTCTCTAAATTTTCTGAGCTTGAAGTCTTTCTGGTTTGTTGTTAAGATGTTGACGTTGTCCCACTTAATATTATGGCTGGGGTGGATTTGAGTGTCAACGTCAACATCTTAACAAGAAACCAGAAAGACTTCAAGCTCAGAAAATTTAGAGAAGCCATTGACATCAAAAGAATTCAGCCAGCCATAAACAGAGATCAAGGATACTACATCCCTCCAGCTTACCATGATCTCATCAGCTCGCCAAAACAACACTGAACTATTATCTCCCCACTGGCTTCCCATACATTTCTTCTTAGTAATCCTTGTGTTAATCCCATACCTATCAATCACTGTAATCAATCCTATCTCTTGTATAAACTTGTCTTATCATAACTACCTATCAATCAGTGTACACCAACCTTATCTGTTATATAAACATCTATTTATTGTTATGTATATATATCATGCCCATACCTACTTTCGACATGGTATGGCACGATGGGCTAATACAAAAACTTAAAAAAATAGGACTCAAAGGTCAGATAATAAACTACATCCAGGACTTCCTAAACAATCGTAAAATAACCGTGGGTATAGACCAAACTCTATTGGACCAATGTCCCCTAGAAAATGGTACTCCACAGGGCAGTATCCTCAGCCCCACCCTCTTCAATATAATGATAAACGATCTATTCGAGGGCCTATCCCCTAAAGTAAACACATCAAAATTCGCGGATGATGGAGCCATCTGGATCCGCACTAAAAGCATGAACATGGTCCAAAATTTACTCCAAAAATCTCTTAATAAAATACAACAATGGGCTGACAAATGGGGCTTCTCCCTTAACTCAGAAAAAACAACAGGAATAGTATTCAAACATAAAAACATGAAACCCGCCTCCCCAATCCTCCAGCTAAACAATCAAACAATCAAATTTCAAAAACAAACCAAATTCTTAGGACTTATTTTCGATGAACATCTCACCTGGGATGCTCACGTCCAAAACCTAACAACTAAATGCAGTAAAGACCTAAACACCCTAAGATGCCTAACTGGCTCTAACTGGGGAGCATCCAAAGATACCCTCCTCTCTCTCTACATATCACTAATTAGATAAAAACTAGACTACGGCTGCGCCATATACAACACCCTAAACAACTCTCTATCTAAAAATCTTGACTCAATACAATATCAGGCTCTCAAACTAATTACACGCACCCAACATGGCACCTCCTACACCTCACTTCAGGCCTTAACAGGAGAAATGCCACTAAGTCTACGCAGGGAACAGCTAAGCTTAAACTTCTGGGCCGCGTCCCAATCAAACCCTCTCATCCAAAACTTAATAAACCAAAACATCAGCCCCAAAAACCAAGCTCTAGCTCGTAAACACCCCTTACTTACCCCAATATCCCAAAGAATAACAAACTACCTAAATGAACACCAAATTAAAAATCTTAAACAAAACTGCAAACAATCAAATATCTTCACCCCTAAACTTAAAATACCCAAAATAGACACAACACTAGCTAGCCAAATAAATAAACAAACCGACCCAAACATAGCTAAAACTACCACACTAGCATACATACACGAAAATTGGCCAAATTGGTGTCACATTTACACGGACGGATCCTCAGATCCGACCTCCAAACACACAGGTTTCGGAGTCCATACCACACAACCAACTAAAACCACACAATCCTTCCGACTCCCAAACAACCAATCAATATTCACGGCAGAACTAATGGGCATGGCCTCAGCCCTCCATAATCAAGAATAAAAAAAACACAAAAAAATCCTAATACTTACCGACTCCCTCAGTGGACTGCAAGCCCTCCAAAACAAAAATACCAAAAACCGACCTAAATTAATAAATCAAATACTTAAAAGCTCCAACGACCTAACTCAGGCAGGCAAACAAATAACCTTCTTGTGGATACCCGCCCACGTAGGAATATACGGTAATGAAAACGCCGATAAAGCAGCTAAACTATCCCTCAAAATCCCAGAAATAAGCTTAAACTTACCCATCTCAAAATCAGAAATTAAAAGTGTAAACAAGCAAAAAATCACAAAAAAATGGCATAACCTATATCTAAACTCAAATAGCCAAATCAAAAAAGTGCTCAGCAAACCACTAACCAAACCAAAAATTCTCCATCCATCCAAAAAAGTCGACAGAGTAATCACTAAACTCCAAACAGGACACACCAACCTAAATAACCACCTAAATTTTTTTTAAAAACACACTACAGGTAACTGCCCACACTGCAAACAACCAGAAACCCCAGAACACGCACTCATCCACTGCACACACTACCTAACACATCGAACCGCATTACAAACCACCCTCAATCTAAACAAGGCTCTAACTCTAGAAGCAATACTAAACCCACAAAATAAACTAGAAAACTTCAAGGCCTTAGGTGTATTCTTAATAAAAACGGAACTAATAAAACGCATCTAAAAACACAATAACCTACCAAATCAAAATCACATAAACAAACAAACATCCCCCATACCCAGCTCCCTTAGTTCCCCTCCCCAATCCCATCGGCATCTATTCCAAATCTCAAAATTCCCAAATTCTATATAAGCAACCCCTAAAACCCCCTTCTTGGGTTGCACAGACCACTTTCGCCCCTTTCGGAAACACATGAAATGGCCTGGCCGGGCCCGTGTGCGAAATACGCATCAGTCGGAAAGCGCACGTTAAATCTCCAAAGTAAGTAAGTAAGTAAGTACTTTGTACACAAACTCTTCACTACCCAAACCGACTTAACCAAAACAGACAAACTGCAAAAAACAAACCAATATATACATCAAAACTGGCCTAATCATACACACATTTATACTAACGCCTCCCAAAATAACAAGAATATCACAGGTCTAGGAATTCAAATCACTCAACCAGTCCCCATTACCACAAACTTCCATTACACTAACTACACACACACTACCACTGCAGAACTACTCACCATCCAATGTGCATATCACTATATCAAACAATCCAAGGACACTAACTTTCTAATCATTTCGGACTCATTAGGCTCATTATCCCAAATTCAAAACAAAACATCTAAATCGCGTCAAGACATCATAAACATTATTATAGACATACATAAAAACTTCACAGAAACAAACAAAACAATAACACTACTCTGGGCACCTGCACACACAGGAATACAAGGCAATTACTTAGCAGACACAGCAGCAAAATTAGCTACCACACACCCATCACCCTGCATTAACTTCACCACAAGTAAGGCCGAAATCAAATCAATAATCAGAAAAAACATAAAGAGTCAAAATTTCCAAATTAATATTCAAAATTCTAAGGTCGCATGGATAAAATCTCTTTTCATTAAACCTGTCACTAAATGCCGCAACTTCACAAAGTCAGTCATCACGGATAAAATTATAAATAGAATGCTTAGTGGCCAAATCAACCTCAATGAAATACTACCCCCCCACCCCTATCCCAACAAATCTTAGTTAAAAACCACCATCTACAAAATCACCACTTTTGCAATTTAGGATCGGGATCCAAATTCCTAGCGCGGATTGCCTTCTCCGACGTCCGCGCGACAAATTCTCCCATATCCAGCCACACATTACCATGTTCTTTAATCCAGCCACCTATCCAAGCCAAGCCAACTCGCTCACGACTACCACCCTACTCGACTCCCGCCTGACCCCCCCCCCCCCCCCCCCCCCAGCCAAGTAAGCCCAATGTTTATTAGAGTAGGTTTCCTACCCTACCATTATTCTTTTTTATCTTATTTCTCAGCAGTTCTGTTATTACACAAGCATATCAGCTTAACTGATCACATTCAACTATTTATCTCTCCCATTAGGTGCTTATAGTAGACTAGGTTTCTTACAGCGTCATACTTTGTCACTAGGTTCTCTTATCCCATTTCCCCACCTTTACTGTATTTCTTTCTTCTTTACACCCCTTCATTTACAGTTTTTTGGGCCAGCCGATTACATCTCTATTCCCCAGTATTATATTATTATCTAAAACCCGTCTGGCCCCGACTGCGAAATAGCCGACGGCTGAAGCGGTCGTAAAATCCCTCAAATCTCTCTCGTCACGTCACGTCCGGGTATAATGTAATGTGAATTCTCTTCTTGATAGATCAGTTGATCGTGTAAGTTGTGCTAATTGGGATTGTTCACTAGCCAATAGCAAATATCGCCGTGGGCGCTTATTACGTCGAATACGGTATATTTATGTCCACTGAAAAGAAATAGTTGTCTAGCAGACATATAACTGCTCCTGCAATATTCGCGGTGTATGAACTACGTTGCTTACTATGATTGTCAAAGCTAAGTGAAGATGCTTGCACCAAAGATGGTGGATACACCAACAACCTTGTGAGTGAGTGAGTGAGTGAGTGAGTGAGTGAGTGAGTGAGTGAGTTGGGGTTAACGCCGCTTTTAACAGTATTCCAGTTATATCGCGGCGTGTCAGCTTAATGTGGGAGGAAAGCCCGAAGTGATGCAGGTCTCAGACATTTACCACTTCGGTGAAACCCACGATCACGGTTATGGTGCTGACAAACCTAGAAACATAATCGGGGCGAACCGGGATTCGAACCCACGATCATAGGTTTCTGGCATGCCCAAGGGACGCAACTCTGCACAGCGAATCACGGCGCCTTAGACGACTGGGCCACCCGTGCCCCCCAACAACCTTGTGCTGGCCACCCATGAACAACGTTTAGGAATATATTGATGTAAGTATATCTTCTACTGTCTGACAAACAGCTTCGTGACCTTACTAAATATTTTATTGTCATTCTGTTAAAAATAATATGATGTTCAATAATCGCTCTCTATTCTAATATCATTTGTGTTAATGTTCAACCTGTCTGTAACCAGTCAACAAGCATATAAAAGAATTCTTATTTTCCAATTGCTCACGAGACGACCTTTTGATATGACAGCGAAGAAGATCGAACGCAGTCACATGAATTATTACGCCAGAGTGAAAAGAACTACTTCTACTTCTACCTCAGTAGTAATAGCAACATGAACCTACGCGGATGGCAATGTGTACCTACGTTGATAGGAACGTGTACCTACGTGGATAGTAACGTGTACCTACATGGATAGTAACGTGTACCTACGTGGATAGTAACGTGTACCTACGTGGATAGTAATGTGTACCTACGTGGATAGTAACGTGCACCTATGTGGATAGTAACGTGTACCTACGTGGATAGCAACGTGTACCTATGTGGATAGTAACGTGTACCTATGTGGATAGTAACGTGTACCTATGTGGATAGTAACGTGTACCTACGTGGATAGTAACGTGTACCTACGTGGATAGTAACGTGTACCTACGTGGATAGTAACGTGTACCTACGTGGATAGCAACGTGTACCTATGTGGATAGTAACGTGTACCTATGTGGATAGTAATGTGTACCTATGTGGAAAGTAACGTGTACCTACGTGGATAGTAACGTGTACCTACGTGGATAGTAACGTGTACCTACGTGTATAGTAACGTGTACCTACGTGGATAGCAATATGTACCTACGTGGATAGCAATGTGTACCTACGCGGATAGCAATGTGTACCTTCGTGGATAGTAACGTGTACCTATGTGGATAGTAACGTGTATCTACGTGGATAGTAACGTGTACCTACGCGGATAGCAATGTGTACCTACGTGGATAGCAATGTGTACCTACGCGGATAGCAATGTGTACCTACGTGGATAGTAACGTGTACCTATGTGGATAGTAACGTGTACCTATGTGTATAGTAACGTGTACCTATGTGGATAGTAACGTGTACCTATGCGGATAGCAATGTGTACCTACGTGGATAGTAACGTGTACCTATGTGGATAGTAACGTGTATCTACGTGGATAGTAACGTGTACCTACGCGGATAGCAATGTGTACCTACGTGGATAGCAATGTGTACCTACGCGGATAGCAATGTGTACCTACGTGGATAGTAACGTGTACCTATGTGGATAGTAACGTGTACCTACGTGTATAGTAACGTGTACCTATGTGGATAGTAACGTGTACCTATGCGGATAGCAATGTGTACCTACGTGGATAGTAACGTGTACCTATGTGGATAGTAACGTGTATCTACGTGGATAGTAACGTGTGCATACCGGTGAAGATCCGGCGTAGAATAGCTCTTCTCCAACCCATGCTTGCCGTAAAAGGCGACTCTGCTTGTCGTAAAAGGCGGCTAACGGGATTAGGCTCGTCTGACTTGGTTGAAACATGTCAACGTTTCCTAACTGCCTGGGTCGATGGTCATGATGTCAATTACAGGATTGTCTGGTCAAGATTTGATTATTTACAGAGTCTTGCTGAGTGCGGTGTTAAAGAACAAACAAATAAGCAATGTGTACCTACGTATATAGTAACATGAACGCTCAGATAAAATAGACATATCATGTGTAAATAATAGTAAGACTAATACGCAGTGTCAAACTCTATGGCTATGTGTTCTGATGTTCTGACAGCCTCTAAAGTAGACTCTGCCGTGTGCCAAATACTCTCCGGTGAGGTACTACAAGAATGGCTGCATCGCATGTACACAATGGAATGTACCATAACAATAACAAGATACAATGCGAACGCAGTGTTGTATTTACTTATGTTGAGATTTATCTACAAGGATCGCAACTTCACATACATCACAAGGTCACAACGTGGCTCACATTGCCTGATGCAAATCATTTCGAGGAAATGTGCAGTCATTCTGGGTAATGTCGTGACATAAACCACTACAAAACAAATGAGAAGAAATCATGCAGAAAAATCTGGCACGCGATAGACATAACTAGCCTTCGTGTTGATTTCTTTGGTGTCACATTTCAAGGAAAAAACGCTTTTGATTCTTCCACTGACTGCCTTGTTCTTGGAAATTGATTACATCGAAAATCATAAAAAAAAGTTATATGCAATAACACCATTGATTATGTGACTATTGATTGTGGTATGCTGGCATGACAAGCCAAAGATGAGTCACACCTAAATCTTATTGGCTCTCTAAACACCCAGCCACATGGATCATATGACAAGAAGACGGCAAGGATCACACACGCACAAAATGTCTCTGTATACTGTACAGAATGTGTCGCATATCACCAACGGAAATTAGAAGCCAAAACGTGACCAAAGGGTGACGGAGTTTCGATTTGATCATTCGAATTTATAGATTTCTCGCGTTCCCTTGTTACGCAACTCTGCACAGCTATTGTGGCACCGTAGACGACTTGGTCTTCCGTGTCCTTCATTGACAAAGAAATGCATTGCCATGTCTCTCATTAATCTTTTCCCACTGCCAAAATGTGTTTACAGGTGTTTATAGGCTTTCATAAAAATTGGCCAGCTCAGTTTGTATTTACATTCTTTTGAACACTGAAATGCAGATTTTGCTGGTATAAAATATAAGTACACTATGTTTGTTTCGAAAGGATTCCACCGAATTTATGTCAATTATACAATAACCGTATATACGTCTCGATTTTGATTAGTTAGCTGTTATCTTGCAATCGTATCCTTTGTGATATTAGAACGCCTTCGTGGTCTAGTGGTAGAGCGTCCGCCAATGTCATTGATGATTCTTACTTACCTGGAGAAGTATAAAATTATGGACAGCATTAAATTATTGGCTAAGTTTGGGATAATCAGAGTATTGGTAGTATTTAATTAATTTTATCAGAATTAATGGTAAGAGCAAAATGTATTTATCAGCAAGAATGGCATGCATCCTTGTCACATGGTGCAAAAACATTCAATTACTTTATGTAAAAATCTATAGCGTTTCAAGAGTATTATATTAAGTATATTTCTATCCACAAATTTCATGTAGCTTTAGCTAAGTTTAGACGTAGTTCTCACGAACTAAAAATTGAGACTGGCAGATATGCAAATGTTCCGAGGAAGCGAAAGGTTCTGCAATGTTTGTAAAAAAAGGTTTTGTTGAGGATGAGTATCATTTCTTATTTGTATGCAAGGTGTATGCCTAATAGCGTGAACAGTATATTCCAAGAAACTTCTATGTATTTCCCGCATTACATAAAAGCCAACGTCTTGATATCATAAGAAATTTTGATATGTTTATTAATAAGTCTATGTAATTAAGGACAATTGTAATTGTAATTACAACAATGGCTGCTATACAACTGCTGTAACATGGGCCGATGACCTACGTAACCTTGCTGAATAAACAACAACAACAACAACAACAAGATTAATGCAGGCTTACGAGTGATCCAAAAGTTCATGTGCTTGATAAGAGAAGTTAAGAGGAAAAGGCAGGGATACTCGTCGCCTCTCACGCAAGGCACATGACAAGGAAATCGGCCTATTTATCATATTACAGGCGATAAAGCCGATGTGTGGCGGCAAAGGTCCCAGTGTTTGTCATTAATTCCTCAAGATTATGTTACCCCACCACTGCTTTTATTGTACAGGTAGTACGCAGGTATCTAAAATTGCATTAATATTCTTCAGAACCATAATATGTCCTAACCGAGGTAAACAGCAAGGAATGACACCCCCCCCCCCCCCCCCAACACACACACACTCACACATGTTGCTGGAATATTGTTAAAAGCGGCGTAAAACCATACTCACTCGTTCACTTACTATATCTACGCCAAGCCAACCCATGTATTCCCATGTGCGCACACACGCACACAGTATAATTTGATATCGTTCTCTAATGATCAAATAGCCGATTCCCTCTCACTCACTCACCTGAAAGAGACCAATGAAACTCCTCTGTTTCATATTTAAATCAATGGATACAAATTCAAAGAGACAAAAGCTATTCACAAGTCTGTATGACAAGAGGGATGTCTTCAACCTTCCCTACCTGTCGAGCAATATGCAACCTTTGGTGTCTACATTTCACAGCTTTTGAGGTTCAATCGGGTCTTCTCTTTCTACGAAGATATCAAAAAACGCCATACGACTCATCCTCAAAAGTTGTTTCATCAAGGTTTAAGCTTTCGAGGTTTTCGTAAAGTTTAAAACATTTTATGGTAGATATATAGAGAACATTTCCACATTTGACCGATGATATTCCCTATTTTGACTTGTTTGCGTGAAGATGAAGAATTGGCTTGCATTTGCATGTGTTTGTCACGGGCGTTACCGTGGGGGAAGGATACGCTCACTTTCTCACTTTCTCACCCTCACAAAGACCTAGTGCCATCACTATAGTGATTCATAAACACATGCTTATGAATTAGTCGGAAAATGGATTTTCGTTTTGACTAGAGACTTTCTATGATCATGGAAATTGTTTTGTTTTTTCGTGGATGTTTGTATGAATCGGTGAAGTGTCAAGAATATAACAAAGATAACAGACTGGTTTATTCATATATCACAGTAGGGAAGGCAATACATGACAAAGAAAGTCATCCACATAGCATTAAATAATCAATGATCAATGGTTCTAGTGTTGTAGTTATACAGACACCAGATCAATAATTGGTGGTAGTGTACACACAGTTTGGCAGGTACTTTTTTACAATGTCCATCTCTGGTAGATGAACAAAAAACCTTCTTCCTGTTACACATGTTACCAAACTGTGAACCTATTTCATGATAATTATATGGTTTATGTACATGGACAGATGTACTACGAAATCAACATAGAGAAATAAAATGGGCACACTAAGACAGTTAAACACACATAAGTGAGTGAGTGAGTGAGTGAGTGAGTTGGGTTTAACGCCGCTTTTTAACAGTATTCCAGTTATATCGCGGCGTGTCAGCTTAATGTGGGAGGAAAGCCCGAAGTGATGCAGGTCTCAGACGTTTACCACTTTGGTGAAACCCACGAGCACGGTTATGGTGCTGACAAACCTAGAAACATAATCGGGGCGAACCGGGATTCGAACCCACGATCATAGGTTTCTGGCGTGCCCAAGGGACACACATAAGTAGATGACCATACTATCTGAATGAATATTGGGACAGTAGAAACCCAATTGGTATAAATGTCATATTATTTGCAAACCACAGCACACCAACAGTAACATATTTCAGAACAGAGAGTATGTACTCTTTCTCTGTATTGCTGAGGTTAATACATACATGTTATTTCTTTCTCAAATACTAGTATTGTGGATTTACATCTCATTGGATTTGACAGAAATATTCTAGTTTAGGTATCTGTGTGTTGAGAGGGAGGACAATGAATATTTAGGTGTATGTCTTTTATTTTTGTGTATGTGTTAAATTTTTTAAAATTCTCAATCCTGAAACGAACACATGTAATAATGTTGCGTATTACCAGTGGTCTTTGTTATATGTCGTCTATAGGAGGCGAGCTTGCAGGACTTATGATATAGTTGGTTACATGCCTGTTAGATCGGAATATGGCCCAGATGACACAACGATGATATCTTGAGTCAAGGTTAGGAATCGAATCTGAACGGGGTAATCTGGGGGAGGTGTCGGTGGACGTGAGCTTGTAGGACTTACGAAAGTTTTGGTTACAGGGCCAAGGATGGACAATATCACAGGGAGGAGGAACACAGCATGCAGCATGCCGAACAGGATCACTGTGAACATGATCTTGAAGAAGGAGTTGAAGATGTAGGACTTTGAGAACACTAGCACAAGAATGCCCAGAAAGGATGACATTCCGCCGTTTAATATGGGACCAGCTGCATGGACAATGGAAGATTCGGTTTTCTCTCTCCTGTTTCTTCCTTCTCCAATCATATAGGCAGAGCACACGTGCACACTGAAGTCCACCGAGAAGCCGACAGACATGATGAGATGGATCATTGTCACTGAGCTGAGACTCAGTCCCCAGATGTAAAGGAACCCGAAGATGCCAACGAGGATAGAAACTATGTTCAGGACGACAAGGAAAACCAGAAGAGGATGAGGAAGAAAGATGCAGGTGACCACAGTCATGACGACCAGTGCCACGCCCACAGTTTGTAGTGTACTGGGTAGGATAGCAACATACTGCTCAAAGAAGATATAGGCTGGGTGGAAGGTGTAGACAGAGAGAGGTGAGTTGTCTGCCAGAGCTCGCATTCGAACCATAACATCAGCTTGAGCGTTGGATTCTTTAATATTTGTTGATAAAAGATAACATCGGGAAGCTTTGATATCAGTATCAGTTGCGTCAAATACAACATCGTTATCAAATACTGTGGTTGTTGTAAAAAATGTTTTCAATCCCGATATAAAAGCTGTAGTGCTGCTGTTGTCATAAAGAGTTGTTGATCTATAAGAATCGAACCAGCAAATCAACGAATTCTGATCTACTCCAGAGTCTGTTTTTGCACTATTGATCAGAGACTCGATATTATCTACAGTATTCTTGTCTCTGTAATTTGTTGTTGGGCCAAATACAAACGGGACAGGGAAAGCACTCGAGAAGTATGCATCATATATCTCACTATAGGAATGATAGTATGAATCTGTGGAGACCAGGTTCTTCAGAATCAAACCTTGTTTAAAGTTCAATGTTCCCCATATTGACACTCCGAGGTAGGCCAAGAATAGCACAATCACAATTACCTTCCCCCCCACACACAGTAACATTTGTGGCAGGTACTTTCGTGGCAGTGTCTCAAAGAATCGTTCATCCTGTCCCCTCTCTGTTGGTGGTGAGCCTCCACAGCAGAACACTCTACAGGTAGAGGCATCATCGTTCCTGAGTTGGTCTCTGGATTTAGTTTTGAGGCAGGTCATGCAGTGTCTGTTACTGTTAACCCGACGGCCATGGATGGCAAGGCAGGGGGAGAAGAAGAGGCACTGGTACAGGTAGCAGAAGATGACGGCCACTCCTGTGAACGAGAAGAATATATAAATTAACACCATGACACGAATGGACTACAGGGGAGAAGAGAACCTGCTCTTTTGGCGTGATTGCTAAAATGCTGCCCAGAGAATTTAAGAATTGTGAAATTATAAAATGAACAAAAAGCAACAAAACCATTTCGATAACGATAAGAAATCTCTATTAAAAGAAGAATGCCTGGTACGATTCCGACTATACATCATCAACCTGAACACAAAGAATGTACAACACACGCTGAAGCGGAGAAATTAACCTGCTCAGAGAGGTCCATTAATACGAACATACTCTATGGAAACCACTAACCTGTATAGAGACAGATGGTAATTGACATCTTAATTGAAGCCAGGTAGGTGTAACTGGTTTGGGGCTGATATACATCATACTAACCTGTGTATACACAGAAGTTCCTCACACTGAGAAACACAGAAGACACGCCAGTTAAGAAGGCCAGGAGATCAGTGAGGGACGTGATGGTGATACCGATACCCGCTGAGGCAAAGGTTATTCCCATCCTCTCGGCGACGGTCTTGTCTCGGTGAGGGTAGGTCTCCGCCCAGCTGGACATCAACAGGAACATGTCGTCCACACCGATACCTTCATCAATAAGAGGATGTGACTTATGATTTGTTTCGCATCACATAATGGGAGATTCAAAGTGCGACTAATGTGACAAAGCTACTTAAATATAATATGTCTGACCTTTACCTCATATCTGTATTCTGTAACTCTATTATCAAACTACTTTAGCGTACCTATGATCAGAAATGGTGTTACACCGACGATATTGACAAACTTTACACCACAAAGGCTGACAAGTCCAAACGATGACATGATGCCAAATCCAGCCGCCATAACGCCAGCCCATGATGCCCACGTCCTCGATGACACCACATCACCTCCGGCGACGACAGTGGCATACGTGATCATCAACGTGAAGGTTATAGAGAAGAACACGATGTCTCCGTTTGTGTTTTTGTTCAACTCTGTGTCTAAGGAATGGGAGGCAGCATAGTTTATCCTTGTAGATGTTGTGTTTAAACTTGCTGCTCTCTTCAGGAACGCTTCTTCCCACGCTCTTGCTTTTGCCTTGTTAACCGTTGAGTCCATTCGTAAATTAAACGTGACACTCAGGTACTTTGCTGATACCACTGTTCCACCTGTATAATTAACCTGTCCAAGAAATGCTGATATGTCTATGTTATTCCAGTTTGGGTAGGTGATTCCACCAGACAGATAAGCATTATATACATCATCTGTTGTGAGGAACTCTCCTGAAGCAAAACAACTCCCGTTTTGTCGAGCACAGATATCATCATACTTGATCACCACCCCATCATATGTAATACTGATATCTTTTATTGTGCTTATATGATTCCTTATTTCTTGCATGGGTGCATTGGACAGTACATTTACATCTGTCGAGCTGCTCACTACAAGTCGGCCATACATGCCGAGATCTGACAGTGCATGTCCTCGGTAGTTGCTTCCCGTGGCGTCTGGGAACGTGGCCTGGTACTGAACTCTGTCTTGTGATGCTCTGCTGTTAATGGGCGTGTACAGGGTCTCTGTGTCAGTCTCGTTGGACAATGTTATCATACCACAGCTGAGACAAAGGGTTACTGAAAGTGAGGCAACTACCAGTACAACTGGGTAGGTGCCAATGAAAACACCGATCTTTGTGAAAATCCTCTTGAAGAAGCCAGACACAGCCTCGAAGCATCTATTTAGGCAGCCCATCCTGGACTATTCATTTGCCGTTACATCTGGAAAAGATTAAATGAAATAATGTTAGAAAAGGATACCGAACACCTATGGTGGTCACGATATCATTTTCATACATGTTGAGTGAAATGGGGTCGAGTGAAAGATTATTGCACTTAACGATGGGCATGTGGCAGCTTGTTCAAGTCTGGAGAAATACCAGTTTTATAGTGCTGGCCCACTTAGATACCATGGCGCAGTTTAACATAGATAATTCACTCCGACACATTATACTGATTCTAAACCGAACATTCCTTGTTTTGCCCCCTTACTGTCGAACGCCAGGCAGGGTAACAACAAGTATCTATTATAAATGTCTTTTTGCATGACTCCGGACCTTCCGTTCTTATGTCAACTATAATTTGCTTGTTTACTTCATGATTGTTTGTTAACATTTTGTTAATAAAAGCGTGTGGAATACATATTTCGGGACGGTTTTTCATGTGGTCTAGTAAAGTGATCTTGCTTTTGTAAGTTTTATGTAAGTCTATTTCGGGTATTAAAATCGTTCAACCATACATACACTGAGCCGTAAACAGATCACGATTGCATAGTTATATTTTTTAATTGCAAATTACCGATCACATGGTAATTGTTCATAGATTTATTGTTTCCTTAGTAGCAGTCAGTCTGACATTCGAAGAGTTAGAAACTGAACCTTCGAAAACTGTTTACTCTATTTATTTTGTTTGATTTGTAATGTCCGTATGGCACACACGCACACACCCATCAGAATACCGTTTTACATTAGGATTCTTGATAAACGGAATAACAATCCGGGACCAATCTTCAAATACTTGCCGTTATAAGAATCAACAAAACAACATGAATAAATTATCTGTGAAACGAAATTTTCTGCCGTGTACATTCTATTCCTTTTTGATACGATCTTCGAAGAGTGAGTGAGTTTGATTTTACGCCGCGTTTAGCAATATTCCAGCAATATCACGGCGGGGGACACCAGAAAAGGGCTTCACACATTGTACCCATGTCGGGAATCGAACCCGGATCTTTGGCGTGACGAGCGAACGCTTTAACCACTAGGCCATCCGACCGCCCCAGATCTTCGAAGAGATGAACGAATATTATTTGTGAATGTCAATGATAGAATGTACAGCTGGGCGCATAGTTTCTATATCACATATTCCCTTGTATCCTGGTTTGTATTAACATATGCTGGGTATGACAGGAGTACTGCTGGGCGCATAGTTTCTATTTCACCTATTCCCTTGTGTCCTGGATTGTATTAACATATGCTGGGTATGGCAGGAGTACTGCTGGGCGCATAGTTTCTACTTCACCTATTCCCTTGTATCCTTGATTGTATTAACATATGCTGGGTATGGCAGGAGTACTGCTGGGCGCATAGTTTCTATTTCACATATTCCCTTGTATCCTGGATTGTATTAACACATGCTGGGTATGGCAGGAGTACTGCTGGGCGCATAGTTTCTATTTCACCTATTCCCTTGTATCCTGGATTGTATTAACATATGCTGGGTATGGCAGGAGTACTGCTGGGCGCATAGTTTCTATTTCACATATTCCCTTGTATCCTGGATTGTATTAACACATACTGGGTATGGCAGGAGTACTGCTGGGCGCATAGTTTCTATTTCACCTATTCCCTTGTATCCTGGATTGTATTAACATATGCTGGGTATGGCAGGAGTACTGCTTGGCGTATAGTTTCTATATCACATATTCCCTTGTATCCTGGATTGTATTAACATATGCTGGGTATGGCAGGAGTACTGCTTGGCGTATAGTTTCTATATCACATATTCCCTTGTATCCTGGATTGTATTAACATATGCTGGGTATGGCAGGAGTACTGCTGGGCGACGTCAGGTAACCACAAATAAACACCTACTTTATATGCAAATTGTGTGAGTGGCGGGTGCTACCTGTTGACAGGACATGCTTTCCCTTTACGCGAAGCCCTGGTGTCATCACTGATTTTCAATGATCAATTCATATAATTTTCACAGCTACTTTGTCTTCTACGTCTGTTCGTGAAATGATCGATTGGCAGATAATCGATACTGATTATTTTCTGGCGTTGAGTGGTTTATTTATAATATACATATGAATGAAATACTCGAATCTATCAGTGACGATAGATCAAGTTATCAGTCACTAGTGACTGATATAAAAAAAGTTATATCAGTCACTAGTGACTGATATAAACAAGGTGCCGAAACTACTTTCTCCTGAATCAAAACATTAAAGAGTTATCCCCCTTTGTTTACGTCAGATGCCGACTGTACTCAACCGCAGGTGCATATATTCTCTTCAACTGACCACAGGAACTTTTTGACGAGTCTGATGTCTGGAAATAACATATATGGCAGTGTTAATATCACTCGTGCGCCGGACATGCTTCGCCAGACATTAGGCACAACTGGCGACAGCGAGACGTACCGCCGAGGCGACAAGCCCCCGCTTGAATTTTCCGAATGTTTCAGTTAAAATGTTCGGGGTTCTATAAATGTGTTTATGTCAACTTTCATACATTTCTGTGAGAAAATTTGATCAAATTTGGCGGATTTTGTAAGCCTGGACAGCGCTCAGCTGATCGTTCGACATGGTCACAGTTCTAACTGTTTATATGTTCCTACGCCAATAAAATAATCGCTGTATGAAAATGATTTCTGTTTTCATTTTAAACAGGAATGTTTAATCATGACAAACAAAAATGTCCACGGAACTTAATACTCGATATGAAATAATATATTTCGCATAACATATATTAACAGGGCTAGTTTTATTTACGAACTATATTCTTTTCGCAAACCCCCTTTATACGGCGGTGGTAAACGGGCGACAGGGAGAACTTAGTAATTTATCAGACACTGTTTTCGAAAAAATATATAAATTGCAAGTAATAAAAATAAAACATGTATATAATAAATAGAAAATTCAATGTGTTTTCTCAAATACCACTTTTATCTCATCTCTCGTGAAAATGCGTCACTCGTGAAAATATTAGACTCTTCCCACTTAACTCGATGAAAAGTGGTATTTGAGAAAACACATTAAATATCCTCTATATATTCATATGTATTTTGTTATATCTGCCATATCTAAATATGTCATTATCATCGCCATCGAAGTGCAACTGCTTCCTTGTTTCTTGTCCTCGACAACCAAACAGAATTTATTTCCTTAATTGTCAAACTAACCAGGGATAAAAACCATATTTCACAATATTCACATATTATTAACTTAAATTTTTTTTTAGATCGAAACACAATGAATTTTCATTGTATGATCATAGAAACTTTTGTAATGGCATTTCCAGAGTTTACCTAGAAAGAAGATATTCGTTAGAAACATACCAATCACTTGTACAACATTTTCGAGGAAATATAATGATATGAATTATTGAGTATTTCTTCAAGCCAAGGCCTTTGTTCATTTCGTTACTGAATGCATGTGTTTGTAATTTGTCAGGTACATGGAAATATATTGGGTGTCTGGTATAACAAAGAGTACGTTTCTGCAATAATAGGCTCCGTTTGCACAAGAAGACTATTGTGAAGTCATATTAGTTACCAGTAACGTGTTATTATACATACATGTAAAGTTTTGGTACTTCTGAAATCATATATGTAAACATAAGCATATATACTTGGATTAAATCGTTAAAATAAACTGTTGAAATACCTGAACATTGAATCTACACTTAACGTCCATTCTCGCCAATTAAAACCTCGAAATCCTGATAACCATCGACACTATAGTGACCTATTTGAATCGAAACATGATTAGGTGTTCTATGTTGTGTAAATGATACTCAGGAGCAAACAGTAACAGTTACCGGGTTTGCTACCAGGAATACAGCCATTCTGACAATCTTGGTAATACAGAAGGCTGCAGTGTTAGGGAGTCTTCACATTCTCCGAAAAGTTCTGGGTGGGTTTGACTAAGCAGTGCTTCCTGGGAGAAGTCCCATTCGCTGTCTGGGCTGCGTGTAGAGGAGGCAATTAAGAGCCCTGAGCTGATGATGGGCATAACGAGCCTGACTGTGCCAGGATCACCCAAACCCTCTTTGATGCATTTTTTAAATTTTTGTCCGTTACTACTACTACTACTACTACTACTACTACTAGTAGTCAATTTATATGGCGCTGTACCCATGCTTAAGCATGCCCTAAGTGCTAAGACATTTATTACCCTGGACAATGGATCAGTGTCCACTCAACAATCATTCTCAGTTCCCTTGGTAGTATACAACCAGTGCTGCCTGATTGGTGTTAAACGTCGCATTCAGCAATATTCCATGTGACGGCAGTCTGAACATAATCAAGTCTGGACCAGACAATCCAGTGATTCAGATCCTGAGCATCGATCTACGCAATTTGGATAAGATGACATGCATCAGTGGTAGTGTATTTTACCAGATATGATTTAATCGCATTTGGAATCCAGACGGTCAGTAAATAATAATAAGAAGAATATATAAAATAGAATAAAACTTAAGCAGAGCAAATGTTGTCCGAAGGTTGAGTTGAACAAGTCTCTGACACCATCCTGAGCCGCCGATGTCAGTCTGCATTTTCGGTCAGGAAATGATTAGCGTCATCTCATATTTTGTCAGTTGTTCAAACTTAATTTGACCCGTGAATAGGTCTTCAGCAACCCTTTCTTGCCGTAAAAGGTGACTATGCTTGTCGAAAGAGGCGACTAACGGGATCAGGTGATAAGACTCGCTGACTTGGTTGATGCATGTCATCGTATCCCAATTGCGTGGATCGATGCTCATGTTGTCAATCACAGGATTGTCTGGTCCAGACTCGATTATTTACAGACCGCCGTCATATAGCTGGAATATTGTTGAGTGCGGCGTTAAACAACAAATCAACCAAACAAACAAACTTAATTTACCAGTTCTCTATAATATGATGTATTGGTAGGAAGTAGAACCAATTTGACATTGAGCCGTCTCTGACACCAACCTGAGCTGCGATGTCAGTTTGCATTATCAGTCAGGGAATGAAAAGTGTCATCGCATATTTTGTTAGTTGCTCAAACCTAATTTACCGGTTCGACGATCTTCTCAATAATATGACACACTGGTATGAAGTGTAACTAATCTGACGTTAGTTTGTGTAGATGATCATGCTTGAGCAAGTACTTACCCCATATAAGCTGGATCTTGGCCTGTCGTTCGTTGAGAACGTCTTTGTATCACATTCCAGCGGTCTTTACTTATATGTAGTCTGCCGTGGAATATAACATAACAGGTAAATTCGTCCAACGAATCATGGAGATATTGAGATTCCCTCCCCTCATTGCTACCTTGCCACAGTGATCAGTATCTGTATCAACGCACGGATCAGGAAGTAGACGTTGCAGCCAATCAGTGGCTTGCACTCACGTGACTCAAACACAATACTGGACGTAATGAGTAAGATCACATTTAGACTCAATTTATCCTGGTACGCGAGGGTGGTGTGGTAGCCTTGTGGTTAAAGCATTATTTCGTCACGGGTCGTCACATTGGCTCAATGTGTGAATGCCATTTTGGTTTGATGAAATGATACCAGACATTTGTTTTCACCTACAGCATCATACCATGATATTTGTTAAACTAAAACCATGACCAAATCCGCTAATAAAATGAAACAACATCAATTGACACCACGCATAATGACAATGAAATATGACAGACTGATAACATGAGGTGAGATAAGGTTTAATGTCGCGTTCAAGCATTGCACAGCATGCACGTATGTGTGGCTGATTCAGCATGCACGTGTGTTGAACTGCTTGTACTGGTCCGAACTTACGCTAGTTTTATTGTGACAAGTAAGATGCCACGCCGCATTATAACATAAATACTCCACTCAGACACATTAATCTGACTCCGAGTCCGTCTTTCTCTTGATGCCCAGCTCCAGGCAGGGTAACAACAAGTATCATGTACGTCTTTTGGTATGACGCAGCCAGGAGATCTAACCACCAAACTTCCGGACTCCGGGCAGACGCTCAATCCTTTTCACCTCAACACGAGTTGGGGATGACAGACGAATGGATGTGATTCATCAACCTCAAGGATATACTTGATAACGTCTTCCCCGATGTACTTATAGAAACATTAGAACCTGTCTAGTAATGATATGTATCTATCTGGCTTTCTTTTTTTCAGTCTGCCTTTTTAGTGATAACTTGTATATACCTAGCAGTCTTTTCGTTGTTCTTCTGGTGATAATTTGTATGTACCTAGCAGTCTTTTCGTTGTTCTTCTAGCGATAACTTGTGTGTACCTAGCAGTCTTTTCGTTGTTCTTCTAGTGATAATTTGTATGTACCTAGCAGACTTTTCGTTGTTCTTCTAGTGATAACTTGTGTGGACCTAGCAGTCTTTTCGTTGTTCTTCTAGTGATAACTTGTGTGTACCTAGCAATCCTTTCGTTGTTCTTCTAGTGATAACTTGTGTGGACCTAGCAGTCTTTTCGTTGTTCTTCTAGCGATAACTTGGGTGTACCTAGCAGTCTTTTCGTTGTTCTTCTTGTGATAATTTGTATGTACCTAGCAGACTTTTCGTTGTTCTTCTAGTGATAACTTGTGTGGACCTAGCAGTCTTTTCGTTGTTCTTCTAGTGATAACTTGTGTGTACCTAGCAGTCTTTTCGTTGTTCTTCTAGCGATAACTTGTGTGTACCTAGCAGTCCTTTCGTTGTTCTTCTAGCGATAACTTGAGTGTACCTAGCAGTCTTTTCGTTGTTCTTCTAGTGATAATTTGTATGTACCTAGCAGACTTTTCGTTGTTCTTCTAGTGATAACTTGTGTGGACCTAGCAGTCTTTTCGTTGTTCTTCTAGTGATAATTTGTATGTACCTAGCAGACTTTTCGTTGTTCTTCTAGTGATAACTTGTGTGGACCTAGCAGTCTTTTCGTTGTTCTTCTGGTGATAACTTGTGTGTACCTAGCAATCCTTTCGTTGTTCTTCTAGCTATAATTTGTGTGTACCTAGCAGTCTTTTCGTTGTTCTTCTAGTGATAACTTGTGTGGACCTAGCAGTCTTTTCGTTGTTCTTCTAGTGATAATTTGTATGTACCTAGCAGACTTTTCGTTGTTCTTCTAGTGATAACTTGTGTGTACCTAGCAGTCTTTTCGTTGTTCTTCTAGTGATAACTTGTGTGTACCTAGCAATCTTTTCGTTGTTCTTCTAGTGATAATTTTTGTGTTCCTAGCAGACTTTTCGTTGTTCTTCTAGTGATAATTTGTATGTACCTGGCAGACTTTTCGTTGTTCTTCTAGTGATAATTTGTATGTACCTAGCAGACTTTTCGTTGTTCTTCTTGTGATAATTTGTATGTACCTAGCAGACTTTTCGTTGTTCTTCTTGTGATAATTTGTATGTACCTAGCAGACTTTTCGTTGTTCTTCTAGTGATAATTTGTATGTACCTAGCAGTCTTTTCGTTGTTCTTCTTGTTATAACTTGTGTCGTCCTGGCACTTTTCGCTTGCTTCTGATTGTCGTAATAGCTGTGTTTAAACCTGGAACGATCTGCTTCTTCGTTTACAAGTAGAAACCTGAATCTACCTGGCACCCTTACCTACTTTGCCAGTGCTAACATCCCTCATGTGTATGTCGAGCAGATAGGTCACTGAAACGGTGCACGGTGGTAGGAAACTCCCCGAGGTAGTAACACAGGAGTTGTGTCCCTTTCATCACACCTCATGCCAGGTACACACAAATTATCACTAAAATAGCAGACGGAGAAAAGAAAACCAGATAGATAAATATCATTACTAGACAGGTTCAAACCCTACCAAGTCGGGTGTTTATCCACTAAGAAATCCCCAGCTGGTTTAAAACGGTATTGAGGTTTGGTGTCATGTATTAAATGAAGATATTGTCACCAGTAAGGTAAATTTGATCTTTGGAATATAAATTCCCAGCTTATTTCTGATGTCACTAAGGGGTCGATCATTAGATATTTAGGTTAATATTTTTATTTTAATAGCAATATCTGGTTTTGCAGAGTAGGCTGAAAAGTTCTAACCTCCATACAAAATAGAATTCTTACTCTGGCAGATAGATTAGAAGGAGATACATATCTGTCTTGGCATTGTTGAAATATAATATGTCAATGCTAGAGAAATATCATTCTCGATTATCTGCCGAAACATGTTCCATTGGGCATAAAAGGCAAATTAAAGTTAAAATTATATGAATTGATCACAGAAAATCTGACACCGGGTGTTCGCGAAAAGGGTAAGCATATCCCGCCACACACAATTTGCATACAAAAGTAAGTGTTTGTTTGTTGCCGGCCAGTAGTGCTTCTGTCATTCGACGGCGGCCTGTAAACAACCGAGTCTTGACCAGACAATCCAGTGACACTCTAGCGTGTTTACAGTTTTTAAAAAAACATCTAAACACGATATCTTAATTTTGAATTACAAGTGCAGAGCTTATATACATTTAAAGAGAAACACTTCAGAAACATGTTCGACAAGCAGAGGGGCACAATTAGTACCTATGCGAAGACCTGCTACCAAATGTTCTATCCGCAAAATTGAGTTATGTTCTGGTCTAAGTTTTCAAGTATATATCTTTTAAATTTGTCCACATTTCCACTCCGCTCTTCTCATATATTCCCTGGCAGCTTGATATTTTCAGAATTAAGGCGAGTATACTGAAACTCATTGACAACATATACACGCTTCAAAAAAGATTAAAAAAGGTAAAACAGGTAAAAGGTAGATTTTTAGTAAATTTATTGTACGTAATAAAGTTGATATATTTAATTTAATATCATAGATACAAATATGACATTTTGGAGCTACATAGTCACATGTTGTCGTTGTACAAAGGCATTGACAAGTGTTCATTGTCATGTCACATAAGGCCACGAGGTGGCGCTGAACTCAGTATCTCGTGTGACCGCCCGGGGCAGCAATCACGGCTCTGCATCTACTCGGCACTGGATAAGTGCACGAATTCTGTCCTTCGGAAGTGTCTGCGGCGTGTTCTGACGTTGACGTACACGTCGAGCGAGTTCATCCCAGAGGTGTTCCATTGGGTTGACACTCACCCATAAGTAAATTAAACTCAGGTAGTTTGCAGGCACCACTTTTCCACCTGTCCAATCAACCTGTCAAGAAAGATGTTGATATGACTATGTTATACTAGTGATTCCACCAGGTAGATAAGCATTATGCACATGAGAGTTTGACTGTATTTACTAATTCCCGTGCCATACGACCCATCTTAGTGAACAAAACCAAAAATGCACATCCAAACTAAGGAATGAAGCCTCTTTTTATAGGTTTTTGACCTCAAGGTTTCCAAATCTGAGCTTTGTTTTGACATAGAAGTGCGTTTTGGCCAATTAAGTGATTTACTGGTATCCTCGAGAGTTGTCCAGTATGGTGACCAGATACCACCGTCTTCCTTTTGTCATCCCTATTCACTAAAGTCAGGGATTTCCGGCCGAACTGAGGCTGCTTGATTCCAGTAAAGGCTTGCCTGAAGCCGTGCCCTTTTTATGTGTTCAAACAAGGCTGCCTGAATGGGTGGTGTATTCTCAGTTGTAAAAAGACGATGTCTGGCTTTGTTGACTTCAGCCAAACCACACCCCTTACTAAACATGATAATTACACATCGTTCCAGTTTCTGCATGTGAAGAGACTCAAGGCTGAAGAGTTCTGGTTGATTGGTTCGAGTCACCAGTGTTTCATTGAGTCCAGGTGTGTTTTGCCAAGATGACCAGTCAGTCTTCTTGCCACACCCAAGGAGCTGTGATGCCGTGTCGCACCCTGAAATGCAATGGAAAAGCGGCAATGTCAGAGATCACAAAGGTCCAAGATAGGGAGAGATATCATGGATGTGAATATCGCGAGTTTTTTTCCCGCCACCGAAACACACCCACAGCTCTGCCAGTGTAGAGGAGAAGCCACCATGTCGCTATCAACAATACGAACATAAGCTGTCTGGTGGCCCTGTGCTACAGCACGTGTCAGGTGAAGGAATATCTTGACAAGCTCCTCACTGAGGAAAGATTGGCCACAACAACTGCGGCCAATTTGGCTGGATGTGCTCGACCAATTGGCGATTTGATGCATTCCAGAGTATCAAACTTGTTGCCGTATCGAAGTGAACCACTATCAGCCATTTATTTTCAAAACGAAAAAACTCTTCCATATCTACATCTGTAGTGATTGTAGTGAAAGGAAGAGGGTTGTGATTAGAGTTATATTTTTCTTCTATAAACCACTGGTTTTGATTCCTTTTTTGGTCAGATCAGGACGCTTGGCGAATGTCAGGATTATATAATGCCTGATAGTGTTTGACACTGGCACTGTAACCTTATCGAGCGTCTGTGAAATGTATTGTGCATGAAGGTCCTCTCCAACTTCATGGACCCTAGAGAGATATGTGACGACTTCCTGTTCCATAATGATGTATATGTGCCTGTGGACTCTTATTGGACTGTTCGTGTGACTGATTCTTTCCAGTGAGCCTGAACTTGTGTGTGGACTTTTGAACGACAATGTACCCTTTAATAGGGCATCATCTTGACCAAGCTGGGACTCACCTGCAATCTTTGTATTATTAGAAATGTAGATTTCCTTCTCCTGTGAGAAGAAGATTGAGAATATGCTTTTTAAACCATGTTGAATGTGGCTGCCTGGTATCGTGACAGGGACTTCGTTGTTCTTCCATCAGTGTTCGGTACATCTGTCGAAGTGCTGATATATGGAGGCTGAATCCTCAACAAGGGCTACTATTTGTTCTGTAGCAATTTGACGAAAATCAGGTGGATCAGGGCTTTAGGATGCTCGACGATCGGCAGCAGGTGCAGACTCTCGTAGATGCAAATAGCATTGAACATGATACAAAACATCACCAGCATGGGCATCCGCAGCTTGTGCAATCAATTTACCCTTCAACTGGTTATTATTTTTTTACTTTGCCCAGCTTTTAAGAATTGCATCTACGTTGTCAGTTGCCACCTTGCGCATATTGGTCTGGTCATCTCCATCACAGATAATGCAGCATTTGACATCACTGCCTTTTCCATGTGATGCCCCCGCTGATCTGAGTTTTTGGGGTGAACTCTGTGTTCATGTTTTTAACGCAGCCTCTTCACACGAGAACTACTACAGTAGCTCGTACATATTTTGTGACTCTAAGCATTATGGGATCGGAGTGTTGCTGCAATACCTGATCCATTATTTAGTTGATCAAAGAGGACTGTAATATCAGACTGAACGGCATTGATTTCCTTAACTTCTTTGATAGGCATTTAGAAGTTAGAGTACTAAGTAAGGATAATAATTTATGGATGAACAACTTCATTATTACAATTAAGAGCGACGTTTCGGTGTAGGTTCTCAAACCAATATCAAGCAAGTGCTGGATAATGGTGTTAGAACCTACACCAACACCAAAACGTCGCTCTTAATTTCGGTGTAGGTGTAGGTGTTAGAACCTACACCAAAACGTCGCTCTTAATTGTAATAAAGAAGTTGTTCATCCATAAATTCTTATCCTTACTTGATTTCCTTAAAGTCAGTCAGGTCTCTGCCAAGAGTTAAAAGTTCTTCTACCTTTGGTGTTTGAGACACTCCACTTTTATCTGACTGGCATACACAGCAAAGTTCCCAATTGATACTTTCCTTTGTTGGCGCAATATCACAGGTACAATTTTCAATTATTTCACATCCAAATGAGACCTAAACCTGCAAGTTTTTGCCCTTAAGTCTGCCCCTGGAAATACTCTGACAACTAAAATGAATAGCGTATTTTGTATGTCAAAATCCTTGCGGTCAAAAACCTATGAAAAGAGCCTTCATTCATGATCCTATGACTTTTGGTTATTTAGTTAGGACAAAATCCAATAAGGACTGACAGCAATCTTGGATTTTGCCAATATGGCGGCCCCAATGATCACCGGCTTTGGCGCCCTCCAAAAATGAGTTTAGTATGTTCTGGTCTACACCTGTGCCAAACTTGATGCTTGTAGACACATCTTCACGATACCCCCTAACGGCTCCCTGAGGGCCTGGACTATTGCCACATCAAGCCAACTTTCTTGTGCTAAATATGATTGGACTATCGCACATATCGAAGGTCCAACCAGAAAACGTTTCACAAAATCAACATCCACGACTGGTACACCTTCGTATGAAAGTGATTTACCGCTGCCTGTCTTTGTTGAGACGAATATGTCTTTTTCAACTTTTAAACCCCCCAACGATTGCCTATGTTTTTTGTGTGTCAGTGGTGAAATCGCGAATATTTTCGTTATCTGATCTCCCCATCTTTGTGAAGCTATACGAGATAAGAACAGTGATCTGATTGGATGTCGCGTGAACTCGTGATCTACGGGAGGTGAAGGTCGAGTCAGGAAAAGTGGCCTTGATGTGGCAAGGTTAGAAACTAGGCTTTGATATAATAGGCTGGTGTACATGCTTGTCACGGGAAGATGGACTTGATATAACTTGATATGTCTTCGAACTACGAACGTAATATCGATGACCTGGCCACCTTTCAAGACAGTGTGGACCGCCTCCGTGGTCAAGTGGACAGAGCGTCTGCCCCGAGAGTGGAATACCATATGTCCACTGGCCTTGCATACTGACAGATGCCACTTGTTGTTACCTTACAGGGCGGTCGGCATTAAGGGGACTAAACAAGGACTGGTCGGCTGGGATTGAGCATACTGTGTCGTGGCGAGGTGTCCATGTTAAACTGCGGACATGGTATGTCAATGGGTCAGCACAATAAAACCTGCGTTAGTACACACACACACACACAAACACACACACACACACACACACACACACACACACACACACACACACACACACACACCGCTACATAAGTGTAATAATATTGAACGCGTCGTTAAGCCCCATTTCACCTCACCTCAAGATACTGTGACTTGAGCTACACGTCTTTCGACTCACAACTTCACGATTTCATTTATCCATGGTTTTTGTATCACCATACCATTGATCCTGGGTTCACCAAAGCCACGACTTTTATTGAATCAAAGTATGGGCAATGACAAGGCGTAAAATTCTGTCTGTAAATGTCTCAACCAAAACTCATGAGTCCAAAAAGATAACAGTTATCTGACTCCGGGTAATAGCTTCAAGAAATACCAACTGCTAGGTCATTCATATTTTTTACGTCACCTTTTTTTAACAAAACAATGACAAAATAAATACATTACTGTTATGAGTTTGTGTCTGTCAATTCTTGTCCACATCTATTAACACCACAATTTGGGTGTTGCTCACAGACTCTTGCACACCCATGCAAAAGGGAGATCGTCAATATGAAAATCATTTTGCATCGAGCCTTATTTAAGAAATAGAGGACGAGTTGGAGTTGTTTATCGAATACTAAAAAAACTGCAGGGAGAATAAACCATGAAGGGCTGATCGTGAGCTGAGGCGTAGAATACCGCTTAATCTCTGAAAATAAATAATATTGATGGAAAAATACAACTCCATTTAAATTGAAAAGGCGCCCCAGTGAGATGGGACTTTTACATCTGTGGAAAATCTAGACTTGCTTCTTTTAGACGTATATAGCATTACAGAAAGGGTTGGGTGGAAGGGAAAATAATATGGTTCGGGAACTTGTGAGGCAGAGACCAGTGAACAAGAGAACTTTCCCGGAATAGCACTAGTTGATCACGAATGGTCGTGTAGATTACAGAATGATGCGACTGGCGGCGAATGCAATAGGCTGGTTCCCGGATCCTCCGCTTGGTGTCGCTGCTCTTGCATTTCCTTTCAGTCTGTCCCAAGTCTGTCGCAGGAACGAACGGGAACCGGTCTACGAACACAATGACATTCACAGAAGGGAAGATAACTCTTTATTTGTGTACTATTTTTGGTTCCACATCATCGATTTGGATTTCCCAGGTATGTACGTTACGAAGGTCGCTTACTCATTTCCACATTACTCCGTATTCCGCCGTTCAGTGCAGTCGAGACACTGACTTGATCTCGGAGGAGAGTCAGTCAATCGACGTCGCTCACTGAATAGCTGTATAAATACGTGCACGACCCTGTCATTGTGATATCACAATGTAGGGGTTATAAGGTGTCAGTCATTCCCGTTTGATCTGTTGCTTTATATATAGATCCACGTTGGTATTAATAAAAGATTTTCCTGCGACTTAACAGTGGAAAGTTTTGCTATAAAAGCGTGTGTCATGTCATGTTTGTCATTAAATGAATTGAACTGAAAACGACATTTAAGTCTGCAAAAAAACATAAAACCAATTTAGTCAATGAATGCATGTATCATGAAAAGTATAATGTTTTTGTTCAGTAATAGTATTTATCGCACTATGTGTTGATCAACGTTGGTATTAATTAAACAAATGCCCGCAACATGGTAGTGGAATGTTTTTAGACATAAACGTGTGTCACATAGGCTATCATGATAGTCATATGATAGGAATTAAACTAAAAACGACATAAGCCTATGGTTTTAATCTACAAAACGTGAAAAAAAATGATTGCGTGTATCTTGAACAATATTTATTTTGTTCAGTAATGGTACTTATCAGCCTGTTTTTATAATGTATTGTTGAATCATAGGTTTTTCTTTTAATTGTTCACAACTAGTTTTACTTTAAACTGTGATAGTCTAGATCTAGTTATTATACTGTCCGTCGATGACAGGTTTTTATACGTTTATTATTAATGTTCTAGTCACAATATGGATGTAATATTGCCTATGTGACGTTAAATTTTAACTCACTCACTCAAGATTACTTATTAGCCATTGAGTTAGAAATAACTGCATGAGTTCATAACAATTGTATGTACACTAGTCACTAGGGCAAATATCACTTCAACCCTACCATTGTGTTGTTAATCCAATGTCATCCAGACCACTTTGTCGACATCATTTGAATCTTATTGTGGTGTAAGGATGTCACTGGAGAAACGATGTCAAAGCTCAAGTTGACTTCATTCAGCAATTGTGGTTTTCTAAAGCGGCGGTTGTGATCAGTGTATTTTTCTGAAGTGGAGCGAAAAGGATTGAGAAATAATGGGTAATAATGAGTGAGTATGGTTTTACGCCGCTTTTAGCAATATTCCAGCAATATCACGGCGGGGGACACCAGAAATGGGCTTCACACATTGTCCCCATGTCGGGAATCGAACCCGGGTCTTCGGTGTGATGAGCTAACGCTTTAACCACAAGGCTACCAATTGGTAATATCATTCAAATTTGAAACGTTTGAAAATAACTGCTGATACCAGGAGAGCTTTATATTTTCATATAAGTAAGATGGCTATGTGATAAATCGGGAAGAACAATAAACATGATGAAGCACGAGGCATGGTTTATTTCACGATAAAACATTGTTCTGTAATGATGTCATTTCTGGATATTCAAATAAGCCTCGTAAATTGGACGACTCTATTTTTTAGAGGGAAGTGTCTTGTGAGTTGTTTATGGATGTAGCTGTGCAATGTAGATAAACGCAATGGTTGAATGATCGAGAGAGACATGACAATCGGTATTGGGAGAAAAGGTACAGATAATCGTCATGAAAATTGTGAGAATATGTAGGAAAGACTAAATTTTACCTCCACTGTTCATGTGGTCAAATTGTCTTGTCCAATATTGCCGAGGTCAGATTCTGTTCTGGGAATCATCATACAGGTAAATATTTTTGAAGCAGTTTTTATACTGACATCCTTATAGAGACTGTACATAATCATGATAATTTTGATATCTCATATAAGAAATAATCAACTCATGGTCGTTGTTTATGGTATAAGAAAACACTGCAGGGAGAATATACCACTCGGGGCTGTGGCTTATTCTCCCTGCCAGGCTTTATTGTACGATAAACAACGACCACGACCACAACGTTTATTTCTTGTGACATATTTGTTGTTATAATTACGGTACATTGCAGGTGCAACAGTTTGTTGGATGATGCCATGATGGATGAAATGACTCATTGACTCTGTGTTAGCTATGAGGACTAGTACAAGTTTCTAGGCAGAAGAACTTATGCTGGAATGGCCTGTGAGTCGTCCACTCTGATGCACTTGCCGTCTGAGATACTTCTGCAGGTGTTTCAACATGTAGACCACAAAGACCTGATAAAGTGAGTAGGGTTCCAATCAGAAATTGGGTTAGGTGTGCACATGGGAATTTTGGGTTAAGATAGGTTTGTGTCATTCCATATCAGTATGGATGTCCTGTATCTTGTCTCCCTGTAGGGATTCATAGACGCAAAAGTCTAATGTTCCTCATGCTTGCCTCCCTCCAGGAATTCCATGGTAGAATAAGTTCGATTTACCATGTACTTGTCTCCCTGTGGGGATTTCAGCAAAGAATAAGTCCCAAATGATGTTAATAACTGAGGATTATATGCTTACAGTGTGTCACCTGTATGGTTGGTTGTGTGTCACCTGGTTGGTTGTGTGTTACCATGGATACATAGCTGGTTGTGTAACCTGTGTGGTTGTGTGTTACCATGGTTACATCGCTTGTTGTGTCACCTGGCTTGTCTGTTACCGTGGTTACATAGCTGTTTGCGTCACCTGATGGTTGTGTGTTACCATGGTTACATAGCTGGTTGTGTCACCTCATGGTTGTGTGTTACCATGGTTACATAGCTGGTTGTGTCACCCGAGTGGTTGCGTGTTACCATGGTCACATAGCTGGTTGTGTCACCTGATTGGTTGTGAGTGAGTGTGATGGGTTTAGCGCCTCTTTTAACAGTATTACAGTTATATCACGGCGTGTCAGCTTAATGTGGGAGGAAAGCCCGAAGTGATGCAGGTCTCAGACGTTTACCACCTCGGTGAAGCCCACGAGCACGGGTATGGTGCTGACAAACCTAGAAACATAATCGGGGCGAACCAGGATTCGAACCCACAATCATAGGTTTCTGGCATGCCCAAGGGACGCAACTCTGCACAGCGAATCTCGATTGGTTGTGTGTCACCTGGCTGGTTGTGTTCAGTTAAAAAGAAGGGGCAAACTTTCTTACTATCAACTCCTTAATACCCATCTCCTTCATGGTGAAGTGAGATTCACGATTTTGAAGATGGCGCAAAAGTATTTCTCTTGCTGTCACATTTAGAGTTGGAAGAGACCACCTGATCTCTTTTAATTAGTGCCCTGTAGCGCACTAAAAACAAATTTGTTTCCATCTCTGTTGTTTCAGCTTGTCCTTCGTCAGCAGCCTGTTCCACAGCGTTGCTGCTGATGACTCTCTCTGGAAGACACAGTGTGACAAATGTTTCTTGCTGCAGGAGTAAGTCTTACCACTGCTCACAAATAGGTTGGTTGGTTGGTTTGTTGTTTAACGCCTCACTCAACAATATTCCAGCCATATGACGGCGGTCTGTAAATAATCGAGTCTGAACCAGATAATCCGGTGATTGATATTATGAGCATCAATCCAGACAATTGGGATCGATGACATGCATCAACCAAGTCAGCGAGCCTGACCACCCATTCCCGTTAGTCGCCTCTTTCGACAAGCATAGTTGCCTTTTACGGTAAGTATGGGTTGCTGAAGATCTATTCTACTCCGGATCTTCACCATGTTCACGGGTCCACAAATAAGTAGCATCTGATGTAGGACGCATTGTACATATTCCCATCCTCTACCATATATAACAGTCTAGTATTTATGGAATTGAATGGATTTCAGAATCCGGATGTTGATTTTGTACAGTGTTCTTTGACTGGACTATCTATATATGCATTGGTCCTTGACTAGAATACTAGACTTTGACAGGGACTTTCAGGGGCGGAGCTTATATGTCTGACAAATCAGTATGATGTCACATAAACACAGGTGGCCCGGACATCGTAGGCGGTGCAATTCACTGTACAGAGTTGTGTCCCTTGGTCAGAAACCTAGGATCATGAGTTCGAAAACGCAGTTTGCCCTGATTATGTTTCTAGGTTTGTCAGCACCATACCCGTGCTCATGGGTTTCACTGAAGTGGTAAACGACTGACTGACTGACTGTTCCATAGACAAGATGCCATACGCAGGTCATTCTGTTCAGATCAAGGTTCAGATCAAGTTTTATCAAGCAGCAATATACTTGTAATGTCGGGGCCCCACTTTGTATACCTCCTCTATGGATACACTGAAAGGAATCTGAGGAAATTAACATCTTGTTTTCTTCTCACTGAATTTATTAACTAATTTCAGTAATGAAAAAAGTATAGAATAGTATCCTTTGGTGAGTAAGTGAGTGAGTTGAGTTTAATGCCGCTTTTAACAGTATTCCAGTTACATCAGGGCGTGTCAGCTCAATGTGGGAGGAAAGCCCTAAGTGATGCAGGCCTCAGATGTTTACCACCTCGGTGAAACCCACGAGCATGGCGAATCGCGGCGCCTTAGACGAATGGGCCACCTGTGCCCCAGTATCCTTTAGTGTTTTAATTTCAGCACTTTTTTCTTATATTTTTATTTCACCTGAACCAAAGTTTTGTAAGATCACTTCCAGGAACTTCCTGATGTATCTCTATTTCCATGGAAACTCCTCCTCTATGCATCTCTGTGTTTCCAGATCATTTCCGGATGTCTCTATGTTTCTGTGGAACTTCTTATATCTCTGGGTATTTCTTCTGACAGATGCCCTGAGGAAAGTTCATGGAAGGAGTTGTTTGTCAAGTATTATGGAAACTATGGCGATGTCCTCGGTGTCTACCAAAAGATTCGCACAGCATGGAACAAGATCATGGGCTACCTGAAGAAGTATGACAAGGTCATCACTGGCTCGCTCCTGCGTAAGTCCCAGGATGCCAAGTTGCCTTTCTTGTGTGTGTGTGTGTGTGTGGTGGTGTGTGTCAGTGTATGTGTGTGTGTGTCTGTTTGTGTGTGTGTTATGTATTAATGTGTGTGTTTTCTATTAATGTGTGTCTGTCTGTGTGTGCATGCATGTCTGTCTGTCTCTGTGTGTATCTGTGTGTGTGTTTCTCTCTCTCTCTCTCTCTGTATGTATGTCTGTATCTGTGTGAGTGTGTTTCTCTGTGTGTTTGTGTGTGTCTGTATCAATGTGCTTCTGTGTGTGTCTGTACATGTCTGTCTCTGTGTGCGTGCATGTCAGTGTACGTGCGTGTCTGTGTGGGGGTGTCTGTATGCGTTTCTGTATGTGTGTCTGTGTGTGTGCTTGAGAGACTAAAACCACACAATGGCACAATTATCTACACACTGAAGCACTATTCTGGTTGGCTACGAGATCCATTCCCTATTTTGAGCACCTGCTATAACATGGAAAGAAACACAGAAGTAGGGACTCGACTATACTTTAATCCCAGTTTATCTGCCCAGTCACATCAGAAATTCTATCAGCAAAGATGATCCTCTGATGCTGCTTTCTGAATTTTCAGCTCCAGCCACTGAGGAACAGTTACGGGAGGCAGAGAATAAACTGGGTTGCCGTTTCCCCGATGATATGAGGTGTTCCCTGAAGATTTATAATGGACAGAAACAAGGGGCTGGGCCAGGGTAAGTGGCTTCTTGTACAAGCTGCTCAGGACATTTTCAAGTTATGGGAAACATTAAGACCTCTTTTTATATGTTTACATGAATGACATCTGACATGTTTTCTTTCTGTCACTTGCAAAATTTGGACATGATCTAGTATAGGAGTATGCCTCAAAGAATATATAAACTTTTGAGGCAAATGTGTCCATGTCTTTACCAACATCTAAGAAATTCAGCTTTAGCCAAGCATTTGTTCATTTTCAGATATTAGGAAAATTCTTACTGCAAAATTCTAGAATTGGCAGTTTGCTCATGTTTTTGCCATACATTTTGGTGTTTATTTTTTTGCGTGTTTAAAAAAACAGCATTGTAATTCTCATTCATAAGAACACAGGTCATTAATTATGTGATGACATGTAAATGGTTTGCTTGTATCTTGAACAATTCAGATTTAGTTGGTCCAGAAAGGGTCCTTTTCATACCGTTTAGTTTAAAGAAATCAATGATTTTAGTGTAAAATATAAACATCCTATCAAAGAAATGTTTGTACATATGTTATAAGAAGGCTGTCATGTTTAAATATCCACATCTCATGACACATCAACTTAAGTGTGTCACCAGTGTCTTGGCTATATCATTGGTGCAGGCAAACCATTGGCTACTATGTGAGCATAGAACCCTGTCATGATTGTATGGAATGAGATTCTAATGAAACACGGTCAAACCCAAACCATTTCTTGTATGGGGATCCCCATCCACAACCTAATCAAAGTCCAAAGTCAGTGTTCCACCAGTCCCCATCCACAACCCAATCAAAGGCCACAGTCAGTGTTCCACCAGTCCCCATCCAAGACCTAATCGCAGTCCACAGTAGGTGTTGCACCAGTCCCCATCCACGACCTAATCGCAGTCCACAGTCAGTGTTCCACCAGTCCCCATCCACGACCTAATCATGGTCCACAGTCAGTGTTCCACTGGTCCCTATCCACGACCTAATCACAGTCCACAGTCAGTGTTCCACCAGTCCCCATCCACGACCTAATCGCAGTCCACAGTCAGTGTTCCACCAGTCCCCATCCAAGACCTAATCGCAGTCCACAGTCAGTGTTCCACCAGTCCCCATCCAAGACCTAATTGCAGTCCACAGTCAGTGTTCCATCAGATCCCCATCCACGACCTAATCGCAGTCCACAGTCAGTGTTCCACCAGTCCCCATCCACGACCTAATCACAGTCCACAGTCAGTGTTCCACCAGTCCCCATCCAAGACCTAATCGCAGTCCACAGTCAGTGTTCCACCAGTCCCCATCCAAGACCTAATTGCAGTCCACAGTCAGTGTTCCATCAGATCCCCATCCACGACCTAATCACAGTCCACAGTCAGTGTTCCACCAGTCCCCATCCACGACCTAATCACAGTCCACAGTCAGTGTTCCACCAGTCCCCATCCACGACCTAATCATGGTCCACAGTCAGTGTTCCACCAGTCCCCATCCACGACCTAATCACAGTCCACAGTCAGTGTTCCACCAGTCCCCATCCACGACCTAATCATGGTCCACAGTCAGTGTTCCACCAGTCCCCATCCACGACCTAATCATGGTCCACAGTCAGTGTTCCACCAGTCCCCATCCACGACCTAATCACAGTCCACAGTCAGTGTTCCACCAGTCCCCATCCACGACCTAATCACAGTCCACAGTCAGTGTTCCACCAGTCCCCATCCACGACCTAATCATGGTCCACAGTCAGTGTTCCACCAATACTTGTGTTTTTCAGGTTGCTTGGCTGTATTGCAATATCAACTCACTTCAGATCAGAAAAACTCTTGGATTGCAAAACTATTGCTGAGAATTTCTCTGTAAGTTTCCATTCGTACATATTGATTCTTAGGTGAAGCTGTTTGAAATAGTCTCATTGGTCCACTTGCACGAAGCAATCTTAGCACTTTGATGATCATAACCATGATAACTCCCATGCTCAAACATAAAGATGAGGACAGTTGTAGTGCTAAGATTGTTTTGGGCAGGTGCGCCATTATTAGATCCAATTACAACATACAATATTTACACTTGTGGTTTAATGTTTCAAAGGGAAGAAAATGTATGTTAGATTACAGTTCATTAAAGCCAGAGATATGTATGTTTCTTGTTTTATGGACAAACGTATCACAGAGGTGAAAACAATGTGTCTTTTTAAGATATCATTTGGTTGTATTTATATTAACACCTTCATTTAGATTTCAAAACATTTTTTTGATTTTGCATCCTGCTGCTTGGTGTACTGACCAAGATTTGGTCTGCGCTGTTTTGAAACATGAAGTTGATTTAGTCTGCGCTATTTTGAAACATGAAGTTGATTTAGTCTGCGCTATATAGAAACACACCACAAGGCTGCCATGTTGTCACGGGTGATGGAGAAATGTATTGAAACATTATGAATGTCGGTAAATTCATTGTAACTGATCTCGAGGTATATATGATGTGATATACCCTGTGTTCAAACCATAGGCCATAGGCTCACACACACCGTACATCACACCATATGCCCTGAGGGATCGGTTAACAACATATTTTCCTTACCAATGATCATTTGTACAGGCCCAGAATATATGTCCTCAGTTTCACTCAGTTAACAAAACTCATCACAGACCGAGTAATGACCAAGTTACTTCCCTTTACCCAGTGCATTCGGATAGATATCGGTTCATTTCTGAAACTCAATGAGATAAGTAAGTTACCTAACATGTGTACTGATTGATTTCTCAGCAGGTTACATGAAATTCATACCAATGTAGCAGGGTGTGGAGTCATCCCACAGATGACATCCTTACCTTGTCAGCTTGCTGACGGGGTTAACCTCTTTGGTCATGTGGACAAGGTGTCCGACCTCGGATCAGAAGGTCCGTGGTTCGAATCCCATCAGGGGACTCGGAAATTTTATGGCCGCTACATTGGCGCCCAACGTGGGGCTGAGCATGTTCATATTAAATTTGAGCAAAATAAGCCTCAGTACCCTACTATGCGGCCCGGGACGTGCCTTCTGTTGACGGGGGAGTATGTAGCAGGGCGTGGAGTCATCCAACAGATGACATCCTTACCTTGTCAGCTTGCTGACAGGGTTAACCTCTTTGGTCATGTGGACAAGGCGTCCAACCTCGGATCAGAAGGTTCGTGGTTCGAATCCCATCACGGGACTCAGACATTTTATGGCCGCTACACCAACATGGAAACAAGGAAAATATTTGCCAGCTCCAGTCAGAAGATAGTATTTTAATGTAAGATAACACGTGTCACCAATGCTTCTTGGCAGGTTATGGACGATGCCCCCCTCCCCGGGTGCACGCCCATCACCTACTGCCAGCTCCTTAATCAGTCAGAAGATAGTATTTTAATGTAAGATAACACGTGTCACCAATGCTTCTTGGCAGGTTACGGACGATGCCCCCCTCCCCGGGTGCACGCCCATCACCTACTGCCAGCTCCTTTATCAGTCAGAAGATAGTATTTTAATGTAAGATAACACGTGTCACCAATGCTTCTTGGCAGGTTACGGACGATGCCCCCCTCCCCCGGTGCACGCCCATCACCTACTGCCAGCTCCTTTATCAGTCAGAAGATAGTATTTTAATGTAAGATAACACGTGTCACCAATGCTTCTTGGCAGGTTACGGACGATGCCCCCCTCCCCGGGTGCACGCCCATCACCTACTGCTGCATGACACAGCGCTGCCAGCTGATGAGCTTCAGGGACGAGTTTGGCATTCCCAATGGTCAGATATTCTTCCCCTGTGCAGATGAAGATTCGAAAGACGATGATCTGGATGCGTTCATATGTGGTTTGTTTGAATATATGTAGATTGTAGTTTTTGACCCGGTGAATAAATTGACAAATGTCAGTCAATGTTAAAGGATGTGAGTCATGATGGGCAGAGTGCCTTGAATGCTGTGTTCGACGTGGCCCTCTTCTTCTAAGATTTACCATTTTCGACATAATAAGCGCCCAGGGCACTCTCAAAATTAGAAATAGGGGGCTCTTCTTGTTAGAATATTATTTTGGTGAAAAACAACAGTTGAAAGATCGTAAATTTTGTGGTTTATGCTGTCAGCCTGAAATGTTTATATACGGCAGATACGTTTTTCCAGAATTTAATTGCCCATAATTAAGATGCATATAACACACATATTATACACGAATAAATAAGTCTTGTGTACATTGATCAGTCGGAAGGGGTGCTAAATGGGATTGTTCACTAGCCAATATATTAACAAATATCGCTGTGGGCGCTTATTAGAGCGGGGCGCTTATTACATCGAATACGGTAGTTGTTTTTCTTGCTATGCCACGGAATCTATCCTTAATGTTGAAAAATTAATAAAAAAAACTGTTTGACTGTAAATATTCTCATTTTTGACATATGTTTATGTAATTTAGTTTTCCTCCAACATCAAGCTTACACACCGTGATATACTGTATTTTCTTGAGTATAGTGCGCACTTTTTTTCCCAAAAAACACAGCTGTGTAGCATTATACACGTCATAATGAGTTTTGATGTTTTACCTGAATTACTGTTCAAACTGGCGTTAAACCTCGCCCACTAAACTCAGCTGTCTCTATTTTTCTATTGAATAAAAAATCCCTTGAACATTTGTTCTCAACATAAGCATGATAAGATTTTGATAATGTTTTCTTTGTATTACTTTGTCTTTGTTATTTTATGACCTGCGCCAATTCTGGTTTAGAATATGTCGCAAGGCACTTTGTTTGTGACCAGGGGTGACTATATGGATCAGGTGGACATGCTCGAGCACTTAGTGGATTATGTGTTATCTTACCCTGATTATGTTGAACACTGCTGATTACATCAATCACTGGATTGTCTGGTACAGACGATGATGTAAAGGCTGTATGTATATAGCCTGGGATATTGCTGTGTGCAGAGTTAAGTAACAAACAAACAATACTCCATGATCAGCCCGACGGTATATACATATGAAATGGCTTCATGTTTGTATGACAGGCAACAACTACACGGAATGGCTGGAGGAGCTAGCAGAGATTATGGACAAGGAAATCTTCTACAGAATCAGGGGCTGTCATTTCAGGTCTGTACTATGTAATCTGTCGGAACAAATGTGCAGTTCGCTGGTGTGCTGCAATACACGGGAGTGGAATTTTGCCTTAACATTACTGAATTGGTTTGTTGATTCTGCCAACCCTAACATATTTTATATGAGGCAATTTTAATTCTTCGAATTAATATGGGTACTTTGTGGATATAGGAGAGAAAAAAAATGGGGCCAGGGCCATATGACACACAGTTGAACCAATAAACTCAACTCGAAAGGGTGCAGGGGAATCCTCGCGTTGAGACGCCAAACGCTAACACCGTATATGGCGTGCGTGATTCCCATGCAACCTTTCGAGTTGAGTTGATTGGTTCAACTGTGTCATATGGCCCTGTGACGCAGGGGTAGCATTATGCAGATGGCTGTTTCAATGAATGCTCGTTCCACCCGTGACGAACAGGTCTGGTTGTTGATGAAATATAGTGATAGCTAAATAGACAGATATTTTATTCATGCACCGATTGTCTTTGAATGTAATATCCAGTTATGTATGACTGTTTAATAATCTCATACCAACTTTGACTGGAGTAGGTCCGATAGTTTTTCAGATATTGTAGTAAACGTCGGGACCTTAAATTACCTTCCCGACTATATCTGTGGAAGTATGCTTCATTTCTGGTACTTCCTGAATTAGATAACTGTTGTTGTTTTTTGTGTCCATTAGGATAAAGCACTTTGTCAACATTGTGCAAAACCATACAAGAAATGCCAATAAATACAATTTCACAAACCGCAACCGGACCCAACTAGGCGCCATTTTCAGTTATTAAAAAAATGTGCATACGACAGTAATGAGCAAGACATGATTTGATTGGAAGAGATAGAGCAGTCATCAAGTGTAAAACCCATGTCGCATGTCTGTTGATGGCAGGTGACAATTGCGGAAGAGTTGCTTCCCTTCCATTGAGAAATCCATCAATGTTTTTGTGTTGGCAAATTATTAAAAAAATATTATAATTTTTTGAAATGAGGGAAAATTCTGTCAAGCGGATCTGTAATACACGATAAAAAATAGGTCTGTCCTAAGTTATGAAAATAATAATTGTGTGTACCATAGATTAATATTGGGCAAGACTGACAAGACAGACGTTAGGCACATGGTAACAATTTGAGATCACCTTCTGACAAACAAAGAAAATCTGAACTCTCTCCTTTATTTTTTTTCCTATCTACCAACTAGGATATTTTACACACGAATCCAAACATCGAGAAAGTAAAAACAGAGGTCTTGCTTTAAAATGCTAGCGTGTTTAATTTATTTTGAAGGTGATGTTTATGTATAACTTGTCTGTTTACGTGCAGCCACACATAACTAGGTAACATGTTTCTTGTAACGATGAGAAATAAAGACAGAACCCTGGGACAGTTATGCCAGGACACTTGAGATGTTGTTCCTCCTCAGTGATCATCATGTCTTTATACATGTCAGAGTAGAAGAATGAAGTGTAAACATTTTAGCATGTGTTGTTTGTGTTACAGGTTTCTCGATGTACCTGACTGTGTGAGTGTAACAAGAGGCATGTTCACAGTGAAGGCAGGCTCATGCTTTATGCCAGACCTCAGCACCGTTCATCCCCCAAGCTTCTTCTACGTCTACAGAATAACGTAAGTACTGTGCATCCCTGAGCTTCTACGTCTACAGAATAACGTAAGTACTGTGCATCCCCTAGCTTCTTCTACGTCTACAGAATAACGTAAGTACTGTGCATCCCCGAGCTTCTTCTACGTCTACAGAATAACGTATGTACTGTGCATCCCCTAGCTTCTTCTACGTCTAAAGAATAACGTAAGTACCGTGCATCCCCGAGCTTCTTCTACGTCTACAGAATAACGTAAGTACTGTGCATCCCCTAGCTTCTTCTACATCTAAAGAATAACGTAAGTACCGTGCATCCCCGAGCTTCTTCTATGTCTACAGAATAATGTAAGTACCAACCTTAGCACCTTGCTACCCTCAAAAACTTCTTGTACGTCAACAGACTAACATAAGTACCCACCTGAGCACCTTAGCGAGACATCACAAGTAATTTACACTCTGATTAATTAATATTCTCCTCATGTGTGCAGTATGATAAGAAGCGCTACCTGTATGACACAGTGTGTTTGTTTGAAGGATGAAGATGCATGACGATGCCCCCGTGTATGAGTCCTGTCAGCTGGTGTCACGGTACTGGTCCATCACTGACATGGATGGTAATGAGGAAATTGTGGAGGGACCAGGAGTTGTAGGTGCGTATTTGTAGTCATGGTTGACTGGTTCACCTGAATTATTAAAGGGAATGTAATCAATATGTGACACCATTTGCATTTTGTAGTCTTCTTCATATTGTTGCAAACATATCACATTGTCTGGTCCAGACTCAATTATTTACACACCGCCGTCATATAGCTGGAATATTGCTGAGTGCGGCGTTAAACAACAAACAAACCAAACCAAACCAATGATTCAGTTAAATGGTTTTTTTATTTGTTTGAAAAAGGAAGGTGAACACCCCTGTGCAGGCCTTGAATTAGATTTACTCTTGAAAAGACCTTCAATTTTCTGGACCAAGCACCCTCTGAAGTCAATAACTTTAAAAGACATTTATGTTTTTATGGTTAAGAAAAATCTTATTAAAATCTTGTGAAAACTTAGAAGAAAACATGAACATGTTTGTCAGCTGGTTCCACTGCTGGGACGTGAGGAAAGCTTTCAGCTTCTGGCCAGCAGGTGGCACTCCAAAATAGTAGGACAAATCTGTACCATTGCCAGTTACGAGCATACATGGGTACTGTTCTTTGACTTCTATAAACATGACATCATGTCTACACCTTGAAAGTATTCAAGTAATTACAGCAAACGTTTCTGCTCTGGTTAAGTGTAGCGAGAGCAATTGTAGTCTCACAAACAGACTTCACATAGGATGTCATTTGTTAACATTGGATACAAAGGACCAGTGAGTTTTGTGTTTAGTGTCGTCCAATCACACCCTGTGAGAAATTGGACACCACCTGTCTATTCATATAGGTAGACAGGAGCCCAGTCTAACATGTTTGTCGTTAGTAACCATAGAGTTATCTCCCTTCAGTTAGAATCAGTTATACCTGAATTTGTTACAGATTGTTTGGAAGGGCCAGAAGCATGGTACTTTATATTTAATCCTTTTGGGGCAAGTGTGATAAAATGTTTTTATTTGCTTGGCATTGAATTTAGGGGATGGATCCTTGAAAAGGCCAATACTTTTTTGACTGAAATTCTGTATGAACCATTTATTAGGATTTTGATGTTATTGATTTCTCCATGTTTTCCTGACAATGATTGTGCTGAGGGCTCAGTTGGACTAAACTATCTTAACACTAAGACTGTCTTAAGGTGCAGGGTACCTTTGTACAAAACAAACTTAGTGCTCAGACTGTCGTATGTCTATGTTAAGGTATGAGAGTTACAATCACCTAAGCGCTAAGATCGCTTTGTACAAGGGCACCCAGGAATATAAGACAGTCATGGTACTGAGATCATTTTGAGCTGGCTGTCAGTGTCATTCAGTCGACACAGGTGAAAACTGATTCCGTTGCCATGGTTTCATGTGAGTTTCTATTGATACAGGTGGAAATCTGGTTTGGTTGTCATGGTTACATGTCACATTTAGTTGATACAGGTGAGGACCTGATTCTGTTGCCCTGGTAAAATGTCATTATCTATTGCTACAGGTGAAAACCTGGTCATGTTAAATGTCAACTTCTGTTGATACAGATAAAATGTGATTCAGTTACCATGGTTACATGTCAGTTTTTGTTGACACAGGTGAAAATCTGGTTCTGTTACCATGGTTACATGTCAGTATCCATTGCTACAGGTGAAAACCTGTTTATGTTAAATGTCAACTTCTGTTGATACAGATAAAATGTGATTCCCCTACCATGGTGACGTGTCAGTTTATTTTGATACAGGTGAAAACCAGGTTCTGTAAAGTATCAACTTTGATACTGGTAAAAACATGATTCAGTTGCCATGGTTACATGTCAGTTTCTGTTCATACAGGTGAAAACCCAGTTCTGATTCCTGGAGAGGAATATTCTTGGGAGAGTGGAACGACATTCCCTACAACATATGGCAACATGAAGGGCTATTTCACTATGACAAGTCTCAATAAAGGTGAGCTGAAGATCAGTGGAACTGTCCGATGTGCCGCTGGGGCAGGGACAGTTGGTCTGTATGGTATTCCTGTAGTTGTGTATTTTCAGCTGTGATTTATGAATCGCTTAGAGAAAGAAAATTAATCGTTCATCCTGGGGTCTGCAACAGTTTGAAGCGCTTACGCACTCTTTCAAAATCGCGTTGCAACTTTTGCTTTGTTGCCTTGACTTAATGAAAAATGTAATAGGAGAGGCTCGATGACGAGCTGATGAAATTTATGACTACTTTGTAGATATGGAGCAGACTGAGGATGATTCGATGTTAGCTTTTGCTCATTTCCCGGTTGATCCAGTCAAGGATTTCTTGTTCCGCTGTCAAAGTCAGCCGCCATTTACGTTTGAGTACAAAGTGCCCTCAGCCAGCGATTGTTTCACTTGCAAGCGGCTGAACGTTAGTGCACTCTTGTAAGGCGAATTGCTGTACATCACTTTCAAGAGATTGGTGCTTTGCAACGCACCTCTTTTCTTGCTTTAAGTTGTAAAAGTCTTCTAATTTGATTAATCATGTCGAGTGTACTTTGGATAAGGTACTGATTTTGATCTATGCGAAACTTGTGTCCAAAAGAGGTGTTTTGATTGGTTGTTAATTTCAAGAATTCGGTTCTGTTTTGTGATGGTGATGGTTATGAAATTGAAACGGAATGAAGCTATGTTGGTTATTGGGTCCAGAGTATTCACCACTACAGAATGGAGATATGATGCTCATGAAATTACATTTTTTAACATGGCTTGTTAATTAAAATAACATTTGTTACCGACTGACTTGCCTTTGCATGTGTTTGTGATGGGTACACCAGTGGTGCAGGATACACTCACCTTTTCATAAACTCCAGGTATCATCGCTATTTGACAGTGATTCAAAAACACATGTTGATGATAAAGTTGAATTGTACAATTCACTCTGTTTGGGGCAAAGATTTCTTAAGGGTAGGGAAAAGGTTTTGTCGCTGTTATTATTGTATATTTCCTGTTATCCACTGCTATCAAATGTCAATGGCGTCTAACCATTCAGTTGATTTAAGTACACACTATTTGCACATATATCAAAAGGGTTGTCAAGTTGTGCTTCATTTATGTAGAGGTAATGGGAGATTTTGTATTGTTAGGTGTTTTCCTAGAACTAAAAAAAGTTGACAACTTGACCAAGACACTTTGTTTGCTACAGTTCTTGTGAAAAAGAAAACTCGTCAAGATTTTCGTGGAATTTGTTTGGGCCAATATTTTGAATCAAATTGTACTGGGACAATGAGTAAGTTGTGATAAACTAACTGTGATAAAGCCTTGCATGCACATGACTGTGGGGAGGTGTGTGTCTGTGTGTCTGTCTATATGTCTGTGTATGTCAGTGTGTGTGTCTGTGTGTATGCGTGTCTGTGTGTGCATCTTTCCTCATGTATGTGTCTGTGTGCGAGTGTGTCACTGTCACTCTGTCTGTCTGTGTGTTTCTGTGTCTGTGTTTGTGTGTGTCTGTGTGTATGCGAGTGTGTCACTGTGTCTGTCTGTCAGTCTGTCTGTGTCTCTGTGTGTGTATGTGCTCACACACAGTGGAGGGATTATCAGCTATTCTCCATGCCTTTTCTGCACAACATGCTGAAACTTTAACATGAAGATACAGCCTATGCCACAGATTTCTTGGCTTCCAATCCGGGTTTTAACAATTTAATCAGAGTCCAACACAAACAAGTATGCTTTTCAACTTTGTTTTGACATGTTATTTCAGACACCGAATTCCGCATAGAGTGTCCAGTGTTTCACATGAAATGTCAGCCTTACGAAACGTCAGCGCAGCGGAAGGAGAGAGTCGAAGAAAGAAAGAAGAATTTGTAAATAGCTCCAGGATGTCCTTCAGCTGCATGATGTTTAGCAGGATTACTGCGGACACAATCTCCCTGATCTGAACACCCAGGCCCCGTCTCGGTCGAAGTGACGATGGGTAGCGAGCGACGAGATATCAAAGTCGGGATGGGGATGCGGGAGTGGAACCGGAAGGTGGTTGGACTGATGTGGATCGGAGATCAGCAGCCAGCAGAGACGGAGATGCTGATTCATGTTGTACACAGGCACAGAGACACAAAGATGACATTCATGTGTGCTCAAGAATCTGTTCCATTTCTGGTACTTACAGGATTAAAACAGTGCTGTTACTGTGAACTCAATAAGAACATGTACAATTTTATGGATAACAACTTCTGGTTCATTGCATTTGGGGATGTTTTGATGTAGATTCTTATCTACTCACCATCTTCCAGAATGCCAATCAAACAGTTGCTGTGAACGTGATATCGGAGCCCACAGATATATCTTTCAGCATGTGGCTTGTACCTTATGCTCATGTCATGATTACACCAGCTTCAAGAATCTTGTTTTCATTGGTTTGGTTCGTACACAACAGTCACAAAGTGTCTATTTTGTTGATTGTTTTTTGTTTGATGATTCCTATTTGTCATGAAAAGATGGTATTTTTTTACACAAGACCTTCTTGAAAATATGTGTAGGGTTGTACAGAGCTGGGTTTTTTTAGGGGGGGAGGGGGGGGGGGGGGGGGGGGGAGAATGTTTGATTTGTTCCATTTTGGTAAAATTTTTGTTAAAGACATAGTTGTGAATAATGGTTGTTATCATCGAGAGAAAGGTATTTAAAAAAGGCGAAATAATTGAGGAAATTTTCAAGCAGTGATAACTAATAATGAAAAGCTACTTAATTTCCAAGGCCAACTATTATGTTTGGACCAGAGCATGTCAGTTTGGTGTTACAGTTTCAAGATTATCTTGGTCAATAAGAAGGAGACAAAAAAACAACATGCTACTGTTGATATAGGTTTTTTTACCTTAGTAAACTCTTGGCACATAACTTCTTTCAGTGGCATTTAGAAGTTGGTGTGATGAAGTAAGACGAGTGATATCACTTGCTTGATAAAGGTGTTAGGATCTACACCGAAACGTCGCACTAATTGTAATAAAGAAGATGTTCATCCATAGAACTCGTCTTAATTCTTGGCACATATATTTTAAACCAAATTCAAACGAAAAACTGTTTATTGTATTGGAGAATATTTTCAGTCATCTTTTGAAAATATTTACTTCTGCATAATTAATGGTAGGCTATTTATTAAACAAGAAATTAACATGGTCAGGCTCTTGTGAGTTCATCTCCAAGCAATCTGAGATCCCCATGAAGGAGTTGCGAACGTCTCAAGGTAGCTGGAGTTTTGTGGTGGGAACATGCTGGGAATCTCCACACAATCAGTATGCGGTTTGTGTTTACATACAATTCCTGTACATATATGTCTATAGTATGTTATTTAAGTATTTCATCGTGTTATGCAGTGGTAAAACTAATATTTTTGGTTCAGTGTTAATATATTTAACAGTGAAAAAGGATTATAAATTTTGAACTTTTTCCAAAATATATCTGCAGCCCCACTTAAACAAGGCATTCCTAGTGCTAGGACTGTTGTAGCACCGACAGATTATATGGTCTCTGGTTTCACCAAAATGGTAAAGTTTAAGACCTACATGACTTAGGGCTCCCACCCCATGAACTTACATGCCATGATATAACTCACTCACTCACTCACTCACTCTGAAACAATTGTCATTCCAAAACAGTGCCTTCTACGAAAGACACCCCTCATCTTTATGTCACATTCTGGATGACTGCTGGTTCCTCTTTCACTTTTCAGGTACAGGTTTAAAAAGCAATTTCATTACATTTATTGTAATCCGATTTCTGTCTAATCTGACTAAAAGTTTCAGTCCTGACGCAGCCACCTGTATTATCATATAGAAACCTTGTGCAGTCCGACATCTCCGCTTCTGTTTTGTGGTCCCATGAGTAAATATACTCTGTGTTGTCTGAAATCTCATTAAAATCAGACCTTAGTTCTCGCTACCGCTAAACAAAGATCTGAAGACATCCCATTAGGGGTCATGTCAGACCGACCTTTCATCCGACCGATCAGTGCGTCGCTTACCAGATTATGAAAGTGACAGTCGGAGTGTGATTTCTAATCATACAACCTCGAAAACTTTAACATGGAGTATACCGAACGATAGTTACGGGTTTAACGACTGATTCCTTACAATCTAGACCATCTATTAGCCTTTCCAGAATATTTTTTGTTCAGATTTCAATTTTTTAATCGGAATTTGTCAAAATATATTTCGAAGCGAAGTCGCCAATTTGAAATTATTGCCGTAAAGCACGAGAAAGCTGCCTTATGATTGGTCATTCCATTTGTCGGTCAAAGTTCGCGCAAGGTCGGTCTAACGTGACCCGTAATCGGATGTCCTCAGATCTTTGTTCAGCGGTAGCGAGAACTAAGATCTGATTTTAATGAGATTGTGTTGTCTGCATCAACACTGGAACAACCTTCAATAAACACTCAAGTGTGCCCGTGTTGTGTTTGTATTCTTAAGGGACCATTAGTTGAACATTAGCACATGTATTTAGTATACAGCCTTCAATAAAAACTCAATTAACGCTTGACGAGGATTAATCACAATGAACCAATTAACTTTTCAGGCTTGGTGAGTCAGTGGAGTAGCCGAGTGGTTAATGCATTTGCTCATCACTGCTAAGTCCTGGGTTTAATTCCGCACATTGTAACAAAGAGAAGAATCTATTTTTTCCGTAACCTGCAAGAAGACTCGGACCCCTATCGATGAATGTCATAATATGTGCGAAAATACGAGAAACCAATGAGAATGCGCGTATGATTTCAAGTTCTTCGTCAAAGAATCCCTCAGAAATAATTTTTGATTTTACATATGTCTTGCATCTTAAAATATACCCAAGACAAAGTTACATGTGTTCAATCATACTGTATAATTCCGCATTTCCCGATATGCTTTAAATTGCTTCTGAAATATATATAATATATGGGGAAATATATGTGAACCATTACGCAACGAGTTGACAACTGTTTTAGGTATGCCCGTTTGCGCTAAGACGGAACCCGGTCGCACAAATGGCCATGAGAGGGGCACGAGTCGCTATTCGGCTTGTCCCGGAATAACACGAGTTTGTCACGATGAAGCAATTAGTCATTGTTTTATTTGTAACTGTAATTATTTTCCTGATTTATGTACACACGATTGAATTATTTATTCATAGTAAAGATAATGTCCACAGTGGTAGGTTAAGCAATAAGTCAATATTTGTCTCTGTAATTATATTTTTCTGATTTATGTACATACGATTGAATTATTTATTCATTGTAGAGATAACGTGATATATTTTACATAACTATATCTTTCAACAATGCTTTTTAATATTTTCTAATTGAGCATGGGTTCAGTGGCAACCATCACAATTTACTGTACAGAGTTGCATCCATTAGTGGTACCAGGATCCGCTGCTTGTGGGTTTGAATCTCTTCATTTATTATAAGGTGTGTGAGCCCTGTTTGAAAGAAATAGTTATCCCCTCCCCAAAAAAACCACGCACACGTGATAAAGTCTGGCCCCAACCACACCCGCCTTATCCGCTCCCCCCCCCCCCCCCCCCCCCACACACACACCCCTCTCCCAACCACACACGCCTTACACCCCTCCCAACCACACACGCCTTACACCCCTCCCAACCACACACGCCTTACACCCCTCCCAACCACACACGCCTTACACCCCTCCCAACCACACAGGACCGCCTCCATGGTCTAATGGTAGAGCGGAAGGTCCGGGGTTCGATCCCCAGCCGCGTCATACCAAAAGACGTTAAAAGATTGTACTTGTTGTTACCCTGTCTGGCGCTCGGCATTGAGGGGCTAAAACAAGGACTGGTCGGCTCTGAGTCATTATAGTGTGTCTGAGTGGGGTATTCATGTTAAACTACGGCATGGTATTTCAGTGTGCTAGCACTATAAATCGGCATCAGTCCGGACTAGTACAAGCAGCCACACACACACACACGTGCATGCACGTCGCTATATAAGTGCAATAATCTTGGACGCGACGTTAAACCCCATTTCACCTCACCCAACCACACACGCTTTATCCGCATCGATTTGCGACCCCGGTATCGAGAAACATACTGTACATTACGTTACAAGTTATATTGGCGTGCAATAACGCGAATAATAACAGAAACTATTGATACAACAGCTTGTGCCGATTCTCTGGTATTTCCCGGTTGGCTTCAAACAGCATAACATTCAAAGTGCCCTCAGCCATATAGGATTCTGCCCCAGATTATCCCATCTTCCAAACAAACGAGACTAATGTGTGACTCGTTAATTATTACATGGGCGCATGTGTCATTATTTTTAAGATACGCGGGTCAGGATTGTTGTAATTTCTGGGCGAAATGGAATAACTGTGATACAGATACGAATGTAATAATCAGTCTGTCAAGACATTATAAATACCTGCGGCGAAGAAGTGATGTCCTAAGTTCAATTTTGAAACAGTCATACACATTTTGACGTCATTGCACTAACCTATGTGCTAAGTTCACATATGTGAACATGTGCTGTGGTGTCCATATGCGTATCATCAACCCAATAGCTAATAACTACGAGTATCATATTGTGTTGTGTGTGACAACAATACACAATTATTGCAGGTCAAGTCGGTCTAGTCTGATAATAAAAAGGCGATTTGCCTGATATAATCGCCACAATTATTGTCCGGGATTGACTATTGTAGGGTCACAATAGGCAGTTTCACAGGTAGTCGGCTTCAGTTAACGACCATTGTGTTGCGCAGTTAATAATACGGCGATAACAAGTGTAGACGCCAATCCAGGTAGTCATGTAACAAACAGTTTTCTGACTCGTTAGCCCACGACGCCTCATGAGCCCTTGTCGCAGTGGACAACAGTGCTTCTTTATCTGAGCTTGGCATCACGGGTGGCCCAGTCGTCTAAGGCGCCGCGATTCGCTGTGCAGAGTTGCGTCCTTTGGGCACGCCAGGAACGCCAGGAACTTATCATTGTGGGTTCGAATCCCGGTTCGCCCCGATTATGTTTCTAGATTTGTCAGTACCATACCCGTGCTCGTGGGTTTAACAGAAGTTGTATACGTCTGAGACTCCCACATTAAACTGACACGCCGCGATATAACTGGAATACTGTTAAAATCGGCGTTAAACCCAACTCACTCACTCATCTGAGCTATGTTCAAGAGGCAACTTTAAGTAAGTCTGTATTATTGAGTCCCGAAAATGCTGAAAAACCTTTTCCCGGGTCCCTCTACTACCCCCCTCCCCCCCGGGGCCACACACACACACGCACACACCATCTATTTTTAATGACGAATACTCACATCTTTGTTGTGCAAAAGCTATTTACATCGGAAATTGTGATAGCATTTAATGTTAATCTTTACATCGTATGATTTTCTTGTAAGCTGTCATGCCAGTTCTGTTCAGTATATTACTTTATTTTTCTTCATTCCAGAAACTCAATGCGTGATAAATGTATCCTTTATTAACAATTGTTTGTTATTTACAATTATTTACAATTGACTTGCCTTTGCATGTGTTTGTGACGGGTGCCACCGGTGAGGCAGAATACGCTCACATTTTCGCGAACACATGGTGCGAGGGCTGGCTGAAAAGTTCTAAGCCTAACTGTGAAAGACCCGTACCAAGTCGATGGTTTTTATTTATTTCTCCACATAGTCCCCTTCCAGGTTTACACACTGCAAGGCCTGGATGCCGGTCAAGAAGAAATTTTCTTCAGCCACCCTAAAAGAGTCATTCACAGCGGAAATGACATCATCACTACTAGGAGAATGGCGACCGGCTAGTTCCTTTTTCATTTTGGGAAACAGGTGAAAGTCTGACGGGGCCAAATCGGGTGAATAAGGGGATGGTCAATGAGTTCGAAGCCACAATCATGGATCGCTGACATGGCAACAACCGATTTGTGAACAGGAGCATTGTCTTGGTGGAACAGGAGCATTCCCCGTCGCTTAGCCTTGATAGCTTCACGCAACTGTCTCAGTAGGTCAGCATACTATCTTCCATTGATAGTCTGGCCTTTTTCAAGATAGTCAATCAGCAGAATACCCTTGGAATCCCAAAAGGCTGAAGCCATCACCTTTCCAGCAGAAGGAACCGACTTGGCTCTTTGGGGGGCTGGTGATTCCGGATGCTTCCATTGTTTAGACTGAAGTTTGGTTTCTGGTTGAAAGTGATGAATCCAGGTCTCATCCATGGTTACAAATCGGGCCAAAAATCATCGGGATCTGCTTCAAAACGGCATACATTGTCACGGGACGTCAGGAATCTGACACGTTTCTGATCCGCTGTCAAGAGCTTTTGCACCCATCTTGCAGAAACTTTTGTCATTCCCAACTCGTTGGTGATAATGTGCTCAACCCTCTCATGAGAGATGCCCACAACACTGGCAATATGTCAATCATCGATCAGCCATCACCATGTCATGCACCCGGGTAATGTTTTCCGGAATGGTTGCTGTTGAAGGCCTTCCTGGACGCGGGTCATCGTCAAGGCTCTCTCTGCCACGCTTGAATTCCGCATCCCACTTCTTTACAGTGGAAAAGGAAGGGGCATCATTCCGTAAAGTGGAGACCATGTCAGCATGTATCTGTGTTGGAGTTGCAGGTACTTGATGACTGCCCTATAGCCAGTTTTGTCCATTTCTGGTGATTTCAATGGGTAGGTTCACAAGATGGTCTGGTACAAAGACAGTAATAACACTACAGTTGCAGTTCTTATGTCTATGATTCATTAAATGATTGTACTTGTTGGTGGAAAAAGTTTGTTTCAATCCGATTGATATATCCCACTTAGGCTTAGAACTTTTCAGCCGGCCCTCGTATCATCACTGTTAATGTTTCATAAACACTGCTCGTGATATAGTCGGAATCGTACAATCGACTCTTTTGGCAGAGATTTCTTATGAATATAGAAGGGTTTTGTGGCTTATATTTACTATTTGATGTGATGATATATAAGTTTCATCCATGATAATTATCTTTGGCGTTATGATCGGTTAAATCATACATTTATTTAGAGATTTGCATGATATGAATTTGCGTTGGTAATTCCAATGCAAACTTCAAAGACATGCATTGAAGTCCACATTGCTGTCACTGTGTGTTAGCAACAAGCACGTGCTTCATTGTTATCATCGACACGACCAGAGAACAATGAATTTCTGCATCAAGGACAAAGATGACCTGTGAGTTGAAGTAAATTAACACGTGTTGGGTAATTGGCAACCTGATTGTCATATAGAATATTTCACCAAGCAACAGAGCCAAACACCTCTCATGCTTGGCTTTACATTAAGTAACGTGATATATGTTATGTATAACAATCAACGTGACTAATACAGCGTGTAAGGATAAAATTAGTATTGTCGAGTCTGCGCAGATCCAGCTTTCATGCCTGTCGGCGCAATATCGATTACCTGATCTGGTGTCTCGCCAGCGCAAACCTCCCGATTGCGTAGTCCTTATCTGTTTGGTGCCATGACTGGTGCCATGGGATATACTTTTTGCCAAGCAGGGACTGTGTATAGTGTCATGTATCGAAAATAAGACAGCAAAAGACGGTTTATTATGACAGTGCTGCCGTCCCACTTGGCCAGACACGCTTGTGCCAGGATCCCGCTGTGGAGGCGAAGATAGACTGGATTTACTTACAACCGACCGACACGCATGGTAAGCATGAAGAGGGTTAACCAGTCATTGTACTACTTAAACCAGACCAGTATTGACCCTAGTGTGTCAAAATGTATTCATTTCACTCATTGATAGAAAACGCATTTTCTCTCATCATTCCCACTCATTATGTAACATTAGCAGTTTTTTTCAAAAGCTTATACTCTCAAACAGGTAGGACTTTCTGTTTTGTGGAGGAATCATTTAGACCGTCATATGGTATCGTTTCAAAAACATCCATATCCGTGTATTCCTATTCAGTATATTCCAACAAGTACAACACTACAATAGCATGTCTGTCTCACACGGATGAACGAGTCCTGAATCAATCAATCACGTGGCAAGTCAATATCACGCATGTGTGGGCATGGATGTGGGTCAAATCATTATAGTGCATGAGTCGCTTCGTTGGTTACAATGACGTCAATCAATTTCAGTAGATAGCTGCAACTTAACAACGATCTTCTAATGATTGGTTTTGGTTGGTTGGTTTGTTGTTTAACGCCGCACTCAGCAATATTCTGGCTACATGACAGCGGTCTGTAAATAATCGAGTCTGGACCAGACAATCCAGTGATTAATATCACGAGCATCGATCCACGCAATTGGGATACGATGACATGCATCAACCAAGTCAGCGAGCCTGACTACCCGATCCCGCTAGTCGCCTCCTACGACAAGCATCGTCGCCTTTTACGTCAAGCATGGGTTGGTAAAGACCTATTCTACCCCGGATCCTTCACGGGTCTTTCTTCTAATGAACAAATCCGCTTTACCTGTTCAGGGAGTATCAGGACGAATAAGGGACAGGCCATTTATCACGGGTGGGTGGGTCAGAGGTTTGTGATGCACTCCTGTGCTAGAAAATAATAACGCCTCCCCTCTCCCCCCTGCATGTCATATTTTGGGTGACCCACACCATGTCCTTGTGCAGTTATTTCATGACCCTTCCTGAAATTTTTTTTAAAAAATGCAAAAGCACTTTATTTTTAATTAGAAATTGTCCATGTTACCATGGTTCTCCTTTATTATGTGTATGTGTTTTATGACCCTCCTCTAGAGACAGCCATATTTTTGGTGACCCTCCCCTGATTTCCTCTGATCCACCCCTAACCTCAACCCTGACCCTCATCGTAAGGGTCGCTCAACATCGTCGACATTAATCTTTGTTTTGCATAAGAAGTAGTGAACAGACATGATTAAAAGAAGGTATAAATATTTAACTGCTTGTGTAACTCTGTGCGAGAGGGCGTTGTCAGCTACACGTTACATATTTCATGAGTTTAGCCCCTCTACTAACGTAAAGTCGAATAACTGTACTGTGGATCCTTCGCGCACACAGCTGCGTTGATGTTGTTTAACGCGGGACTCGCGAATATTCCAGTAAATACTCGATTCTAGACCAGGCAGTCCAGTGTTTGATATAATGAGCAACACTCCACGTTGGGATCGACGACACGCTGTCGACCAAGCCACCAAGCCTGACCACTCCATTTAGTCGCCTCTTACGACAAGCATAATGTGCTGGAGACAAATTCTAAGCCGGATAAACGTAACATCCGCCTATTGATAAGATATAAGTCACAGTAAGTTACACAGTTCTTACCAATATTCCATATCACGACAGGGGGACACCAGAATCAGTACCAATATCATTACCAATTAGCAATTTGGACTGTGAAGATAGAATAGGTCTTCAGCAACCCATGCTTGCCATAAAAGGCGACTATGCTTGTCATAAGGGGCGACTAACGGGATCGGGTGGTCAGGCTCGCTGACTTGGTTGGTCCATGTCATCGTATCCCAATAGCTTGGTTCGATGCTCATGATGTCAATCACTGAATTGTCTGGCCCAGACTCGATTATATTCAGACAGTCATCATATAGATGGAATATTGCTGAGTGCGGCGTTAAACAACCAACCAACCAACCAACCCAGTATGAAATAGCTTGCTGTCCTTACCAAGTGTTGAGCAGTATATATATACGTGTGACATAACTGTGTGGTGTCTGAAGTATGTGTAATTTCATAGTAAACACTGTGCAATGTGTTGGTAATTTGGACATCAGACTTCAAACATGTGTTGTATTTGCAGGAAGTGATGGAATAGATCGGCATTTATCTCACCCGAGTGCGGCGTTATACAACAACAACAACAACAACAACAACAACACATCATTAGCAATTTGTTAACCTTGCAAGCTATTTGACAGAAACACATTGTCAATCACTTTCCATGACAGCAAGTTTACGACATTTAGAAACGACAAACGGTCGGGACTCTGATGCACGACAATAAACCAATAATGAACAAGCCAGCTCCTGATGGGCAGAGCACCGACTTGAGGCTACATTCAAATATGTCTCCTGCAGTATTAGACTAATATGCCATGCGTTTGTGTTAATTTACAATGCACCTGCGATATTCTACGTATGATACTATTGGTATATCCGAATGTATCGTTGTTATTTGTTCCAGATACTTCCAAAAGATTACTACCAATATGTCTTGTTCTGTAAACGCCTGCTTTGAGACTGTGTCCGGATTCTTCCAGAGGATTTTCAAAAAGATTGGTACTTTTATCGGAACGTATCCCGTGGCTCACATTATCGGATCTGTCATTGTGGCAATTGGTCTTAGTTTTGGCATGCTTACGTTATCCAACGAGACTGACACAGAGACACTGTACACGCCCATTAACAGCAGAGCATCACAAGACAGAGTTCAGTACCAGGCCACGTTCACAGACGCCACAGGAAGCAACTACCGCGGATATGCACTTACGGCTCTTGACATGTATGGCCGATTGTTGATAAGCAGCACGACAGGTGGGAACGTGTTCACTAATGCTACTGTTGAAGAAATACGAACCCAAATAAATGAAGTCAAAAGTATTAATGCAACCTATGACAATGTAGTGTTTACTTACAGCGATATCTGTGCTCGGCAGGATGGTAGTTGCTATGTTTCAGGGGAGTTTCTCACAACAGATGCTGTGTATAATGTGTATCTGTCTGGTGGAATCACCTACCCAAACTGGAATAACATAGACATATCAGCATTTCTTGGACAGGTTGATTCGACAGGTGGAAAACTGGTGTCTGCAAAGTACCTGAGTATTACGTTTGATTTACGAATGGACTCAGGGGTTAACAAGGCAAAAGCAAGAGCATGGGAAGAAGCGTTCCTGAAGAGAGTAGCAAGTTTAAACACAACATCAACAAGGATAAACTATGCTGCCTCCCATTCGCTGGACACAGAGCTAAACAAAAACACAAACGGAGACATCGTGTTCTTCTCTATAACCTTCACGTTGATGATCACGTATGCCACTGTCGTCGCCGGCGGTGATGTGGTGTCATCGAGGACGTGGGCATCATGGGCTGGCGTTCTTGCTGCTGGATTTGGCGTATTGTCTTCATTTGGACTTGTCAGCCTTTGTGGTGTCAAGTTCGTCAACATCGTTGGCGTGACACCATTCTTAGTCATAGGTATGTTTTAGACTACACCAGAACGGGCATAATATGCAAACCCCTTAAGTGACATAGCACAAGATGGTTTAATAATCCTTAATATCATTATCAAGTAGACTTTGCAATAGACTGTCCTTGGATATTGAGATGATACTTGTTCCCCGTCAGTTAATATATATATCTCACCGACTGGCAAGACAGTTGATGTCTTCACTAGTGGCGCATGAAAATGTTAGCTGATTAATATTATTATCATTCAATCAAAGTGAAAGTAGTTCCGACAAGAATTCGTATTTTATTCGAGCGAAATATACATTTTAATATATTGGATTTATTTTAATACACTTGAACTCCGAATGTTCATTCACAAGTCATTACTCCAATCCTCTTGTTGATGAAGGTATCGGTGTGGACGACATGTTCCTGTTGATGTCCAGCTGGGCGGAGACCTACCCTCACCGAGACAAGTCCGTCGCCGAGAGGATGGGAATGACCTTTGCCTCAGCGGGTATCGGTATCACCATCACGTCTCTCACTGATCTCCTGGCCTTCTTAACTGGCGTGTCTTCTGTGTTTCTCAGTGTGAGGAACTTCTGTGTATACACAGGTTAGTATGGTGTATATTTGCCCCAAACAAGTTACACCTACCTGGCTTCAATTAAGATGTAAATTACCATCAATTCAAATTTTCAGAATGACACCATTCTCTGCTTTTGTCTCTACGTTGTCCGGTAAATCAGTACTTTATACAATCAGTACAATTGTTATCTCCATAGGGGGCACGGGTGGCCCAGTCTTCTAAGGCGCCGCGATTCTCTGTGCAGAGTTGCGTCCCTTGGGCACACCAGAAACCTATTATTGTGGGTTCAAATCCTGGTTCTTTTAAGGTTCGCACGTGCTGGCCAGTTGCACAGTTCAAATAACTGTGTTGCGTTTATTGCAATCTGTTACCGCCTCCGTGGTCTTGTGGATAGAGCATCTGCTTCGACATTAGAATGGCGCTCGGCAATGAGGGGATACAAAAATGCCTGGGTTATCCATGTTAAGCTGTGGCATGGTATCTCTATGAAACTGGCATAAGCCCTAGGTAGTACAAACAACCGAACACACACGTGCAGGCACGTCACCATGTAAGTGAAACAGTCTTTAACCTAACGTAAAACCCCATTTCACCTCACCAACCGGTCTATTTCGTGTTCCTTTAATAACTCATATAGCGTTCATATTCGTTGTACATGTACCTATATTCTTCTCATTCACAGGTGTGGCCGTCATCTTCTGCTACCTGTACCAGTGCCTCCTCTTCTCCCCCTGCCTCGCCATCCATGGCCGTCGGGTTGACAGTAACAAACACTGCATGACCTGCCTCAAAACCAAATCCAGAGACGAACTCAGGAAAGATGGCGCCTCCACCTGCAGAGTGTTATGCTGTGGAGGCTCACCACCAACAGAGAGGGGTCAGGATGAACGATTCTTTGAGACACTGCCACGGAAGTACTTGCCACGAATGTTGCTGAATATGTGGGGGAAAATAGTTGTTATTTTATTATATATTGTTTACCTTGGTGTTTCCATTTGGGGAACAATCAACTTTAAGGAAGGGTTGATTCTGAAGAATCTTGTTTCCTCAACCTCTTACTTTTACTCATACAGTGAAACGTATGACACATACTTCTCAGGTGCATTCCCAATCCCATTTGTCTTTGGGTCGACAACGGACTACACCAACACACAAACTTTAAATAACATTGATTCGCTAATACAGAATGCAAAGTCCGACAGTAGTGTTGATGCTGACTCCCTCATCTGCTGGTTACACAGCTACAGGAACGATTCAAGTTACGATGGCAGCAGCTCCCCGGCCTTTGTGTCGGGATTGAAAACATTCCTTGCAGCAAATACAGTGTATGAGAACGATGTTGCTTTGGACTCTAGCAACATTTCTATTACTGCATCTAGGTGCTACCTTTTCTCAACTAAAATCAAGGACTCCAATGCCCAAGCTGATGTTATGGTTCGAATGCGAGCTCTGGCAGACAACTCACCTCTCTCTGTCTACACCTTCTACCCATCCTACATCTTCTTTGAGCAGTATGTTGCCATCCTTCCCAATACACTACAAACTGTGGGTCTGGCACTGGTCGTCATGACTGTGGTCACCTGCATCTTCCTTCCTCATCCTCTTCTGGTTTTCCTTGTGGTCCTGAACGTCGTTTCTATCCTCGTTGGTATCTTTGGGTTCCTTTATATCTGGGGACTGAGTCTCAGCTCAGTGACAATGATCCATCTCATCATGTCTGTCGGCTTCTCGGTGGACTTCAGCGTGCACGTGTGCTCTGCCTATATGATTGGAAAGGGAAGTAACAGGAGAGAGAAAACCGAATCTGCCATTGTCCATGCAGCTGGTCCCATATTAAACGGTGGACTGTCATCCTTTCTGGGCATTCTTGTGCTGGTGTTCTCAAAGTCCTACATCTTCAACTCCTTCTTCAAGATCATGTTTACAGTGATCCTGTTCGGCATGCTGCATGCTGTGTTCCTTTTCCCTGTGATACTCTCCATCCTTGGGCCAGTGACGAAGTCAAGGGTTTCAGAGTCCCCTCAGCGCACCCGATCACCATCGCCTGCTGTGGATTACCCTCTGTAGATATGGATTCCTAGTATATTTTTAGTGAAGATATAGACTATTCGTCTTGAGATTCTTGTGTGAATGCAAGCATTCAAGTGTGCTGGTCGCTGTTGCAAGATCATGACCAATGAAATACAGTAAACTACTGTTATAACGAACTCAAAGGGGCCACTAATTTTAGTTCGTTATAACTGGAGTTCGTTATAAACACATGCACAGCATATATACAGTAAATGTCCGGGACAATAGTTCGTCATATCCGTCAGTTTGGTATAGGCATGTTCGTTATAAACGTGGTTTACTGTATATGATGATGATTATCCATTTGTATTTTTATTATATAGTTAAAGTATTATAGATTCCGTCCAGCTAACGCAGTGTTGTACACAGAGTAGAGTTGCATAACATGATGCTCTGTTATCCTTTTAACTGCATCTCTATAACAACATCATGACAATCTCTACCTAGTTAAGTTATATATTAGATTACATATATGTGATTCCAAGTTAGAAGTGGTCCCCAGCAATATATGCTGGCTGTAAGAAGCGACTTAGCGGATCGGGTGGTTAGGCTCGCATGAATATTCGCTGTGTAAAGTTTCGTCGCATAGCCACGCCAGAATGTTCAAATCGTGATATCAGATCACGGCATCGACCAAATTATCACCCAGAGCCTGTCAGCACCATTTTAAATCACACGCCCGTCGGTGCGACAGTTAGGGTAATGGTCTACAATCCGCATCATTTTGAACGTTCTCCACACAAACTGACGAGAAGTGAGTGATATGACTTAAATACTGTTCAGAGCTGTGTAAATCCCAACTTACTGTGTCATACACTAATTCATACTGTGTCTCCATAGGGATCCGTCCAACATCAGACACAACCGTTAAAGTGTGTACAAGGTACAGCTACAAATGTCCATGGTTATCTCCTCCATATCGTTATGAGTATGGTATTATGTCAAATAATCACAGGCCAAGTATGTAACCAGTCTGTAAATATATATTGAACTGTTTGATTTCATATAACAACAAAATTTGTTTATACATATTTATATCATTGTCGAAAATATATATTCTAAAATATTGTTTTTTGTGGTATAAATGATTCATAAATTATTTTTTTGTTGACTATTGTTATGCGATGTACATGATACTCTGTACGGTGTTGGCTATATTTTGGGACACAATAGGACAAAGACTTGCAAGATTATGAACAACAACATCGCCACTGTCTTTCAGGAATTGTTTACGTAAATAGTTCTCCTTGTATATTTGGCAGTTTGTCTATCATACCTTTATCACTTCAAGTGCATTTTGAGGAACCCATAACTTTTTAAAGAATATTCACCAAGGTTATTTATTTTTGCTACTTTATAGGAATGATAGGGACACAGTAAGACGTTTATGACTATCTTGATAGACCATACTTGGTCAGATAAACGACGTCGACCTCCCTCAAATTGACTTGGTTGTTATAGATATCGTACAGTCCCAGTAGACAACAGTTTCATTCTAAACCTCTACCTGGTGTTGTTGATTTAGAAGATACTGAAGATATATTTAATAGTAATGAATACCATCGAATACTTGCCAATTCTAGCGTATCCATGTATGCCCAGTCAGGTAGTATACTGAAATATCGTTGACTTTAATGCACTTTGTATTGATGATATATGATTATCTTACAGTGTGTACACTATCTGGTAGATTCATCTAGTACCATGAGAGAGACGGTAGGCAATGATGAGACGATGCCAGTTCCGAAATAAGATTGCAATTCTGTGAACAGAGACTATTGTGGGGATCAATTACATGACCGTTCAGCTTCGTAAATCACAAGAGAAATAGTACAAACTACCTTGGATTTTATGTAAAAGTCCTATGTTGTCGGACGTTTAGAAATCGCAAACATTTGAATACATGTACCACATACTTACTGTGAAATACGTTTATTATGGTACTTAAGAAAGGGCTGAGAAACAGGCCCAAATGGGTGTTGACAAGAGGCTGCAATAAGGGGTTAAAAATAAGATCTAAATTGGTTAGGTAAGGTTTACTAAAGACACACGATCTTCTACGACTTGACTTGCGACAAATTCTTTAATACTGTAAAGGCGACGTTTCGGTATAGATCCTTATACCGTTGTCAAGCAAGACTGGTCTTCTTTGTCATCCGTCACCTTCTAAGTAAGACAAACAATTTATGCCCTGACTTCTGCTATGGGGCCTATTTTTTATTGTTGTTGTCACATGTTATGATTTTAAACTTTATCATGTATATTGTAATATAAATTGTCAATTATTCATTGATCCTCTGTGGTTATTTACTGAATTCAGAATTTAGTTAGGTACGTACAGATGTCCCAGTTAACATTCGCGTTCAACTGGGGAACAACGTGTAACACTGAGCAATATATTCGCTGATAAAATGAAAAGATATACAGTCAAGATTGAAAGTAAGGATAAGATATATGGACGAACAACTTCTTTATTGCAATAAGGAGCATGAGTGGATGTACTTGTTCATCCATATATCTTATCCTTACTTAGTACACCAACTTTTAAATGTCTCTCAAAGACGTTAGTCAAGATTTTGATATTTACGCTTCTCGAGGCATTGCAATCGGGACATGCTAAATCACAATACATCAACAATTCGACCAGTCGCTAGACCCCAAATCAGCTTGCGTTTGTTTCTTGTACCTAGAAAGCATTCCTTGGATTGTACAGACACTATGAAACATAATCACTTTGAAGTTGATACCCTATTTGTTCATATTTTGTTTTCCTTCTGTTCTAAACACTTATCATATGTGCATGAGATGCAGTAAAGGATTTGATAGTTTTCAATATTGCCATGTTTTTTTATATCATATTTTTGTGGGGGCACGGGTTGCCAAGTCGTCTAAGGTGCCGCGATTTGTTGTGCAGAGTTGCGTCCCTTGGGCACGCCAGAAACATATGATTGTGGATTCGAATCCGGGTTCGCCCCGATTATGTTTCTAGGTTTGTCACTTCGGGCTTTCCTCCCACATTACTGAGTGAGTATGGTTTAACGCCGCTCCCAGCAATATCACGGCGGGGGACACCAGAAATGGGCTTCACACATTGTACCCATGTCGGGAATCGAACCCGGGTCTTCGGCGTGAAGAACGAACGCTTTAACCACTGGGCTACCCGACCGCCCCCCTCCCACATTAAGCTGACACGCCGCGATATAACTGGAATAATCACTCACCATATTTTTGTGTCAGCTTTGAGAAGAATGGAAATAACGAGGTATACTCTCGGCAGGACCAGTGATAGTAAAAGATACCTTCCAGGATTGACAACATATTCGGGAGGACCAGTGATACTAACAAATTATGAGGAAGGAAAATATCAGTTACTACAGTCAAAACAGGTACATAAACAGACATCTGGTTTCATCTGGTTAAACACGAAATTTTGAGTTCTCACGACCTCGGTCTTTGTCAAGTTAAGGAGCAACATTTTGAGGTGTATTAAATAGAGGTTATTTGTTTCAAGTGAAATCTCATCCAGTGACAAGGAGAAAGGAGACATTTTCATGAGTGGCGTGGCCTCTCATACCTTCTAAAAGTAAATCTGGATCCTTGTTAGGTTTCTATGAATAGATACATGAGAAACCATTTTGTCCAAACATTGTAAACATACTTTGAGACATATTAAAAAGATAAAACTTGGAAAAACTGATTATCAAGGTTAAAATAAAAGTGTCAAATGATCTTAAAGTGAAACACAACACGAGAGAAAATGGCATCACAAGTCAGCCTCCCGTGTGTCCGCCATGTGCATTGATGACTGCCGTGCAACGTTGATACATGGAATTGATGAGGCGGTTGATGAAGGCCATAGGCACTTGAGCCCACACTCTGAGGAACACCTGAGGCAGTTCAGCTGCAGCTGTAAGCCTTGCTCGGACGTCATTCAGCCGTCTTTGAATCTCGTCCCACAGGTGCTCAATGGGATTAAATCGGGACTGAGGGCAGGCCACTGCATGGTTCTGATGCCATTCTGCTGGAGGAAGTCTCTTGTTGCTCTCGCAGTGTTGGCACGGGCGTTATCATGCTGAAACTCGTGGTTGTGCACAGGGCCAACCCTCTGTGCAAGACCAATTCCACCCCACACCATGATGCTTGGACGACCCCACGAGTCTCTCTCAACAACACAAGCATCCGAATAACGTTCCCCACGGTGTCGACAGACTCTCTCTCTCTGCCATCTGTTGAGATATAGTAACGGCTCTCGTCTGAGAAGAGGACTCTTCTTCTCCACTGCTGGTGGCGCCAATGCTGGTGCTGTGTTGCCCACTGAAGATGGTCCTGGCGATGACATGGTGTCAGAATGGGTCCTCGGTGTGGCCTGTGACAGTGGAGGTGTCTGCTCGTCAATCGTTGACGCACAGTGTCCGCACTAATGTGTTGCTGGTGTTTCCCCATGGTCTGTCGAGCAGTTTCCGCATCAGTAACAAAGCGATCTTGAAGATGCTGTCGCACATTCTGACAATCCTGACGTCGGGTGGTGACCCTTGGTCATAGTGTTGGTGGTCTGGTACCGTTGCTGGAGCCTGTATATGGTCCTTACGTGGACTTGAAATTCATTGTCTACTTGCCTGACGGTTTGTCCAGCTTGCAATCGTCCAAGGGCTTGGTGTTACTGATTTGTTGTCAATCTTGGCATGTGGTAGCAATTCAGTAACGAGTGAATATTATCCGATCTTGGTGGATTTTTATAGGACAAGAAATGGGAGAACGCATGTGGATTTCAATTTGCACGGAACTCACGTACATCGGGTTACCATGGCCATTGCCGTGATGCGTTTGGCCGTGATGCATTTTATTGTCATCTGCTTTGTTTTTTTATCAACAAATTTCATTTTTCCGGACATGGTAATGTTAAATTTTAGAAACTTTGACAAAAAATATCCAGATGTTTAAATGATAACTTTTCATGCAATGTTACTTGGGGTGACGTTTCTGTTGCGGTTCAGTATATTTACAACACAGTGAATACAGTTTGGCCCGTTTTTGAATTGTATTAAGACAGAGCTGTTGCTGTCTTTCTATTGTAATCACACAAAAAGTGAACCATCAACACTATTGTTGAATACCTTATATTTAGTGAGACTATTAATTTTGATGCTGAAAAGCGT